ATGGATGGCAGACTGCACCACGCTGAGCGGTGTCTTCCGTGAGCAGGCGTGCGCGAGCTTGTGTACTCGTTCCCTACAGTCCGCGATGAGGCCGGCCGGTGCTGACCGTGGTGCTGAAAACGCACAGCCTCAATGAGTGAGATGCGCACGTTCCCCTTATGACATCATGGCCACTGACGGTGACGATGGGGCTGCAGCCGCAGGAGGTGAAAGCGCAGTGATGCCCGCGAAGTTCAGCTATGCTCCAGAGGATGCGTTTCCGCGGCCTCTCCGCTTCCTTGGTTGCTTAGTTCATCAAATCTGTGACGCACTGAAGGAGGGGTCCAAACTGAATATGGGATAGTCCAGCAACTCCCAACAACATGTGGAGCCTGATGTTACAATTCATCCTCATTTGTGATGCCACAGTTCTGGACACCATATAGATCGTGGGGAGGCTGGGAACAGCTGTCCTCGGCTTCCCGATGTCCCTTGCGAGCTAAAAGTCCACAAGAAGAAGACAACATTTTTATTGCCAAGTACGGTTTTACACATACGGGAAATTATTCCCTGCATTCAACCCATCCCACACAGCGGGAGCAGTGGGCTGCCGTAAAGGCGCCCGCGGAGCAGTTAGGGGTTGGGTGTCTTGCTCAGGGACAATTCGACATGGGACACGGAGCAGCCGGGGTTGAACCGCCAACCCTGCGGTTCCGAGCGCACCCTCTCTACTCCATGCGCCACAACGTATCTGCCTAGCTGCCTACCAGTAAGATACAGAGGCTTATTAATGTATATATTCTGTATGTATAGCTGAACCGATGGCAAATGTTAGTTTTAATTGCTGCCTACCTTGTGACAGGAAAATTATTGTTGCAGTTTTTCCGACACTATCAAAGAAAACAATTGGAGTAGCTTGACTATTTACAGCTGAAATGCTGTTAAGTTGAAAGTGGCAATGCATTATATATATATATTAAAGTAAAATAGTAACTCAAAACTGTACTTGAATGCACTTTACTTTCCTTCAATGTCATTGTGACAGTCCTGTGGTTTAAAATGATGTTAGCATAGCATGTTTTGTTCTAACGTCCTATTGATAGGTGTCTTTTATGTTATGGTAAAAGCTTGTGGGAGCAAAGGATCTCTGGATCTCTCATGGTTATGATTAGACTCTGTTGGATATTAGATGTTAAATGTGCATATTATATTAAGACTGATTGTGTGATTAGTATGTAATCAATGGAGTGGAGTGTGATGGGAAAATGTATGTAATCCTTCAAAATGTTTCATTGAATGAACAAGGTTATAAATTGCAAATGCTGGGCTGGTAAAGAATTGAGCTGAAGTGTCTCCCACTGATATGATGCCAGTCTCCTGGCTGTAGAGACACAAGTTGTTTTGGAAACCACCTGTAGGTATAAGAAGAACTGCCCTGTTATGGGAGAAGGAAGGTTCTTGGTCTACTGAGCACGTAGCTGTTGTGGCCTTTTTTCCCCTTGCAAGGAAATAGACATATTTAACTCAGAGCCTTATTCTTATTTACCGATTGTCTGTGGAAGATTTTGCACAGACAATGGACAAGGTCCGACCTGGACGTCATGAGCGATGAGATGGTGCGGGACCCAATACGCTTCACGTGCACGTACGGGGACCATTTTTTTCTCTCTAGACTACTGAAATGAGATACACAACGTTTGGTGGCTACAACTATTTTGTGCTGAAAGGCATCTATTTACTTACTATTTATCGTTTCGCTGGTAACCGTGGCAATAATGTAACAGTTCGAGGGTTGCTGGCTCTCCGCCCAAACAACACCCCCGAACTGTTACATTATTGGACGATAAAGTACAGCCTCTTGTACCTTATTGCTTAAATACTCTATAAACAAATCAGATCTGTCTCAGCCATATTGATTCAGACTGCTTTGATCATTGAGCCTTCCAGGGGCACAAGAGCAAAGCTGTGCTAACATGTGAACATGTTTTGCACATTAGTTGACCCACCGGTTTGTCTCCCTATCTCTTTCTCCCTCACACTATGTCTGCACACTCCCAGCCTCTTCTGTGCATCAGTCTCCTTTCCCTTTTGCTTCTACCTCTATCTCTTTCCTGTCACAGCCAAAGTCGTCGCAAAGAACTTCGAGAGGATTACAAGACGGTCGTTGAAACGGATATCAACAACGCAGTAAGACACCCAATCTGCTCACAAAATATATTTGGTTTGGTTTGGAAACGTGCAGCCTGGTTTCAACATGTTGCAGCAGGAAAAAGAAACATTTGCAGGGTGTACGACGACAAAACCAGAGTATCTGTCCGTCAGAAACCAACAGCCCCCTTCTATGAAACATTATTCCATATTGCTAATATGTACCCCTGTTATGCTTTCCTCCATTCAAGAATGAAAATATTGCAAATTTGCTGCAAAACACCTCCTGCCCAGCCCTGAAACACAAGTTACATAACTGCAGAGTCTCTACAGACAGAGTGAGTACTGTTTAATGTTTGTCCACTCTGATATTTTTCCTTGGGATTTTGTTATTTGCTCGGTCTCTGACTTGGTAGTGCTTGAAATGTTATCCAAAATGTACACAGGTGACCATAGAAACCTGCTCAGGCTCCATCTGGTTTCTGCCTGCGCTGCATAGCAAAGCATTTCCGCATAAACAAAAACGTCCAACAGGCTCACTCCCACGGTTCAAAAAATGTTAGGAGTACCCAAACATAATCGGCATAATCGGCCTGAAGAACCGTGTTTGCAAAGAGGGTGGACACTGCCTCAAATACCAAATTACTTACTTATTTACTTCTACTCTGCAGGACTTTGTGAGCTCCCTGCACCTCCTAAGCTGCAAAATGAAGAAATTAAGCGTATCTCACACAGACAAACTGGTCAGGTCTCTTCTAAACTCACTGGGATGCCACTGTCCTGTGGAGAAACCGGTAAGTCTCGGCACATTCCCCCTGGTAGAAACGTAAGTGTTCTAAAACTGTTGAGGCAGCTACAAGGGGGACCAACTGAAGTCACGGACCACCTCGCTTGCATTTGTCATTTTACCCAGCAGGGAAAGTGCTGTAGAGGTATTATAGGGGCCATGTCAGTTAGCTATGCAGCCCATTGCCTTACAGAGCGTAAGAAAACATGACACAGTGAAACACTGGTTTACTTGGTGCTGGTGCAAAGAGCCATCAGAAAGGTTTCCTGAAGTTGATGAGGAAACAATAAGTGTCTCTGTGCTCTTCAAAGAAAAGACTTGTGAACAGTGTGTCCCAACCACACCCGCTTTATCAGTCAGTTGACTGGTGACAGATCAGAATGAAATATGATGATTCAGGTTCTATATTGATGACTGAGTCATAAAGTAGAAAAACTCCAAGGCCTCTTTACAGCCTCAGGCTTCACCAGACTGGTGCAGGTTTAAATAACTGGTTCACAGGGTTGGTTGGGAACTTTTTTTTAAGGCTGCCCTTTGCCTTATACAAAGACACTGTACCTTGATACACAGGGGAAGCAGAATGGTGTTATGTAATGACATTCAGGGTTGTCAGAGAGCCTCGTTTCACTCTATTTTGATACAGGATTAATACGCATGAGAGTATTGCAGTGATAGTTTAATATTATACCTAACTAATGTGCACGAGATCAGCTCAACATACTGATTGGACACTAATTACCACATTGTGTTTGTGTGTTGCCTCCCATCGACCAGACCAGAGAACCCACCGTGAGGTTGACGAAGAGGACAGCGACGAGACGCAGAAGAAGAAACCAGCAGAAAACCAGAAGGGAGACAAAAAAACTTTGCAAATCCAAGGCAATCCTGTCTGCCATGACCAGATGCTACCAGATGCTGAACTCAATGCAAATGGCCTCTTGAGACCAAACTCGAGTTCATTGTGATGCAATGTACTTCTACTACTACTACTACTACTCTGTACTACGAAGGCCTTCTCTGGATTGTACAAGAGGACACTTCTACTTCATTTAAGCCATGTATCCTGACGAGTAGCAGCATATCTCTCTAGCAGCTGTTTCAGATGTTGTGCGACTGTGCCTTGGAAACTCATCTGAAGTCATCAATCTATTAAGCTAACTGGAAAAGATTCTCTGTAGGTCGTGGGCAATTTAGTGGACTCACCGTAGAGTGGAACGTCCTCCGGATGTGACAAAAAAAAAAGTGCGCGTCGGACGGCACAAAGGAGCTCTGACACGGCGGAAGATGTATTTAAAAAGTTAACCATGATATGTAAAAGCTACACACGTTTGGAAGAAGTATTTTGTAAATGCTTTGACAGTTAGTTGTACTTCACGCTCGAGAGCTCGAGCATGAACAGGAAATATTAAGTCGCTACTTTTAGTTTGGACCGGAGCCTTGGCACATTTTTTTCTGGGGAGTTGTTCTAGGCTTTATGTCAGGTCCTTAATACTCTAACAATATTGTGTTGATTCATGATAGTATGATTGACAGGTTAAAAGCATATCCTGCCACAGATGGGAGAGTTCAGCTCACACACACACACGCACGCACTTGGCTCTGTTCTGGGTTACATCCAACCATATGTCATATTCATAATCAGTGCTTTGATCAATGATGGTTGCCTGCGTGCTTAATGCTACATGGATTGTCCTGGAAATTTTGGGGCCAAGTGTGTTGTTTTTATATCACTTTCCTTTCCAAGTCCTTTTGTTAGTTTGCGTGCATAAGAAAAAATAAATTATCTTTTGCACCAGAAGCTATTTTATGATCCGGTCATTGACCATTCACAACGCATTATCCTGTAACCAATTGTTGTTTGGCATTGTCCGGGTCTCCGATATCTCACAGCATATACATTTAAAATATATCTATATCCAAAAGTGAGGTATTTCTGTTATTGTACACATTGACTCAAATGATCTACAGTATTAAAGCACTGTAACGTGCCTGGCTTCTCTTTTCAATGGACGCTCTCCCAACTCCATCATAGCCGTCTCCATAGGAACGCATTGATGTGTCGCATCAGCACAGGAAGACACACCCGTCCAGTCGGGTCAAACGTTTATTGTCATTTGAGATAATCAGAATGGACCGTACTTCTCAAAAAAGGACTCAATGATGATCAGAATTACTCCAACATTACATTTGCAACTTCATAGAGGCCTTATTTCCTTCTTAGCGTCCCACCTGTAATTTACCTATGCTGGGTCATAAATAGTGGATTGTGTGTTGAGGTCCAAGATCAACCAATCCCATGTAGAATGCATCCTGTGTTGCTTTACTATTGAACCTTAATACACTGAACACAGTCACAAAAGAAGCACTATCGGGATAGGGAGGGGCAGTTTCTGTGCGGTTTCATATAACTCCTGAGAAAACATTTCAATTCAATAGAGCATGAATAAAAGAAATCCAGTCAATGTTCATTCAGTGAAATGAAAAAGGGACATACAACAATAAATAATTGATTGCATGGTACAAACTGAGGGGTAATACACAGGTTTGGGTTAATGCTACATTTCTTTCTAGAAAAGCCAAACAGGGGGGGGTGGGGGGTGGTGACATTGATACAAATGCAAATCAAAACACACTTCTTTAGAGAAGCCACATTGTTTTCACCAGTAGTCACATTGCACTTCAGGGGGAACATGTTTTGTTAGAGCGGATGGGACTGAGGAATGCCTTTTCGGATCACGGTTGACTGGGTATCAAGATACTGGGGAGATCACACCCAGGCTCCAATAAGTCAACAAACACCAGCCCCTGACTTACCAATTCCCATTTTACAACCAACCTCGTTGCTTTTAGTCAATATCTTATCTGCACTCTCCTATAATGATGCGCCAATGGCTTTCAGTTGCTGACAGCGGCTCTACTAAACTTAATTATTGTCCAGGAACAATAAAAAACTAGTTATCAAAGCATTACTCTAGTTTCACGGCAACCGTGCTCATGTGTGTGTGTGTGTGTGTGTGTCGGAGTAAGAGTGTGTGTGCGCCGGCAGTAAGGAGGAGGTCAACTGAAAACAATGAGTTGCATGGGTTGTTCCAGTGACATCCGCCACATCAGTTATTGAGATCATGACCCGCAGCATAGGCTTTGCCAATGAAGGCTATAGGCCACAAAACCACTAGAGGCTAAAATTATTGTAGATATTAGATTCGTGTTGAATGAAAATGTCAGAAAGTTTACTAAATCAAACGGTCAACTATGAAGCAGGAAGCACTGAACAAATTGGAATAAAGTGTCGCTGGACCCGCAAATCCCACTAATACCAAACATCCACGAGGAAGAAAATCGGCGCACGGTAGGGTCTCGTGCTGACGATGGCGTCACTTTACTGCCGGGAAATCAGACCCGGGAAGAGTAGAAATGCCGTCGGATTCGCTCGGTCGAAACATCTGCGGCGCCAGTTTGAATACTAGCGTCGTCTCCAAGTGTTTCTAGCTTCTCCCTCTGCTGCCCCCCCCCCGCCCGTCCCCCGCCGTCATCAGATACACATCTTCTTGACCCCACACTCGCAGCAGAATTTGGCAGATTCAACCGGGTACTTGGTCCCACAAGCGTGACAGAACTTGCTCTTCGTGCCACCGTTGCCGACTCCGTCGTTGACGTCATTCCTGCCGATTTCAACAAAGACGAACAAGCAGCAAAGTTAGAAGCTACGTACATCACGTCGTCACTGATGGCATTTTAGTCCGGGGCTGACGAGGCTTTTGGTACCTCGGTTCTTAAGAATTGAAATACTTGAAATAATCCACATCATAATTAAATGCAGGATGTGCAACTTCTTTTGTTGACGGCACCATTCTGCTGGACTACGCACGTGAAGCGTAGCATAAACAAACGCTACTAAAGGGGGCCGGCGTGTGCAATACCCCGACGACGCACAGGAGGGCAGGATCGTTTAGATCAACTCTTTTCTTGGGTTCTCCCTCGTTGTGCGTTTTTTTTAGCACAACTTGTTGGTGAACGCGCTCACCTCGACGTGAAGGCGTCTGCTTTCTTCTTGTTGTTGTTTGCGGTTCCCGACTGAGTGGTCCTCACAGAGCCGTAGCTCACAGCTCGAGTCTTACTCCCCCCACTGAGGAGAAGAAGCACAACGATGTGAGCCATGCAAACCGCCGAGGTTCGTAAGGACAGACCCAAGTGTAAAACGTTCAAAACTCACATTTGAGCTGACACACTGTATTCACAGATGTAACCTGTTGTTCTTATGCCGCCATCAATTAAGTCAATCGCAGTGTTAACCGTAAAGGCCGGCGCATGCTTCTGCGTCTGCGTCGACGCACTCGTTTCAATTCATGGTTCAAAATTCCCCGCCAGAACAACACGACCTAGAGAGTCACGTCTTTGTGTGTGGAAGTTGTTGGTTTGTTTATTTATTTATCATAGACTTTATTGCCTCGTGCATCGACACTGCTGCTTTTCATCGCGGACACATTTGTCCCGTATTTTCCTCCACAACTTTGTGCACCTCTCAACCGGCAAACCGGCGTTTGCGGCGATCTCCCTCCATGAATCCAACCCGCTTCTACGACCCGCCAATGACGGCTTGTATAAGCGGTCATATTTACGCATTTGTTCCGTCAAAAGTTCTTAAATCTGCTCCGTTCTCTCGTAAACATTCTTTGTTTTAATAATGGCGGTATCGGTCTATGAAAGCGGAAATGTGTGACTCCGTAAAGGACGTAGTTAGCGGACCAATCGCAGCCTGGTGCGCTGCGGGAGGCTTGCGTTGCTTACGTCAAAAGCAACGCAAGCCTAGAAAAATGGCTCGACGCACGCAAGGACACAAGGAGGTGTGAAAAGGCACGCAAGGGACACGCAAGGGGGGCTTGCGTCTGCGTCGCTCTGAAAACGCAGAAGCATAAACTAGGCTTAACGTCACATGAGCACTGTGAGAGAGCACTGACCCTGATGGAGGGCTCGTGAGGCCAGAGGGATTGCTCCTCACTGAACCGGCACCGGACACCTTACTGGATGGGATCCCTAGAGCAAAACAGCAATTTCATTAACAAAAAAAAAATATATATATATATATATATATATATTTGAAAATGGTCACAAATACACAGAACTGTCAGCTGTAGGCTCAACACCCTTCTACGCTTGACCAACAGAGCTGTACCCGTACCGGAGGGCTGTCCAAGACTTGATCTCTGGGGCAAACGAGAGGAGGCTGAAGGGTTGGGTGACGCAGCGGCAGGGGGGGCCTTGGCAGAAGCAGCAGGCTTGCACTGAGACAGACACGGAGAGACAATAGGGAATAAATAAGTAGCCCCACGTGAAACCACAATGTCATGTGTCGCTAGGTTATAGATTCCATGACAAAGGGCCAACCATTAATGCAACGCAGGGAGTTTGGTGTGGCTTCACAGAGAGGGGAAGTGAAAGCACTGACCGAGCGGCACGGATGCACAGTGAGTACTTAGGAAATGGGAAACAAGTATTTTTGGCTTCTTGTCATCATAATGAGAAAACATTGAGCCCCTTACTGGCTGCCAAATCAACTCCCAATCATGCGCTGGTGCACAAAACTGCACTGGCTATCCAGACATACATCCAAAGCATTTGTTAATAGAACAGCTGCGTTTACTGCATGCGCAATGTACAATCAATATTATTTTATACTATTCGCAGTGTGCATTTCAATGTTTTAGGTTTGCAGGTTTGCAATGAGAAACTAATGTTGCAATGCTGGATTCAGAGAATTTACTGAAGTAAAATGATTTTCCGTGTTGTCTGTTGGAGTGCACGACCATTAAGTGGTGCAGTGTGTGTGTGTGTGTGTGTGTGTGTGTGTGTGTGTGTGTGTGTGTGTGTGTGTGTGTGTGTGTGTGTGTGTGTGTGTGTGTGTGTGTGTGTGTGTGTGTGTGTGTGTGTGTACCACTGAGCGACCAGGAGGCTTCTTGGCATCTCCTAACTTGCCCTTGCCGGGCATGCGTGCAGACTTCTCTTGGCAGAACTTGATGTGTCTGTCGGCTGCACCCTCGTTGAACCTCCGCTGACAGTAAGGACACTGGACGTAGTCTGAAGACCAAACAGGTCGGTGAGGACAAAAAAAAAAAACACATATACTGACACATATCCTGTACTATACATAGGGACGCTTGGAAGTAGTGCTGCAGGAGTAAGCGCTGTGTTTTTTACATTCTCATTTGGGATGACAAGTCTCCTCCAGACCCCCATTACGAGCACTTTCAAAGCAGCTAACGTGTTCACTACAAAGACTTACTTGACTGTAAGAAGAAAAAAGAAAAGTAATTTAGCTGCCATTTTCCTGTTCCTCAATCAAGGTTGGTCTTACCTGGGTCAATAGTAGGAGGAGGAGGCGGAGGTAATGGTCCGCCCTCCTTTATGACCTTATCGACGACCTTGGCGGCTCGGATGGTGGCGATAAAGTCCTCATGTTTTTGCCGCCAGTTGGACGGCTTCTTCGGAGGTTCGGCCTGGCGAGACGCAAACACAGATGCTGTCGTTTCAAAGCTCACGCCCGGCGGTCACAGAGAGTGCCGTCATTACCTCAACGGGAGTGGTCCTTCTTGTTTATGTGCAGGCTGAAAACTGGATGTTTTGAAAATAAGGTCACCACCGTGTCTCTTGTTACTTTTAACTCTAAATGGGCTACAGGTAGGGACATGTTACTGGGCTACCGGGATGCTCAGAAGCCAGTTGTGATCTGAAATGTGCTCCTGACAAAAAATGTATCTTCTTATTGACATTTTTGGTTGTAACCTGCTCCAACATGCTTTCCGGCTCTAACTGCAAATGAATGTGATCTCTATTTTAGGGGTAGAAATCACCCTTTGTTTGGAAACAAAGGGTGATTTATGCCCCTAAAATAGAGATAATGCTGATGATTCCTGACGTAGTTCACCGAGCAGATTCTGAGTTACTTCTGTGGCAACGTGATAACCCCGCTGGCGCCGACTGACAGGAGTTCTTTTATTCCCCTCTAACCGAACACCAGTTACAGTAAAGACCTTGACTATATGGTAGACCGATTACATTTCGTCACTAGGAGCTCATAGCTAAGTAAAAACCGGAGAAGTAGTCATTTATAATTCTGATATCACTAAATATTTGGTCTACCGCATTTGTTTAGAACAACGAAGCCATTAATAACAGGAAACCAATCTAAAAGGTCAACGAATAAATTAAGGAGGAGGATCTGCTTCCTGCGCGGATATAAACGGCTATTTATAAGCTAACAAAAACATCCTTAATGGCAGGGTCATCATACGCTAGTGGAGAAGACGCTTGCATTTTAAATTCCCTTTCTGCTAATGGATCCCCCTGAAATGCTACATGCTGCTAATGTAATTTCCTTGGGAGTTCATGATAAGCCATAAGATGGCAGTGACATTTTTAAAAATGAAAGCTGTGGATTTCTGCGTAATAATAACTCCACAACAGGTTTAAAAAAAGCATTGCGGCTTGAGGAGGCGGTAATGGTAAATATATTTGACATATTCAGCGTTCAAACTGTTAGTTTTGCACTGAGATGTACAATTTTGAGCAGTTTTTCCACTTCTTATTATACAAATTGAACTCTAGGAAGTTATGCGTTTGACATCCTCCGAAGGTGCCGCCTTACCTTTGGTTTAAGGGGTTTAAGCGTGGGAATGTCCGTACCCTCAGCTCTCTGTCGGCCGGAGTCAAAAACTTTCCTCTTTTTGACTGTCGACTTTTGGCAGATTTTCGCATGCTTCTCCTGTAGTGAGAGGAAAAAAAGATGCACAAGACATAAAAACAATTAGAATGGTTTTCTTAATGTTTTTCGGGGAAGGACTGTAGTTTAAAAAAAAAATCTTAATTCAAAAATGTTTTGTGAGAAAGTCAGTTTCAGATATATATGATTAAACCTCCTAATGCAGACACAGGTGCACATGTCAATAAATGAATAACGCTTTATTGTAATCAGACCACTAATGAGGGTGAGTGATTGGAGAAATGCACAAATGTGTGTATTAACATTCCCAGAAAAAACAATATGTTGCAATAACGTACTAAAATGACTTTGGTATGTGACAAAAAACAATCCGTGTTATTGAGGTTAGCAAAATACAAGAAGAATTGATGATAGCAGATACATTGGTATTCATAAACATAAGCATCATATGTAATATCACCACATCCAAACAGCTGACCTGCTGTCAGCTAAAAACAATGGCGGGAAATATCGTCTTAACATGAAAGATGCATCTTTTCAGCAAAAAACTATTGACCGTTGAGTCTGAAATTTTTGAAAACCATGAAAATAATGTTCTTGGTTGTATTGTTCTTGGTTGTATTACACTGCATGTGCATTTCTACCTCTATTACAGAATACTAGAAAAAGTGGTAATATTCGTTTTACCAAGACTTTAGGGAAAAACCATCTGCTGCAGGTGTTGCATTGACTCAGATCCACAGCAGGAGGAGCATCGCTGTCTGCAAGCAGAAAAGATTGCATTGGGATTCATGGTGAGGGAGTTCACATCTGGAAGAGAACATGAAATGAAGCACATCTGGCCGCCTCCTGAAATCACCATAGTTCACACCAACATTGGGTTCGTTGAAACGGACCACGTAGCTGGTTGACGTGTAGTGTTACCTCCTGTCACATAACATGTGGTTTGGGGAGTTGTGTTGTTCCCACGGCAACCACGTTTCCAAATGGTGACACCCAGACTGGGATTAACGTCAGTCGGGCAGTAACGTCCGCGTACCGAACATTGTTCATAATATGCGAATATACACCGACGTGTATTGCGTTAAGTTACGTCGAACAGCTAAATGCACTGCTTAGCTTTTATTTCTGTCACGGTTGGTTAGGTAGCAGCGTGCTAACGCTGGGTAGCTCCTGTGACTAATGTAACGTTAGCTCGGGATCACACCCATTCGGGGAGAGGAAGCTAGCTTCATCTTTGGCCCGGGCGTTACCTAGCATTATTTGGGCTAAATACAACACAAAAAGATGGGTCGCTGACAAAAAGGCAATGCGAAGTGCATCGTTTTGAACTAATAAAAAACGGATAGGCTGTTGGGCTCGACTTTGCTACGAGACATCGAAAAGAATGAAGGCATAAACAGGCTTTTTGTTCACCTTCAAATTCTTCCATCCTTAGGTTGTCTCTTGTGTGGAGCCGCTGTTGTTACGGACGGCGAAAAGTAGCGAGTGGAAGCGAGATGACTCCCTACCACGAACATCCGCCTTCGCTAAAATAAGGCTAAGGTCTCGAGTCACTCTCAAATTATTCTCTAATTCTTACAGAAAAACTACAATTGCAATACAAGCAGAATACAACAATATGTAGGGTCTTTGTAGATGACTGATAGTAAACTACGCATTCGGGAGCTTTCTCTCGCACGCGCAAATTATTCTTATGTATTTTATTAGTCATGTTATATAACAAGGATTTTGTCACATTCCTTCATTCATACATCATTTAGATTCAGTTCTATTTAATTATGTATATTTAGTCGGTGGAATATTCCCTGTGACATTTCAACTGGTCGGTCTCCCTGACCCATATCTTCGTGGTTTGGAAGTGAGAATTACATATCTTGACATTGTTGATCTTTGGCTTCCAATAGCAACTGGTTTGTGTGGCGCCGCTTCACGTGCGAACATCAGAGTATTTCATTGGACGCTTCCGCACGGTTCAGCCCGCGAGTTCAATGCTTAACACAAAAAACCCACCAAGAAACCTTGATGGTAACACCTGTTCTCCCGTTCCCATCATTATGTCCCAACAAGGCCTAATGATAAAATTACGTGAAGTAAAAGGTAATTGTTATATTAGGTAAAGATGAACGTTGAACATGAGGCACTCTGTCGTTTTACTAAAATCTAGTCTATTCTGGAGCTGTAGGGGCTAAAAAACAACTTCATCTTGCCTGCATATGCTTCATGCATAATTAATAATACAATTTCAAGTATATTACAAATGGTTTTAGTTTCAACCTCGTGACGAAATCATAACTCCCAAACAATGAAACTAGTGTATTCCCTACTTGCATTTTTTGGCTCAAACACTTTCCCAGGGAACTCTGAACTTGGCATATTAACCACATATGTCCTCTGGATGGAGTAATTCACAGCCAGATGTTGACCGGCCAGGGCCTCACTGCCGTCATCACAACAACATTACTGTTCTCACACTGGCTCTCTGTGATTTCCCCACTTTCACGGACACACAAACACACAATAACAGCCTTTTTTGTCATGGGACGTTCTTGGGTATGATTACAAGTTGAAGGCCTAGCGATGCAAACATATGGCTGGTCGTGCAGTTTATGGTTTTTCTTATCACAGCGTTATATTGGCCTAATTGTTATGTTATTTTGTTTAACAAATCAATACATTTAATGGATTGAATCACTACACTGGTTCAAAAAAGCCTCTGGAAATTCATATATCAGGATATTTCGTAATGGTAATGAAAGAAGTTCATCTCGGGCCTTACGATTCTTGCTAATTTAGTGTGTGGTTTTACGTCACAATAAAGGGCTTTATTCTGAAAATTCCTCCGGATGCTGTTTTATTCTGGCATTGGCTTGCCACTGGTAAATCCTCCAGTCGTGGGTGTGTGTGGTCGTTCCGGAGTGGCATTCAAATTGATGCGTTTGTGTCCTGCAAATCCCGGGAAGCCCGTCCACGCAAACAGGTACCATGCTGATAATGCAAACAAGACACTGTACGAATAGTTTGTGCCTTCCGCTTGATTCCACGTGTGACGTGAACCACGCGGGCGAGTTAACCGGCTCGGACTGATCTCAATGAGTCTTTGTCAAAGGGGGATTCTTACTGTGATCGCTCACATCACCGATTGCGCACGACGCGTTAGCGCCTCCAATTGGCCCTTAATAATAGAAAACCGCTCAAATAAAAGCGTTTTGATTGAATAATTGCAGCTCGGACAGATTCCTCGCATGGAAATGGCTACTTTATTAAGCATGTCAGTTACACTCATGTGTGGGGCTGGATTCCTTAACACTGCTGACACTTTCATGTTAAGCAACTAATGGTATCGGACCAAAACACGTCCCAGTCAGTGACAGAGGATCCAGCAGCTGGTTTGATGGTTCAATCAGGGAGTTCATTTGGAAGCATTGGTTTGTTCTGGATATATTTTGGTTCATGCCAGCTGAGCTCTGGTGCCGTTGGGAGTGAGGCAGTAAGGACAGCAGTGCTTTCATCCGCCAGGGCAGGACGGACACACACACACACACACACACACACACACACACACACACACACACACACACACACACACACACACACACACACACACACGAACTGCTTCTCTGCTCAGTGAGTGCAACAGCGTGACTAAATTATGTAAACTGTCAATTAATATTTCATATGAGCATGTGAGATGCATGTCAAGAATGTTTTATCACATTTTGTCTACAAATTGAATGACCTTTTTCTTAAAAAAAAATTAACATTGTGCTATTTTTATTTATTTTTAATAGTTGCTAAAGGCAACTTTACAAATTTGGGCAAGACATTCAACACTTGTTTTCTTGCCTTAAGTTGGATTTTTACACGTTGAATATGTATTTAAATATTTTTTTTAAACCATAAACATTCAGGCACAACGTGACAACTAAAATGCTCTCTTCTGTATTGCTTAAGATTAAATTGCAATAGACAACTCCCATTTAGGGATTACTGACTCCCATAATCTTTTATTTTTGGAACCATACAGCTTTTGTTTCAGAGGTTTCTGCTACTGCTGAAAAATATCATGCAAGTTGTAATATCCTGAGAAAAATAAGATTCATGAGAATTAAAAGTCATAATATTCAAAGAACAAATATACTATTGTCTCCCTGTCGCAGCGTCATTCTGGCTCTGACATGATGCACTAACTCCCTGCTTTTACGTTGAAGAGCAGTTATCCGGTGTCTCTCGCTTCACTGTGTTGAGGCTGACAATTGTAGGTGGACACCGGCTGTTGGATCTCGCCAGCATTTTGAGAACGACAGCTGAGAGGGAGTCATGCTCAGATGATGACATAGAAGTTATCCAAAAATAGCCACAGTGAATCGCTCTGGAGATAACCACAAATGGACGTGGGAGCTGAGGTCCATTTTTTTAATACATTTTCCGATATGTTAAATCCAACATTAAAAAACATAACAATCCTGTGAACGTCCAAGAGGGACATGAAGTCTCAGAAATGCTTGATTTGTATTTGTACTCTGACAATATTTATTTAAAAAAAAAATTGTAATTAGGGCAGCCTCACCCAGGCAGATTAATACAGAGTGTTGGAGTGCCAACAGAGGGGTTTAACCTAAATCTAGCAGCACAGCTCCATGCTTATACTCCAAGTAGGATGACATTTGAATACAGTACTCAACTCCCTTGTGCCGCTGTTTCCCCTTTGAGTTTGGGGTTTTAGGGTTGCGCTGTTACCCGGATTTGTGTGTCCATTCCACTGCCCCAGTATAAAATAAGAGGAGGGAGGGGATTCATTGAATTAGTGCATGTAACCTTTTGTGTCACTCTCTTCAATTCAACAGAAACTGACTACGTCCATTCTGGTTGTGATAAACTGAGCTTCTCCTCAGCTCCACGATCACTTTCGTGAACAACAAAACAAGCGTCCCGCGTGTGCCTGCGTGTACCTGTGCCGCCGTGCGCGCCAGGCCCTGCTATGGTGGCGCGCGTCGGCGATGACGGCTGCGGAGGCGACCTATGACGACTTCATCTCCTCTCAGCGCGCCGGCCGCCGGAACGCCATCCACGACATGCCGGCAGCCCCCGGGGGGGAGACCCCCGCTGACCTGTCACAGAGTCTGGCACAGCTCAACATCAACAAGCCAGGTGAGAAACGGCACTGAGGGAACAGACGAGGCTGATGAAGGGATGAAATGTAGGTGGGGAGCAGGAGGAGGGGGAGGGGGATGGTCAGCTGCAAAGGGGAAGCAGGTGTGAAGATGGATGGGGCAGTAATTTGATTGGGAAAGGAGGGATGGAAATGATGGGAAATGGCAATGAGGATGTGAATAAGAGAGAGACTGAAGGGCAGAACAAGCAGCGATGTGCGCGAGAGGGACGCAGACACGGGGACACATATTCTCACGGGGGGGGGGGGGTCACAATTAAAAATGTCATTGTTAAATATTAAAACATTAGAAATATGTGGCAATTCATGAATGGTATATCTGAGTGTGGTGTTTTAATTGACAGTGGACATTGCAGTTTCCTTGTTGATACCACCAGGGGAAGACAAACACCCAAAGTCTTGATTCTTCTACAAAGCTATTTATTGCAAGAAATAAATTGAAATCAAAAGAGGCTATTATCATTTTGCTGAAAACGTCAAAATGATATTACCCTTTCACTCAAAAAGTGGGAAATGTAAAAAATGCAGGGCACAAATACTGAGAATTTGTTTTTCAGTGAATTATGTGACGCCTTGTGTCCCACTCTGATTTGAACAATATTTAGATATGTCATATTTCATCTATTGTGCAAAATCTGGGTGTTTCCTTACATTCATGCTTACAGTAGAGAATCACACTGGCCTCGCTTGTAAGGTTTGCTATGTTACTGTTCATAACAGTACATTTGGAAGCCTTACAACAGGTGCCTTTTTCAGTTTATTTTGTGCCAGACTGCTGTTCCGTTACTTACCCACTGATTCGCCCGACCTCATTCGCATCACTGACCCGACCTGTGTGTCCCCCGTCCTGTCTGGACGGGGGACACACGGGGGACGGTGACGGAGAGAACGCGGAGAAGAACCACAGCTCTCCAGCCACAGCAGAGGATATTCAGAGGGAGGCCAGCTGAACGGACCGTTCCTTCTTATCTCTGAGACCTGGATTCAGTGCCTCTAATGGCTGTTAACAACCGGGACAAATCCTCCACTGCCACCCTCCCGATATCAGGGAGTCATAACTGGAACCACGGCGGAGTTTCCCTTTTTTCACTTGTGTGTGTGTCTGTGGTCGAATCTCCTTAAAAAAAAGCCTTTTTCTTGTTCCTTTTCTTTTTAAGGCTGCTGACGTGTGATGTGATGCACGATGAGCACAGCATGACTTGAAAAATTAAAAAAGAAAAACACTCGGGTGACTTCAGAGTTTAAACTGAAGATCCGGAGGGAGTATTTGATATTTGATGTGTTTCTGTGTTTGTTTTTCAAATATGCAACGCTGCATTCTGAGACTTTAAATAATACGTCGATTGGACAAACAGTACATATTGAAATCAGGGCATGTAGCATTGAGTAGTAACAACATTGATCTGCTCTTTCACCTCAAGTCATCATCAACAACACGTTAAGAAAAGAAAAACTATGCTGGTTCTTGCTTTTTCTTTTGCACACTGACGCCGCTGCAAATATAAACCAGCCTGTTTTGTGCCATTGCCAGAATGCTTTTTCAATAAATTCAAATTATTGAATAGGTTTTGTTCTACATCTTTGCATATGTTCAGGAAACAAATGTCTACCGTTGATTTCCATTTTTCTAATTTACTGTAGAAACATTTTGTGACTATGTAAGCTATTAACTGTAAAATATTAATTGTGAGTCCGACTTCTTGCTGTCATTCATATGTTTGTGATCTGCTTTGGAAAAACATTTTTGAAACACATGTAGTCCAGAGGGTACTCGTATTAAAATCTTACCTCTTGTCTTTAGCTGGTCTACCGAGAAGTCCTTTGACAGGGTGACAGTGATGGACACAGGCGATCCTTCTCAAGAACAAGGTGTCGAAGGTTTTGAGACACGTTTTATGTCTATAATCATTGAATGTCTCCTGGTTATCATTCAGTTGGTTAATACACAACCCGTGCTAGCAATATCCAAATGTGTGTCCGCCACTGTGTGCTTGTAAGTTTATTTCAAATGTGGTTTGCATATTTGCAGTTACACTGATTTCACTGAAGTACTCTTGCTATTTATCACGTATATTACTGTTTACTCTTTCACTTTTTTTAATCAAATCATACATTTTGATTGGTTTCTTTACAAACAATAACACAATAACTCAGCCCGGTATAGTGTGATACAATGACGAGTAGTTTTGCAAAGATGACCCAGAGCACCATGATCATGTTGCATCGGACATATTGGTCGTTCATGAGTCACATCGTTGTGTTGTAAATTACTGAAAGTGCCCTGACAAATGCTTTTGTCTTAGTTTGGACATGCCATTAAATCGCAAACGTGACTTATGGTATAGCGGCATGATGCCCCCCGCTCAACCCCAAGGCCTTGAGCCCTGGACCCTCGGGGACTCACTAACATCAGCTGATAAACGGAAATACAATGGGACAACACTCTGAAGCAACATATCACCATGACAACCACAAAAACGTCCTGTGCACTTTTTTTACTCCCCGATTTGAATGTCGCCAAGGCTCTTTTCTCACAAGATGTGTGAAAACAGCTGTACAGAGTACAAATTGAAAAATGTGAATAAATTGATAGAATATCGCTGATTCCATGATTTTCTGTTCCTTTGATAATCCTTAAGGTTTGAGTAAATGCAATTTGCGCGCTTCCCCTAGTGACCTTGTGTTTACACATTGCAATAAATTGTGGTCAATGAGTCCATGGTGATTATAAACCATTTAAGCATTAAATAACAGAATAAACCCGAATGACCTTTAGAAACATCTAAAACCTAATTACATCCACGGCCATATTGCAGTTTACTCAGATCTAATCTTATAGTTGCATGCGGTTCAAGGGCTTTAGGATCATCAGCTGATGTCTGCGTTGTCCAAAAACTCAAAGCTTAGTAATGGAACCCTTTATGTTGAAACGAGAGAACCTTCTTGTCGTTCAAAAAGTTATCTTTATGTACCAAGAAGTAAAGAAGCTTTGCACTGTAACGAAAAGACTTGAGTTAACTTCTTTAATATTATATTTATTCTCATTATCTTACGTAACGGTAAAATGGGAGCAGGTCTCAGAAATGTTTGAATACAATTTCATAGCAGTAGAATAAAATAATGTGGACTAAATTCCAAATAGGGATATATACACACACACACACACACACATGCTTAAAACAACATTTTGATCCACGAAAAAAAAATTTCGACCATTTGTTTGATGCAATAATTTTAAAGAGAAGAGGTAGTCAATGGCACCATACAGGTCCTCATAATGCTGCTTTCCTCAAAACACAATATTCAGCAGAGAATTTTGACTTTTCAAATAGATTCCTCTGCCACAACTCACCGTTTTTGTGTAAAAAGTGAACTAATTTTGTAGTGGGATAAAAAAGCCGTGCATATCCCGGTTGAGCGTCGTGTTCACGTACGCGCGAGCAACTTCTTCAAACGTTCTGCCGTCGAGGATCAAGATGAAACTAGACTGTCCCGGGTTATAGTTTATAACCGTTGCCAAGACGACGCCTGTGAACGGAGCGAAAGAGGTTATTGTTAGAGCACGAAGCAGGATGTTACAGATCTAAAGAATCACACCAAAATATGGATAGTTTTAAAGTACCAATACAGATGGTCAGCGAGGGATCTTTTCGCAATAGGCAGATATTGCCATACATTTGTTCTGTGGTTGCATAGTAGCATGTGTACGCCACACACACACACACACACACACACACACACACACACACACAGTATGCTCACCGTCATCTTCTGACTCTCCATTTGGTCTGGGGATGAAGATCGGCTCGGACGGCGAGCAGTGGTCTTCACTCCAGTAAATCCTTTCCTTGGTCTCGGTGTCCAATTTGGCAATCTGCAGAAAACAAAAGGATTTACTCAGCCTGTACGAAGCACCAACACGTCACGTATCTGATAACATTTTTCAGGAGGGTTCTAAACGATTACTTTTTTATGATTAAAGTAAAACATTAGGTTTGAGTGCTACGTTAAAAGGGGAAAGCGAACAAATACAACAATGGCATGTCAATGTAGTTGCAACATATCCACTAAGATTAATATAATAAATATTCACTTCTTATCTTGTAGACAAGCAATGTGTCTGTGCAGCACTTTGCCCCAGCTTACAAAAGAGGTGTAAACACGTTTTCACAAATCTCAGCCTATAAATTACTGGCCAGGTCGGTCAGAGTGACCGAATAGCAGCAAGAAATGCCTTGTGACAAGCCGTCCAACCATTGGCTGTCCACAATCACCCTCTGAAGGTTTATGGGCGACCTGAGCAGATCCTCGCTATCATGGGGCGAGACACGCAGTGAACCCTGCAAAGGTCAGACAATCACTGACACGCAATCACGCTCACGTCTGCAGGCACCGTTCGAGCCGCCTAACTTGCATGGGTTCAGATTTTAACAGTAGGAGGAAAGCGGAGTGAACTAAATATGGCTAGTTCTAATTTTAAAAACCTTACTGCAATTACCTGATTCAAAAGGTTTGACTTGAATAAAAATGAATTTTTACTTGTTTAGTTATAAACAAGCAAGTTAGCTTGTTAGTTACTTGTTGAAATGTTTAACTTAGTTATGCAAATATTATTACAACAACTTTTATCTCGAAGTGCAAATATTTTCTTAGTTTGTGCGATGGACTATTCATCGCAATTTATTATTCATTTTTCCTTCCGATGGTGCATTTTTCTTCATTTCACGTGAAAAATTCAAAGACGTGCGCTCTTCTGGTGTTTGGAAATCTGCATCACGAGGGAATGAAAAAAAAAAAAAAAATAGATCTTGTATAAACCAGGATGTTTTCTTTCGGTTCCTTCCTCTTTGCAGTCACGATACCGCCGGACTGACGGGATGCAGTGAGACACGAGGGAAGCTCATTTCCACAGAGCTTTGCAGCCTCGCAGAGCAAATTGCTTCTATCAATTACTTCCGGTGCATTGACGGCAAAGTGTGCCGGTATCGTAAAAGTGTTTCCTTCCATCCGTTGTCACTGTTGCGCTATCCTTCCTACCTTTAGTAAAAAATAAAAAAAATAAAAAATGCTGCCTGGAAGAATTACCCCCGTGATTCAATTCCGCTCTTTAAGAGTCAGCAGGTTTTGGTTCTCTTAGCAAGTATGATTAAGAGACAGGAAGAAAGCGTAAAGACAAAATGATCCCAACGGTTCCACAACAGCCAAATCAAAGACAGCGTTACCCCTTTCGCCACAGCACACTTCTCCACACTGCAGCCGTAGACAAAGCGATGCTTCTTGCCATTGAAGTCGTAATTCAGTCGTGGCAATTCAAAGCCTGATGGAGATAAAATTACAGTAGTGTTATAGTAGTATTTAACATTTATTTGATTCGAGCTCAGTGTCTATTAGCTTTACCTTCACAGACAACCTCTGCTTGGCAGAGGAGTTTGCCTCCCTTCTCCTTCACAGCACTGGCAGTTGTGTACTTGAGTTTTACCAAGTCTTCGCCAACTGCCACCCCCTGGAAGACGCCAATACAGTGTTTCAAGTGTGAGACAAACATCTTCACCCACTTTCCTGATGAAATCAACTTTACTTAGTTACAAACGCCACCTTGTCTGAACGGATCGGAAGCACAAATCGTTTGTAGCTTGGTTTGGAGTAGCCGTCGTCGTCCTCCGACCCGGGGTTTTCCTTCATTCTGTTCAGGTAGAACGCATCGTAAAGGCTGTTGTCTTTGTAGGCGATGACGTCGAAGATGACGTGACCGTCGTCCTCAAATGCGTTCACGTGATGGTAGACGACCATCGCTCCGGTGTAGTACTTTGTGTCCACCACCTTGCCGGTCTTTCGGTCTATCAGGTGGATCAGAGTCTGTTGAAGAAAGGCCGTCACAGTAATGTCAACCCAGGTGTAACCGCCAGCAGACTATGCATTTTGAAACGAAAACGGTAACTTACAAGACGATAAGTGACCACTTACGCTTTCCTCCGGGCAGAACTTCAGGCAGCTGGCCCAGTTGACTCCCCTCATGTACGCCGTGGCCATCTTGAGGATGTCCAGTTTGAGAGGCTGCTCGATGAAGATGAAGTAGTTTTCCGTAAGGCCGAAGCTGTGGTAGTAGCTGGGTGTGAGCAGGGAGCGGCACGGCACCGTGCACAGTATCTCCACTTTCTTCAGCGCCGGGGAGTCCTTGTCTAAAAAGGTTGCGAGTAAAGAACCAAAGTTAAAGAAAACATTCGGTCAATGCAGCATGTTCATTGCTTGGCCTTGAAGGGATTAAATGGTGTGTGGACTGTACTTTAAATCAAATGACGCCCATCCAAACATACATTTGCATGATCAACGGTCTATATGATTTTCAAATTCTTACAGTCAATGGACAGATCAAGCCGGCTATGAGGTTTACGTACCCGTCTCTGAGACAGCGGGGACTTTGAACAGTATGTATTTAGTCTTGGCCTTCTCTGCTATGGAAGTCCCGAAGTTGTAGGCGTTGCCCTCTTTGTCATAGTGAGGATGGGACGAAGCCAAGTTCACCGGCAGGTACTTCATGTAGTCCACCTGTGTGTGTGTTCAGCAATACATGAGCTCAAGGCTCGTGTGCCACTGGTGGCCGATCAAGATCAGCATGTGAACTCACCTTGTCCTGAGTTTCCAGCGTCACGGGATCGATCTTGCGGATGTAGTTGGTCTCTGACGTGGCGTAGTAGTCCTTTCCGTACTTAATGAAGTTGCTTGCGCCGTTGTCAGTAAAGTCGGGCACTGTGTGGTTGAGAAAGGTAATTGCTCTGAAAAGGAATGAGAAATAACGTGTATTGAAAAGGGAGTGGGGGGCAAAAGGAAGACGATTCAATATGAAGATTATGATGCAAATCTTTTAGAAAACTGAATGATACCATCATTTTGTAGCAGTGTATCTAACTCAAAGCAAACAATGGTGCCGGAGTGAAACAATGAAAGTGTTAGATGTGGTTTAATTAAATTGAACGGGATGCTTACTTGACAATGAAATTCTTGCTGGGGTCCGGGTAGGCCATCGTCCCCATTTCAGACACAACTATCCTGTTCGCAGCCATGTTGGCTTTGTAGGTGTCACTTTCTAAAAATCTGCTCCTGTAAGTAACTTCCCCTGAAAGATAAAAACACGTGAGTGAGTTTAGAAATCTCTTCGCGTAAATGAAACAATGATTTAACAAAAAATGCGCAAAAAAAACCCCAACAAGCCCAAGACGAACCGTCTTTAATGGCGAAGCTTTTCATGATCGCCATCCCGTCGAACCAGTGGTCGTAGCTGGTGACCCCCACGGAAAAGATGCCGGGGCCATTGCGCAGCAGGGTGCCTTGCAGCCAGCTGGGAATGTTCCCTGGACAACAACGCGGAGAAGCAGCGAACCGTCAGTCGCTGCATGAGCCGGTAAACTCGATGGTAAACTCGTCATACCTTTGACTTCTGCCTTGCGCGGCTCCGGGCTCTCCTCTGCGTTCTGGGAAAAGTTTGTAGTCATGTTTGCCGGGAGGCGTCTGGATAAATTCTGTGGTCAATGACAGCGCAAACCACTCCTTTTAAACCCCCTGCCTATCTTGGGGGAATGGCACATGTGCGCAAAGACGGCCGTATTGTGCGCTCTCTTTCATTGAAATGTTGATGAAAAAAGTTCCATGAAATACATCTCCGCTTCACCTTTGACTCGTGTGCAGATAATGCGTCATGCGTAATCCACTTTTATTGGTGTCCGCCGTGGGCATTTGCATTATCTTGTATCTTCATTAAATGCTTCGAGTTGAATAATTAACTCCTCCGTGGATCAGCCTGATAATTAACCAGTAAACTCATGTTTGTATTGTCTGCAGAACTCTTATACGTGCAATGTTTATTCAAGAAGTTGTAGTGCGAGTCTGCTCTGGTTATGGTTTCAGCTCTTAAACGGGAACACCACCTAGATTAAGGATTACAATAAACCATCAGCATTTGTGAAAAAATCTCCCAAACCTCCTCTCTTCTATAACATATTTTCCAACTTTTTGTCTCTGGAAAGGTTCTGCTGAAAACATCCCGAAAAGAGTTTTAGCACTTAAGGATTTGGGAGAAAGTTGTTCAAGACAAGAGAAAGTGGGCATTAAAATGAAAATGTTTTCCCTTTTAAGTCGATTAACATGTTTTATCTGCTTTGGACCTTTGCTATCACTCCACAGGTAATTTCATTTTGTGACATTATTTTTCTTGGAAGATTTTGACTCTCTGACAGAACTCACTGTAACTTAACCTATCAGCTGTTATCCAGTGCCTGATAATACTGTGAATGACTAGCAGTTTATGATGACTAACCCAGAACTGAAAAAGTAATAATGATAAATGGTATCGGTACGTTAAAGTCCACATGCACATCACCTATATGCACTAATATTGTGTCTTCTTGTTTCAGAGAATAATTAGCAGATGCTAATTATCTGCCATGGCCTTCGAATTCTGTCATGGCAGAATTAAAATAGCCTTCTCGTTTGGAAAGATAATTAAGTATGACAATGTGTCATTGTGAAGTTAAAAAAGAGATTTACTATACTATTTATTTAGTGAGACAGTAAAATAAGGTTTGGTGGCAGCGTCTATTTGAATGTTTGCTAGGTGAAGACATTACCAGAGCCATGAGGACATAATGGGTTTAAAGAAGTTAAGAAACTGACGTATAGAATACAAAATCATAGCAACATATAAAACAACTTGTCACTTTTGTGACATCTGACATGTGAAATTTACATTTCTAAAAAAAGCTTCTTGAACATGCTGAGGCTGTTAGCGTTGAGCAATGCTCCTTCTGCACATGCAGGCAGTGAAAGCTAATTAAGAGAGTGGGAGGTCAAAGGGAGTTTAGTTAAAAACAATGTTAAAATAAAAAATTCCTGTCCTCATACAGCCAAAATAATGTTATAGTTTTGTAAGCCAACTGCATAGAATAAAAACAGTTTAACTAAACTTGAATAATTGTGAATGTACAATTACATAGTTTGCTTCACTTGATTCTTAGGAAAACATTTGCGGTCAATGTGTGACCAAGTGTTGTTTTAATCTTGCTGTAATAATGCAAAAAAAAATTGGAATCTTCTGTCTAGACATTTTGGAGGATTTTCTTTGGCAAGTTTGGCTTGCAGACTTTTGTGACTATGGCTAATGTTTGTAAAGTAAGATTCAATCCAACCACGTCTGCGGTTTCAAAGGGGAAAAAGGGGACAGAGTTGCCTGATTGGTTCCCATTTATTCCACTTAAATGATTGTAAACGCACCTTGTTTCTGACAGGTAAAGTAACATCTTCAAATACTTGCAACAGTTGTAATCTCTGGTGTCCTATCAGGAAACTCTGCCCATAGATATAGCAGGGGAGCCCAAATGATTGAATTACATGGCAACACTGCCACCTAGTGTCCTGTGTGACATATTACCTGCTCAGGTCAATTAGTGGGGATTGTTGCTGTTAAAACATGTTCTTGTTGATTGTATATGCTCATTAAGACAACAAAAAATCATCATTATTAAACACATAATGGGAAATTTGTAAATTCGATCAAATCAACACTAAATCGTTAAAGCATGTAGACGTCTTTGCCTTTGCCATAAAGTGGCAGGTTGATTATTGCCTCTATTTGTTAAACGTCAATCAAATAGGAAGAAATTGTACCCCACTAAGAACTTCAGTAACTGCCATGAAATTAACAAAGTTAAATGCACTAAATATGTTAAGACTTTAAATATTTTCAGCACTCCTTCATTCGGGGCAAATTGTATCTCATGGGCAAAATTAAGACGATGTCTTCAAATAACGGAAAGTACTAATAAACTAGGCTTTTACGTTACTGAAATCCGTATTCGAGAAACGAAGCGCTTGTTACTTGTTTTTCAGCTGCCAAACATGGTAACGCCAGAATGATACTCATAAAGCTCTGTTAATTTTGTATTTATTGTAAAGAACAAAAAAAAAAAAAAGACAAATATATTTTTTTCTTCACCAATACATTCATAGAATGTCACTTAAACCTCCACCTACTCGCATCTCTCCCCGTACAACATTCAGAACAGAAACACTTTGTTTCACATCTACTTCCCTTGGATAATAAATTAAAGACAATCGTACGCATATAACGCAAGATGCTCATAGGATTCAGGTTTATTTGCACCGCCCATTGTTATAGGCCACGCTTATTTAGTATTCAAGTATTCCTTTACCGGTTATTTCTGTGCTGCATATTCTACTAAATATCTGCTTCATGATGTTCTTAGCACACCATTATCGCCATCACCATCTGTGGATTACGTTATGTGGCACAGTACAAGAATAACGTTTCAGGAAAACATTATGTACTAGGAACAAAAAGAAAAGACAGCAAAGTTTGTCTTGCAACCGTATATGCTATTTTGTTTACAGCACAATCCCCATGCAAGTCCACATGCAGTTATAGAGGGTGCATGAAGAAGACCACCACACAGAACCTCGCATGGTTTCCATTGAGCCAGTGAAATATTAAACACATTCAGAGTCTCTCTCTGGGTAGTGATGATTCGCTCAAGTTCATCCTGTTTCAAAACACACTTGCTTGCAATCGGACGGCAAGTGACAAATGTACTTAACACCATTTGATCGCCAAAAACCACACTGAGCCTCCTTTTCGCGTGACTAGTTACACCGTGCAGAGGTGGGTGGGCGCACAGAATCAAACAATGGCTGTAAGTTGGCACTGTGTAAAAATTCTCATGGGTATGATGAGGGGGGAAAAAAAGAAGGTATTTTGGAGTAGTAACGGCCTAAGCACTGGCCCACAATATGCAAATATTTAAAATCTAAAACAGCACTAAAACCACCAGCCTGAACACACCTCTTGGTTTAACATTTGAAACAAAAGGCCAAACAATCACATTAAACAGGCATCAGTTGTGGAACACGTTTTTTTTGTATGTAAAAGTATTCAGTGTGCAATCATGAGTTGTTTTAAAAAAGGCAACCAAATCAAATGCTTAACATAGCAAGGCGTGTTTACGGAACTAGAAATCCCTGTTTCACAAAACATTTGATGTACAGCTAAAAAAAAATTTAAAAAAAAGAGAAGAAGGAAATTTAGATAAATGATAATTCAAGTACATGATTCTTGAATCATGATGAATTTCAACGTTTAAATCAAACAGATGAGAGGTCTACATTAGTCTAAAAAAAACCTTTGAGGCGATTTGTTCCTGTGTTCAGTGTTGTACAATGATTGACAGCTTGTCAGTAGGACGCTTTAAAAAAATCTGTTTGTTTGAATCTTCACCTTTTCCAAACATTCCATTCCTGTCACCAAAGAAAAGGGCCCACAATCCTTCTACCAACCTGATGAACAAACATGGAAGTGCACATTATGATTCACATTACGATATGTAACATGAGAAGGAAGATTTTTCTGTAATATTGTGAATAAAACAACTAAAAAGTTGTCCCCTAACACACTGATTGTTGTCCTCGATTTGACATCAAACTTGAAATCTGCAAAAATGAATTTGTTTCAAATGAATCGTGTACCGAATTAAAATGTTCAATTCCTACCTGGAAGACACACTTCGCAGCGATCAGCTTGTTGTCAAACGCGGCCCGGGTGTAAAGTGAAAAAATGTTGTGTCGAAAGTAGGAGGTGTGAAAGAACCCTTTGCTAAAGGAGTAACAGATTTCACACTAAGCCTCTCAGCACACACAATCCCTTCAACGTAGCTGCTCTTTGTCGCTCTGCTTCACATTTACAAGTTTGTCTTTGACACCGATTTCAAATCAGCACTCCGGGTCCGTTTGATCCCCCTAACATGCACATGATTTAGTGACACAAAACTGTGTCAACAACTAATCTGTGTTAACACAATGTTCTTCCCCCCCCCCCCCCCCATTTCAAGTTCTATACACATTCCATGAAAACTATCGTATCGATATTATTAAGAACATTGAACCGCCAGCGTACAAACACAGCAATGACATTTGGGTTCCCTTTCAGGCGATTCTGTACAACAGTATTATTTTCATTAAAATAAGAATTGTTTGTACGTCTGAAAACTCAATTGCCTCGACCCGAGCACGACAAAATCAATAGCGGACCCTAGCGGGGCCCTGCCAACCCTGCTTTACATTAATTACACCATTCAATGCAACCCGAGACTCACAATGTCTGATAGACGTCTCTATACTGTTTGGCAGTGGGCGAGTGATTACCTGTGTAATCCTGGTATTGATAAATATACATAAAAATATATATATATATTTATATATGTGGTTAAATAAAGTCTTCTCCCCCCGTATGTGACAGACGGTAAACTTTTTTTTGAGAGTTTGCGGTGGGACTAAGCGTCCAATGTCCCAGGACCGCCAGTTCAACTCAAGTGACTCGACTTCCCCCTCCTTACATTCGGTCCTTTGACGTCACCGTCGGCCAGCTGCTCTCCGCCGCCCTCCCCTCCAACGCTCCCCCCCGAGGGGGGGGACGGAACGTCTTCGCGTCTCCGTCGTGGTCTTTCTCCCCGCCGTCTCCTCTAATCCGTCTTCCCGTTCTCGTGAGGGCCTCGGGCTTTGCTCCGGCGCGCCGAGCGCAGCACCTTGTAGCAGCCGCGGGCGATCTTGTGCATCCACATGACGTTCATGATGTCCAGGCAGATGCTGGAGCAGATCCAAGCCACGCGGCCCCCCCAGGGCACCAGGTAGAAGGCGGCGGTGCCGTAGACGGCGTACATGCGGACGTAGTAGACGGGCATGACGGCGATGCGGACCACGAAAAAGACCACCGCCATGGCGACGCCGTTCGCCATGTTGGGCCGGGAGGACTTGGGATAACCTAGTACCTCAAAGAACCAGCTGAAACACAACACGGGGTTAAGGGAACGGCGTTGTAGCGTCGCGCGCAAAATGCTGAATCGCGAGTACTTCAAACGGTTTACGGGCCTGTTGTCTAAAAGAAGCCGCCGTCATTGAGTGAAATGTTTAAATCCCACATTCCAGGTCATTGGGTAGACGGGTACGTACCGCTGGTTCACACACGGCGTAGAAAACTCAGCAAGCAGACGGAAGTTAGCAAAATAAGGCAACATTCCTTCGCCCTGCAAGAACAGGGAGACAAGAAAACATGAAAGGGACAAAAGCAAGACAGCGGCTCATTCGGATCAGCGGGCGCGAAGCCGGTAGTGAAGGTCTGTCTCCAATGCCAAGGAACCTTCAAATATAATCATACCATATGTAATACGGAGACGGACTTTGACTGTGTGGGCAACCAGTCTAAAATTAGATGGCGTCCTACCAAAGATTTGGCAGATCTAAGAAAAGATCCTCCTCCCTGAGGGTAGAATTCATCTTCACATAAAATTAGACTGTGCTTTAATTTTACTTCCTAATAATTCATGCCCCCCCCCGCCATCTATTGGGAGCATAAACTAGTCCACACTATAGAAAGGAGAAACAGATTAACTGTAATATGGCATTTGTTGACTATTCACATTGTATTTGTTTGAGTATCAAATATCTTTGCAATAATGCAGTTTTTGCTCAGGATTTAGGGTTCAGGTAAACGTAACTCTTAGCGCGTAGGTTCACTTTCCACTCTCTGCTTCACTGTTCGTAGCACTAGACATACGTTGCCAATTCTACACTGGACTTTCTTACAGATGGACATGAATTGCTTTGCTCGATAGAAGCTTTCCAAATTCAACAACAAAAAGTGGGGGCTTTTGCATTTATTGAGATAATAATCAATAATGCATCGTTACTCAATTTAATTCATTTTCATGCAGAGAGCAAAAACAATTTTGTGAAGACCAGACTGCACTGCAGTGCATCGGAGTAACATCTCGACATTAGACGCGTTAATGCAAATATCAACGCAGCAGAGGCTTTAATACATATGATGTACAACCACACACACATTACGCCAGCCGCTATCCAGAAGCCATGCAGAGTAGAAAGCAGTACGTCCAAGTGCCAGGGACTGAATTCTACGTTGTATCAGATCATCTTCAGCAGGTTTTGTATCTAAACTCAAAACTAGATTATTGGGCCTTGAAAGTATTCCTGGTGAAGGTAAACATTTGTGACCCTTCAGTAACCCCCCACCCCCCCTTACACTCCCCCATGAGAGGAGCGTTAGTGGCTTGAGTTCCGTTCCAATTGAACAATTTTCCTGCTAAACGGAGTGAAGATGATCTTACAACAGAGATGCTTTCAAGGCATCTTGAGCAGCGTCGACCCCGGCCGACCTTCATAGAGTCATAAGATCAAGCACATTATAATACACTGGATGATCCTGCTGTGATCCCTGTCTTCATTTTAAGTAAAAAATTCTGGAGTTTGAACTTTGTGGCAAACTCAAACTCAAAATGAAGAGACGGATCACGGCGAGAACTTTGAGAGGATTTGGCTTGAGCAGCGTGTAAAAGTAGACTTACCGTCAGAGCTGAAATAAAAGCTGGACATTGAAACATACATACTTACTAGGCGACACAAACAGGGAAATCTACACTGCAATGTGTGTACTTTCCACCTAGCATGAGAATACTGGTACCTCTAGGAACTGGTAAGTCCATACTGTGACTGGGCATCATATCGGCTCAGTGCAACACAACAGCAATAGTAGCAGACAAGACAGGAATAGGAAAGTCCCCATCTAGACCAAGACCTGCTCTGGCTTTCTAAATGACATCCAAACTTTTTGGTAGTTTTTTGCATGAAAGGTCCGACTCGATGTTGGCCTTTTTTTTTGCATGTGGGATTTGAAGAGGGGCTATTTATGTTAAAGTCAGCGGAGGACACAGAGACGGAAAGACAGACGGACAAAAAACAAAACAAAGGTGCGACCACGATGGGAAGCAAATAAGAAGCGACATTTACAATACCGAGAAGAAAGCATGCGTCCACTAGCTACATAGCAGTTAATGTGGGGTTTTTTTTATGTTAGCTCTTCTTCACTGTTAAAACACACAACAGACAAAAAAAGATCATACTATCGACAAAAAAAAAGAAGAAAAGAGTGTTTTGCCCCAAGCGATTAGTGACTGATCAACCCATAATCAAAACATACCAACAAGCTTCATTCAGCTGATCCCAAGTTTCTTTTTAAACAAAGTAGATTCAACGAGGCCTTAATTTGTCCACGGCCTCTGGGTTTAATGCTCTTATTACGAGTAGGCAGAATTGATTGAATATTCAACGAGAAGACTTCCACGTAAACACACCCAACACATTAAGAAATAGGACTTTGACAACATACGAAACATTTTGACTGAATGGAAATGACCACTTCTGGACTAACGCGGAGCATTCGTTCCGTTATCCCACATCAGAGTTTCAGATCCAGTCTGAGGAAATGACTGTCCAGTAACAGTATGGGCTACTTCCTTTCCTTTATCCAATCGTTTAACATCCATTGCTCTGTTTCTTAAAAATGAAAGGCTGGATTTACAGTCTCTTACAAATCTTATTTATTCCAAGAATGAAACGTTTTAATCGTATCATTGTTTGGACGCCGATGTGTGGAAAAGCAAAGTTCCTCTCTATCAATACAGTGCAGACTGATGGACCAAAAGAACACCTGAGATGTGTCACATTAAAGAAGATATAAAATCTGTAAATCCATCCAGTGACTGTAGTGTAGTCAGTAAAAAGGTAAAAACTGTCAAATGTCAAATCTAATAATCGTTTAAATATCCGGATACAGGCAGAGCAATGCACATAGAGTATCCTTTTGCATAATACTCTTACTTAACATAATAAACTTTAAAAGCATTAAAACAGTAACACCTGATAGAACACATGCCTATCGGCCGATGCCTTATCGTCCTAGGGGGGGGGTCATGTGACGTTGTTTGAGGGGCTTTGTCAGCTTTTCCCCTTATTGGGGAATCTCAAGGTGAAGTTTAAGGAAGAAAAAAGAAGAGGCAGAACTGGCACAAAAGCAGAGAGGCGGCAGGTAATGTAAAATAGGCAGGGCAGTCATTAAGAAAGTTAAATACTGTTTGATGGCATGCACAGTGACACCATAAGGAAACCCTGCCTGTGCAGAACGCATGCACACGGGGGAAGGGGGGGGGGGGAGGTTACAGCTCCGCATACAGCTGCGCTAAGCTTGACTTGAGTCAGATCCACACAACAATTAAAAAAGGGGGGTCAGTAAGACAAATAGAAAAGCACAGAAATCGTAAAGAGCAAGGTGTGGGAGGGGGGGGGGGGTCATCAGCCAGTACCATCATTGAGCATTCCATGCAAAAAATACCATAGTCATTCATTTGCATAGAAAATATCGACAGGTCCTGGCGACCTAGAGGGTCACAGAGGGAACCAAGAGTGAACAGCCCTGCTCGTCGGGTGCTGAGGACACTGCACACGAGCGGCAGAGCGGCAATAACCACTACCTCGGATCACGCCAATACCCGCAGCCGACGTCATAATAAAGACTCTAAGAAAGCCTACACGAGATGACACGGGCAACCCGCACGCTCTTTTGATAAGATGGCTTTTAGGATAAACCCGGGAGAAAAGACAAACAAGCATGTCATGTTATTCCTGCACAAAAAAATAGATAATTTAAAACTGGCCATGTCAAAGAATACAAGTGCCTAACACATAGCACATCGTCCTGGAGATGCTCTAACTAGCCAACCAGTGCTTTACTGAAGCGCTTTATTGCACTTCCCCTTAAAAAAGCGAAGCAAGGACTGTAGCCCAACGGTACGGTTCCCCTCTCTGATGTGTACAATTGAGGCTATGTCACGTCTCATACATACTGTACTTGCATGTAGAAATTTCCACCACAACGTTTAAGAGCTGCATGGGGGGCGGTTACAGATACTGAGTGGGGGGCTAAATGAGGGGAAAGGCCCAGCTGTTCACCCTTGGTTGTCTCCTTCCCATCTTGCCTGCATGTTCTGCTATTGGACAATAGGGCACTCACCAGTACATAGTAGTAAGCATACAATGCTGCCAGATGGTGAACTACAAAAAATTTGTCGCCTATCGCCTTCCAATAGTAAAATATCAGCAGCAGATCTGTAAAGACAAAAGCACAGGGGAAGGAGCGACAACACGTCAGCAAGGAACTACAAGATTTGAACATTTGAAGTAAAAGTCAAAACCTCATAGCATAGTTATCACATCCAATCACACATTTTTTTTCTTTTGGTCCCATTTTCACAGGCATTACTCGTATGCATCAGTAGGTTTCTCTTACCAGATATGAGGTAGCCTGTTGTGATGGCAACGTTAGTCTTCACCCATGTAGGGTCGCCCCTATTGAACAAAAACACAGGATTTACAATCCTCTGTATGTACGCTGGCTGATTCAAAGTCGCCACCCGCAAAAGCTTGATTGGTTCCAGTCAGGTGGCAAAGAAGACTGATAACTTTCTGATTGCCTTTTAATGCATTATGAAGAAAGTACTGAGAATAATACATGAGCAGGGGAGGGAGATTTACCGGTTTTATCATTGTGGAAGAATCACAGATTAAACGTATTCAGCGGAATGAGTGGACTGCAGAAAGCACAAAAGGAAAACAGCTGCCCCCAAAATACCTTGAGGCCAATTGTGGTTCAATAACGATCAGAGGTCAGTCACACTTTTCTGGACAGGACGTCTTGTTATTGTTTTTTTCTGGGATATTGTTGCAAAAATATTCAGTGATGCAAGACTGAGGACATCAACGAAATTAAAGGTTTAAATCATTAATATAGTCGTCTTTCGGAGCCCAAATGTAAATAATACATTTAGTTTCTGAATAATTCTGTGGGTGTTCAATTTCACCCACAAGCAGGTTTTTCACTTGCAGATTTTATAAGCTCCTGCCAGCACTGACATCTCGGGTTGGACGTCTCCTGTCGACTTCATTAAAAATTCCAGAAAACGTGTTTCAAAACAAAAAACTTGACGGCTACGAGTATGAAATATTGCCATGAGGCTAAAGCGACACAGTATGTCACTATCATTCCGAGTTGATGTACAAGGAAATTAAAAGCAGTTCCGTTTGAGAAATGTAATAAAAAAAGTTATTTCAAACAGAAGACATTTACTTTTTTTGCTTTTGTGCTCATATGTCCGATCAGTTTGCTTCCCTTTACAAGAGAACGACAAATGAGATCTGAGAAATCGAACACTATCTTCATTGATGGGCTTGGATTTGTGGGGGTTTTGGACCGTTAATGTCCTCCTCAACTCTGAAAGAGGCAACAGAACCTCAAAACATAAATAATAAGGAAGTTAGCTTCGTGCTAACATTACCTGTTGACCTTATGAATTAGCCGATTGTTAACGCATGAGGTGCAGTGTGTCTGTTTGATTGCTCATCAGAGCGCCGGCCTGAGGGAAGAGGCTGTTTTCAGCGTACAGTGGTCTGTAGCGCCTACCAGAGGCGAGGAGGTGGAACGAGTGGTGTGAAGGTCACACGGCGCACACGCACACACACACACACACACACACAAATGGGTACAAAAAAAATGGAAAGTAAAAGGTTGAAAACATGCAATTCACAGCTAAACTCTCACCAGACTGGGTCTTCGTTGACGGGATCATCGAAGAACAAGATGTAGAGGCAGAAGATTCCCACCAACAGTGCGTGAAACGTCGACACCGTCCTGAAATGAAAAACAAAACACAGCCGTGATGCTCCGTGTGCGACACAACTCAGCGATGCTGAGCATCCACCTCTACTGTTGCGGTTTAGAACACGCCGGCTTTTCTTCTTCTTTTTTTTTTTTTTGCTCACAGTGAATCAACTGATTGCCTGTCAGGGCTGCACACAGATTCAGACCAATTAGACTAAAGAGATTAAACACTGCTGAGGGGGTCAGGCAGAGCGGCACACAGTCCCAGTCAGTCATTGAGGCCGTCTGCTAGTTCTACGAAGGCAGTCAGTCAGTCAGTGAGACAGTCAATCAGTGAGACAGTCAGTCAGTCAGTCAGTCAGTGAGACACATTGACAGCCACTCTGTCTGTTCCACTGTTCCAACACAAAGTGTAAAGTCATGGGCCTCAGAAAGGATCGGGGCCGACAGGAACCAGCGCCGCTAATCTCTCTCTCTCTCTTTTTTATTCGCTCATAAACCATGTGACTTTTTTCCAATTTCACAAGTGCACTCGTTAGCAATAAACTTGATGAAAAAAAAAGGACTCATGCTAGTGTGAGTTGGACCCGGCTGGATCCTCCTTTCAAAGACGGTGAACGATCACAGCGGTCCGTCTCGCTGAAGGCTGAAAACAGTGACGTGACAACGGATGACACCTGGTTGTTATTTAGAAGAAATTGTTTGCACACAGCGCCCTTGAAGCCTTCCTACCAGTCGGTGCGTTTAGACTGACCAACTGTGAGGACGAAACGTGTGTAGTTGCTTCAGTGAAATCTGTGAAGACGAAGGTGTCGAAATGAAAGGTCAAAAACGAAAGTTAAACTCGTGTGAAGTTACTGCCGGCAAAAAAAAAAAAAAGACAGCATGCGGAGAAACAGTCATTTCCCCTCAGAGTTACTCAGATACTGGTGTGACAGGAAACGTGTGGGGAGATTGAACCCCCCCCCCCGTCCCCTCGACATCTGAACTGCACGTAGATTTGTTGCATGGTGGTGAAAGGTGCGCGTCACGTCACCTGGAGTTCCACTCAATCTTCTGCTTGTCACTGAGGCCGAGGAAGCCGGGGCGGCTGATGCGTGTGGACATCCAGGGGCTGACCTTGTGGAAGAGCCACTGGAAGGTGAAGAAACTGGTCACCGAGATGGCGACGATGAGCTGGTTGAATGGGTCCATGGCCATCCAACCCGACTGTGGGAAGAGGAAATCACAATATTCAGAAACCTTGAGAATGTGGATTGAACATCACCGGAATTCTCGGCTCGCTGAGATGTTTTGGTATCAACTTTGCTCCAAAACTGGCTGATAAATGTATTTAAAGGCAAGATAACGTGTTACTTTTGGCTCTGGGTTAAAGAGGAAACGTGGCTCTTCACACAGAAGACACAACGTGTCAAGACGCATGCGTGTGTGTGTGTGTGTGTGTGTGTGTGTGTGCTAAAACCAGTAATTGTGGTTTCAGCACATAAAGATATTCGTTTCCCAGGAAGCCAGAACAGTACAACAGAAATCTGCATATTTTACCCAGTGAAGCGCCAGATGACGGTGTGCTTTTTAACCCCTATCGGACTTTGCTTTGTTTGCTTTTGAAAAGAAACCCAACTAACAGTGACCTTCAGTCAGAAAAACATGTTTTATGTAAAGACTTACATTGAAGCTATACGGGATTTGCAATGGAGCTGAATGCAGTTTCCCCAAATGGCCCTACTCCCTTCATATGCATCTGCTTTGCATGAGATTCAGTGATGCACAATATGGATGGATAGCGATACTAATATGGCTTTTGGGTAGTAACTCACTTGTCACAACAAGGCACAGTTCTACATTTTTTTTTCTATTTTAGGGTGTTACGAGAGGCTGGTTTCCGAGCATCCGACATGGAAAACAGGTCAGTCATGTGTTGGAAAATGTGAGTGGAGCACGGGGGGGGGGGAGATCAGCGTGGGACGGTTCAATAAAATCCATTCTGTATCGATTAATACTTTAATGGAAAATTTAAATCTAGAACTTAGAGTAGCACAATGCGTAGGACCCTAAAAAGAGAAATATTTCAAATCAACACTAGTTGGACCAGAGTGGGCGTCCTCCATTGAGCCACAAAGCGAGGCACGCCGGCTCGCAGCTGGCAAATGTATGTCAGTGACCACCGGACTGTTTTGGGAGTGTTGCAATCTGCATACGGGCTCATTTGACTGTACCCGCTCGTGGGTCGGTAAAGTTGATTTACATGTTTACATCTTCCAGCACAAACACGCTTATCTCAGTCCCGGGAGGTTTGGCCTTGGTGAGTTCAGTCCTCGAGGGCAAACAATGCACCTCAGTGGATAACTTCATTCACCGGTGACCCGAGAAGCCAATCCCTCCGTGGACTCCTTCAGTCTGCCTGTAACGCATCCTGCTGCCGGGGCGGAACCACGTCGGCCATCAGAGGGCAGCTTTTGGAGTCCAAATATCGAAATCGATACCAAAGCTAATACGTCTTCAGCCAATCTAACGGCGTCCAGAGGGGTGTTGTGATTACGTGCATGCATGTTGGCGTTCTCCCTGCTGCCAAGGGCAAATGGCGCCAAAGGTCAACTTAAATAAAAGGACATGAAAAAGGGGGGTGGGGGAGGAGTACCACTACAAACAACCTCTTTATCCAACGGGTGTCTGAGTCGAGCGTGTTTGGTAAGCAAAGGAATACAATAAACAGTGAGTTAGCTACGGTGGCAGTGAGCTGATAACAGGTCAGACGTGTCTGCTGGTGCCCTTGATGGAAGATAAACCAGTGAGGATGCATTAATAAAAAGATGGGGAGGCAACTGTGACATCCAATCAAAACTCATCACAGCGGCGTATTATTGAGGGAAATAGAAACATTAGTATGTTTTCCCCCCAACACAGACACACTGTAGTCACAGGGCACGAAGCAGACGTGTTTAGGCCCAAGTACACGCACGTTTCCTGGAAAGAATGGTTTCATTTTAGGGGACCCAAACAGGTTTTTGTCACACTTCGCTTGTCCTTAATACGTAAAGGGAAAGTGCGCTTGCGTAAAACGGGGTGGACACCTTTTTCTTTTTTTTTTTTTGGGTTCCCCTTTAAAAAGGAATCGATATCCCGCACGGAAATAACTTGTGTCCCTCGCGTCGATTGAGCGACTACCCACGCGCTTATTCTCCTACAGCAACGCACATATACATAAATAAATAAGTTTACATGCATAGATTCATCTATACGTGTATATACATAGATGATGCCATTCTCAAATCGGGGGGGAATAAAACAACAACAACAACACTGCCCCGGTGGTGTGTGTGTGTGTGTGTGTGTGTGTGTGTCGGGCCTACCTTGTGACGTGCATTAAGATGATCTGCAGCCCCTCTCTCTCTCTCTCTCTCTCTCTCTCTCAGGGGTCCAGGCTCGTCTGCGAAGCGCTGCACGTTGAGTCGAAGCCGCAGCGAGACATTTTTTCTTCTCTCTTTTCTGTTCTTTTCTATATAGAAACAACAGCAGCAGCAGCGCTCGCGCGCTAACAAGTCGTGCGCCGTGACGCGCGGCTCCGTGTCCGCGGCGGCTTCGCGGTGTTTACCGAGAAACTCACCCGACGCGAAACGTGCATGATTGCAGAGGTGCAGATCGCGCAGCTCGACGCTCGATTACACGGACGGTGGTTGTGTGTGTGTGTGTGTGTGTGTGTGAGGCATCTCCCCCCTCCCCTCTCTCTCTCTCTCTCTCTCCCTCCCTCCCTCTCTCTCTCCTATAGGACTCCGATTACAGCTGAATTCTTAAAGCCACACTCCCACACGCACCACCACAGTAGTCTGCCCAAGAACGCCCACTGCGTCTATTTATAGACACGGCTTGTAGAAATGAGACAGGACAGCCAGTGGAGAGAACTGCAGCCTCCATTGAAGCCCAATGCAACCCCCCCTCATGCATTTTACATTGCCCTGTGCTTTGTAACACACGTTTTTCCTTCAACCGTCCGTCTGAGGACGAGTGAGACAGAATCAATGGTGCTATGAAGCTCCTGATGTGGTGGACCCCCCCTTCCCCCCCTCTCTCACATTTCCCTTCTCAGATGTCAGCCACAGTGCAGAGTCCACATACACAAGGTGATTTTATGGCCAATTTAAGACATTACTTTGTATGAAGTGATTGTGCAAGGCCGGGGTATCTACAGCCAAAGAGATACGACTCACAATCAGCACCGGAAATACCAATGACGTTAGTAGCAGTTTGGTTCGCTGTAACCCATCATACCCTCGTCCTCAGTCTCCCCTTCTGTTGCACACCGTGTTGCAGGTCTGTCAGGTCTTTCAGGTGTGATGAGCGCATGTCAAGGTCGATTACAGGCCTCTCTAAGGATCCTCGTCACTCAGGTTGTTTTTCTTATCGATATTCCGAAAGGCAGTTTTGCGAGAATGCATTCCTGAAGCTGCGTTTCCTTTAGGGAGGAACCTTACGTGGCACCAGAAAGTTTTACATTGTCAAACACTCAAATGAAAGGACCAATCACTGTAAAGGACCACCTGTTGACATGGAGCTGGGACGTCCTGATCAGCTCGGGGGTGTTGGGTGTGCATAAAGCTTCCTCCTGTGCTTCCTGGGTCCTGACCTATTGTTCCATTCTTAAACTATAAGGCCTGTTGCACTAAGCTTTTGACACTCATTTACATTTTGGTTCTTGGATGCAACTGCCCCCCTCCCATTTTGTTTTTATTGTGGCTTATTTTTAACTTCTTAAAAATCATGAAAAAGTAAAATATATAATTTTTATTATTCATATGGAAATACAAAATTAAGAAAACATGCATTGTATAATAGTATAAATACAGTCGAGTCAACATAAACATTTGTTGGAAAAGAAGGAAACACAAAAAAATCCAGCTTATGGAAGCTTCACATGTAACAGTTCCTTTAGTTGGCGGAAAACTGAACAAAGAGAAGTCAAAGCAAAGAAACCACATATACATTATAGCACATACATGTACTTTGGTCAGTAAACAAAAAGCGTTGCCAAGAGGCAAGATGGTAAAGGCATCCATCGGGGGACTGATTTATTCAGACATAGTACGCTGTGAAATGTAAAAGCAGCTTTGGTAATCAATGTGGAATAGTCAGTTAAACTAAAACATTGAATTAGTGGTAATAAAAGCAATGAAAGCAACAGTCATACAGTTTGGATGACTAGACGCCTCTTAAGTGAAATGTACCGTGGATTCTTTCTTCTTCCTAAACTCACAAAACCCCTCAGGGCCGTGCTTCCACATTGGTAGATTTTCCCCACCAGAGGCGGTTCTGCATTGTAGAAAGATACACGTAGCTCTTAAAAATATAGATATTAATTCATTTAAAAAATACTGTCTCGCCAAAAATGATTTAAAAAAAAAATCTTTTTTTGAGAAGTTCTGAGGTGATAATGGATCCTCACAATCGTCAACAGACTACAACTTAGAAACAAAACGTACAAATATCACAATATTGTGCCTTTGTTAAAATGAATCATCCTTAATGCTCATTTACCCAGCTCCTCACATTAGAAAATAGCAAGCCTGATCCTAACTGTGTTTAAATAGCGCTTCAGCTCTGCGCCTACACTTGTGTAAACACAGAGATTCATTCAAAAACACTATTGCGGGAATAATTACACTCCAATTGAAATATGTTCTGTGGTGATGCTTTTTGGCTTATTGGTGTAATTCACCATGTAAGAATAGCACCTTGGAGCGCCATTAGAGGCTCCCAGTAAATAGAACGCAAAACACACGCTTAGAAGAGAAAACATGTGTAAATTTACACATGATCATGTGATGCATGCATGCACACCCATGCGCACAGTCAAGACCTGAGAACGCAGTATTGATGATGAAATTAGATGAAAAGAAAGGTTGAAAATTGAGATACATTTCCTCAACTACTTCTCTGTACGCAGGGAATTGTTTAGGCAGATTAAAACACACACACACACACACACGAAACAGTCTAAAGTCATCTCATAATAGACCACAAGCTCTTCCATGACATGTTCAAATTGTTTGGGCTTTGTGGAGCACTTAGCTGTGCTAACACAACTGCTGTACTCTAACGAATTCCGACTAAATGTTTTTTTTTCTTACTTGTTTGATCTGTTTTTCTGTTATCTTATCTCTTATCTTCTGTCAATGATGACTTACCGTAGAGGTCAAACGGGCTGACTCAGCATGACGTTAACGGAATCTACACATTGAAACATGTTGCTACAAAGAAAATTAAGATTATATCATAATTATTTACGACTTCTCTGGGATTGAGCACGAGTGCATGAAAGTGTTCAAATGAATATCTTGTATCTGCCCGCAATTTCACATGAACGCTTCACATATTATTATAAACCCCGCCCACTTTTTTTCTAAATCAGGCACTTAAACGCAGCAGAATGATCATGATCTCGGGCAACTCGGGCCTGCTGTCTCTACGCGTCACGAAGCGGGGTTCATTCTTCAACAAAAGATGAGAATAACAAAAAAACAAGTCCTAAAGCCAGAGGGGAGTGGTGGCCCGTTGGCGTGGCCCGCTCCCCTCGCTACACCATGAACTGGGTGTAGCCCTCAGCGCCTGTGACGATCACATCCATCCAGATCCTCATGGCCTCCGGAGAGGGGGCGACCATGTAGTAGACCCGGTCGTGAGTCTTCACGCTGAAGGTCAGGGAGGGGTTCGGGCTCTGGGGGAGAGGACGAGGAGAGAACGCGTGGGAGGAAGAATGGCGCGCGGAGGAGACGGAGACGTGGACCTGACGAGTTTCAGGACAGCATGATGTCTACACACTTACCTTATGCGCATTCTTTAAGTGATCGTAATACACTTCTTCAATAGCTTGGAAGTAGATGACTCCTTTGAGCTTGGCCTCGTGCTTGTCTGCGGAGGACAGAATGTGGGTGAGTGTCCCGCTGAGTGTTGACTTTTATTCATTCAGTCGTGGTGCGATGTTAAATGTAGGAAGTACGCGCAAAGTACCTGAGTAGTAGGAGAGCGTGCGCCGGTTGCGGTCAAAGACGAACCAGCGCTTCTTCCAGGTTTTTATTTTGCCTCCCATTTTGATCAAGTAGCCCCGGCACGTCTTCTCGGAGATGGACAGGTGGAAGCACGTGTCTGTGCTGTGGCCTGCCGACTCAATGTGAGCGCGCAGGTCAAAGTCGTCCTTTCGCACCGGCAGGTACCGCGTCAGTGGCCGGGACTGAGAGAACGCGAAGGGGCGGCAAAGGGTTGAATTGATTATTCATACAAATCATGCAAATGTAAAACATATGTCAGATGGACTAAAGTAGAAGATTCTTTCATCGTGGTCCAGGAGAAAGAAAAAAAAGATGATGGATGATGCTTATGCTAAGGACTGTCAGCAAGTTCAAAAAAATACAGCGTGAAAAGTCCTTCCTTTGCTTTTTTCTTTAGAGAGAAAGACTTCTTTCATAAGAATTACTACAGTTTGAGATGACTACAGGCGACTAAACTATTTTCTCTACCAAAGAACCATCACATGTTGAGAAACATTTTCCAATGACGACTGAACACCAGCCCTTTATGTCCCGGTGTAGCTTCTTACTCGTACCTGTGCCCTCTGTTTCTCTCTCAGTTTCACCTCCCGGTCGATGAGCTTCTGCCGTCTGCTGGTCTCCTCCTGTAGTCTTTTCTCCAGGTCCTCCCTTCTTTTCCTCTCCTCGTCCAGCGCCTGTTTTCGCACTTCCATCTCTTGATCCTAAGGAGGAATTGGAATCGTTAACGAGATTAAAATAATGTAATTCCTGCAGACTTGTTAAAGAAATTCTACTGTCTCTTAACGTTTGGGGGAAAACGGGGGATGAGTTGTGACCTTGTATTCGAGGAGTCGGCTCTTTTCTGCCTGGGCTTCTCTGAGCAGGCGCTCCATCTCCTCTAGCTTGACCATATTTGAAGTACTGGCACTGCAGCAGACAAGCACATAGAACAAACATGAGAAATAACTCATGGGAAATCAAACGGTGAAGGGGCGGCACCTGAAGGCTGCTCAAAAGGCCTTCATCACTTAACAACACATTGATGATTAATGGGTGACGGCCTTTAAACAGGTCGCATTTACCAAACAGTAATCAGTAATCAGTGCAGCCAATGCAAAACCATTTCTTATCTGCAAAAAAACAAGATCTGAAAAAAGGCGTTGTGAGGCCCGGTAGCTCCACCTAGTGGGTTGATGAGGAAGTGCCATGGGGTAAGATCAAATTCAAACATTCGGGGGGAATTTACATAGCTATTGTTTTTTCATGACGTGCAATCAATTGATCAAAAGTGCATTTGTTCAACATGGCAAAACGGAATAGCTGAGAGCTGCCATTTAAAATAAAATGAACCATTTAAAAAGAATCCCCACACTGTGACAGAGTACTTCTGATCATTCAGTGTTTGTGTGCGATGGATCAAAGATGAAATCCATCCTCGTCTGCTGCTCTAAACTGAAACAGTGACAGAAGAGTCTCTCTGCCTGCAGATGGTCTACACATGATGTGCATTCTTGGCCGATCCCGGCGAAGGGATTTTGTGGATGTGTTTGTCAAGCTAAGCAGTATGTTCCCCTCTCGACGTTCATCTTGATGCAAGAACACGCTTTCTCTTTTATCAGGAGCCAGAATGAAAACGGATACCAGATCTGTGATCCCAACATCGGTGAGATGAATGGTACACATTAGACTCAGTCTAAACAAAGCAGGGGGCAACGGGGTGGAGAGAGAGAGAGAGAGAGACATGAGTAACCCAAAAGGAGAAAAATAAAAGGAAAAACTTCTTCATTCCAAAAACCCTGAGGCAGAGATGAAAATGAAGTATGGAAAACATTGGTGGGCTTCATAAAATCAGCGTGATTGCATTTCGTGCAATATCTTTGTATGCTACTCAAGCGTAGAGTAGAACTAATCTTGCAGCTCCCTGTGGTCACATTAACCTCGATCCAGCCTCACTGTAACATCCATCCTTTCCTCTCTTCCTCCCCTCCTGTTGGCGTTTGCTTACCTCAATCGGTGAGAGGTAATCACACTCATCGTCATTATGTACCAGCTCAGTTCTATCTATTCAAGTATTTGGAACCCTGGAGAAGAACTTCTTTTCATCTTGGTCCAGAAAACGTCATCCGATCCGCTACAACCCAATCCGACAAAAAGCATGCTGAGGATCACAGAGGCGACCTGTTCCGGGGAAACTTGCAGAGCGATAAATCTGCGAGTGGTTTGGAGCTTTGCAAATCTCCAGAAACGAGGCCATACCATTCGTAGAAAAGAGAGGAGGGGAGACGCGAGACGGATGCAACCACTGTAAAGCGGCGAGGAGGAAAGCAAGCGGACATGGGTTTAGTGCGGATGGACGCTTGAACCAGTGAGGGCGGGGGGGGGGGGTTGACTGAACACACACACACACACCTTCATGTTTCCCCTCTTCCTCCGTAACCTGACCCTCAGAACACTAATCAAGAGTCCCCCTTAACTCGTACAACACACTCAGTTCTACACATCTTATTCTCCGGGGAGGGACCATGAAAGCTGCAGCTCCACACACTTTTTACATTAACTCACCTCCTTCTCTCATTGTTGACCCTCCGCAATTTTTGGACTCAATGTTCCATGTTAAGCACATAAAAGGAACATCCATGCATTTTTCAAACCAGCTGTCAACCGTTCACTTTTGTCATCATCCGTCATATTTTAAAAATCATTGAGGAAAAGCAGCATTGAGTCATGTTCATCAGCACATAATCCACGGATAGAAATATTCAGGCACAACACTGAAATGAGTAATAGCTACACACACACACACACACACACACACACACACACACGCCCGCACACCCTGGAGACACCCACCTGGAGACGTTGTCAGGTGAACAGGCCGAGATGCTGGTGTCGACGGAGTCCGTGCTATCCACACTCATCGTGTCAAAGGCCTGGTTGTCACGGTACCCAAAGGCATCGAGGTAGACGTTGTTCTGGGACGCCGCTCGTGAGCCGGGCTGACCTGGAGACACACGAGGGGGAAATGAACAGCATCAGCAGGGGCTGACGTCACTCATTCTCCTTAAGCATGCGGGCTCTCTGGGGTTCTACCTGCGTCGGTCACTCCACCCGGAACAACCGTTTGCCCGGAGGGCTTCAACTTTGGATCACACTGCCCCGCCACCGTGAAAACGCTCTAGTGCGTCAAGCGCAAATTGAATTCACACCCGGTCGGCGCAGCTATTCCTGGTCAAATTTGTCTCAATAGTAAAAACTAACAAACGGGAGTCCTGGACGTTCTTCAGGCAGTCCAAAGACGCGCGGAAAGAAACGCGATGTCCTCGGTAGTCGAAGGAGGAAAGACGACAATAATTATGGCGATAACTCAGCCGCTGGTAACAGGAAGAAACACACAAAACGTCTGATAGCATCTGGCCCAAGCAGCAGACCCACCCGTCTGATGAGCCGGATGAAGGCACCAAAGGGCCCGAGGGGCCAGATACACGGGTACAGCATTACCGCGAAAACAGCAGTACTCCTAGAACACAATCTGAAATGATTCTGTTCATTTTGTTTTCAGCATATCTGTCTTATAAAAGTGGGACAATGAAAGTGTTATCTAATGGAAGGTCGAAATTGGTTGAAGCCTGTGGTTTTCTTTGCACTAATAACTTTTTCATTAATTCCCTGAGGTTAGAGACAGTCCTTCATCTTCAAAAGGGATTTAAAAGTCTGCCGTGAATGAAAAGCACATTTTCTTAATTATGGGAAATGTCTGGTTGACGTTTGTGGCAGGAAGCAGCCGGTTTGGTAACAACCCTTTTACTAACTAACACAATGATGATCAAAGAGTTTTAGTCAAACGGCTACTTCTGTTTCACACACACACACACACACCCACACACACACACACAATACTTTGAACCACTTGATGGAGCGGCCCTCCTCCACTTACATTCCTGCACTATCTCCACGGACACATAAACAAATGAGAAACTCTGTCGTCCAACTAAACTCAGCGGCGTGCACACACACGTGCAAAGACAACCACGAGAGCCGGTGGTGTTTGTAAGTGAAGGCACACGTATTCCAATGTATCCGTGCACCAACAAGTAGCCTCTTCATTGGTGTGTTTTTGGTCTCTAGGTAAGTGTGAGAGAATACGTTTGCATACCTTTCTGCAGACGGCGAGAGTCAGATTCCTTGTTGGATAAGGAGAACATTCTTGGGAGAATGCTGCCGCAACTTGTGCTCTGCACCAACGGGTGATGGGCCTAAAAAAAGGCCAGAGACAACAAACCTTTTATACTTTTAGTAACGTTTATTGTTTAATTGTTTAAACAATGTAATGTATAGAATTATAATACACACACAGGCAAACACAGAGCAGGCATCATATAATTAGTATAAAAGTATTTAACCTATTCATACATAAACATTTACATATATAAGCACCTTGGTTGGGTAGCTGCGTCCCAGTGTTGCACACATAAACTGGGGGGTCGTGATGGGTGTGGTTTTCTTCCTGGGTAATGTGTCACTTAAATGGGAACCTACTTCTCTGTCAGACCTCTTCCTCTCCTCCATCAAACGGAAATGCTGTTAAAACAAACACACACACACACACACACACACACAGACACACACACACACACACACACACACACACACACACACACGAGGTAAAGTGATGTGCACAATTGATTGACAACACTAGAATTATCATTCAACTCAATTTTATTATTAAGTCATATAATACTGTTCCAATGCTTCAAGGAAAAGAAAGTTATGTGTGGGATATTTATTGTTAAATGTTCTACTTTTTGGGGCACTTTTTAAAAATGATTATCAAGAAAAAGACACTTCGGCAACAACAAACAATACTCCCAATTCTTTAATCCATGTGTATCCATAAATGAATTCCAATGTATTCATACGAGTTGGAGAGGAGAGAGACCAAAACAATAATCAGTTATTTAACCTCTGGTTTGGATACATTGTGTTTGCCGTGTAAAAAGAGACAAACACAAAGATGCTTACACGCACACTAACACACACAAATTACCTGCCTGTGTCGGTGGTGGTGGCGTTTTTTGACAGGCAGGGGGGGTGGGGGTGAGTCGGGGAGGGGGGAGGGGTCTCTATAAGACACCATGTTCTCTGGCCAGTGCACAGAGGGTGTTTTGGGGAGGGGACGAAGGTGGGAAGAGGAGGAAGAGGAAGAAGAGGAGGGACAGGCAGCAGGTGAGGAGGAATGGCAAAGCTTTGAAAAGAAGAAAGGAATATTGTCAGAAAAACTGGAAAAGAAAAGAGAATTGAGGGAAAGGCTTTCACACGCAAACGCTCTTTCAATCCTCCGCGCTGAGTTATTAACGCCCTTAACACCCCTGCACACACACCTCATCCTCCGGTGGTTTGGGGGTGTCGTCGTCACGGGAGGAGTTTGACTCGGACTCAGGAGAGCCATTGGCCAGAGCGGGGGCAGGGGCGGGTTTAGGGTCCGCCCCGAGCTGTGAGTAAAGCTCATTGATTTCACTGACTGTGATATAGCCCTGGATGTGTCACAAGGAAAGGTGGGGGGAGGGGGGGGGGAGAAGGGATGAGGCATATCATGATGTGAGTCAGCCATATTAAAGACAAACGTTGGTCATTAGTTGTTAGGATGGTGCAGAATTCTGTGGCAGTTTGAGAAATTTCAACGCAAAAATGCTCTGTTAGAATTAAGTCACACATACACAGTACGGACAACGGTAAATCAGTGGTTTACACAAGGCGTTATAACGGGGGTCCAAGGTATTAATACATGCAAGTATGAGCTGTGCGTTACAACGAGAAAGGGCGGGAATACAAGCAGAATAAAGGAACAAAGAACAGGACGGATGATTGGATTAAAAATAGGCCGTCCTGGACGGAAAGTAAAATATTAATGGAAATAAGCCAAAAGTACCTCTGCATTCTTGAGAGAAACAGAGGTGAGGAGGGATGCGAGGGCGCACAAGTTGACTGGGGGAGGAGAAATTGCGGCTGAAGCTGTGTCACTAAAACACACGTCAGCCAGAGGGGCTGCACCCTAACAGAGAAGGAAACCTCAAGGATTAAAAATGATGGAAGTCCCGCGAGTTCAAAGAGTAGGACAATCTCCATGTCCTTGTCAGGCAGCTGTCTGTCAAACCCACCTCCCTCAGCGTGAAACCTCGGCCACCAGTGAGGTCAGCATATTTCCTTTCCAGCATGGCGAGGTTTTCTTTCTCCTAATGGACGGAAAAGGGAAACCAAAACGCAGCTAAAAACAAAAAACAAATCTTTTCATGGTGGCTTTTGCTTCGTGCACAGAAGGAAGGACGTGGTACCCTCTGCAGCATCGCTTCGAGGGTGCTCCTCTCCTTTAAGAAACTATCCTTCTCTCGCTGAGCCTGCTGGGTAATCTGTGTTGCCTGCTTCTTCAGAGTTAACAGACGTTCCTGAAAGAGAAGTGGAAGCAGCTTGTTATGTCATTTTAGCTTATAAATCATCAGACCAAAACTGGAGCCAATGCTGCTGAAGCAAAAAAGCAAAAAAAATGTGTTGCCTTGCGGGTGAAAGTGCTCCGCTGGTAGTCGGCGGTCTCCCGGAGAAGCTGCTGCGTCTGGGTCTCCTTCTCCTCGTCCTGCCTGCTCTCTCTCTCCAGCTGCTGGAACTCCAGGTCCTCGAAGCGCTTGGACTCCGCGTCGAGCACCTCGCAGTCCTGACACACAAACGCACACAGGAACGCAGGTAAAACAGGCAGGACGACGAGGGAGCGCGCGCACGGGACGGACACACATGCCAGGACGAAGGTAAACACAAATAAATGTACCGGTTTGCAAGACCCGCGACTGACTGGAGGTCTGTGAGGGGGCTACGCTGCCTCCCACACAACGTCAGCTGGGTTGGAAACGATAAATAAAAAAATTCATCATTTTGTATCCATTTTTGTTCATTTTTTGGCGCCAATTATTTTCTATTGCTTTTTTTTTATTTAAAAAAACAGAGCACCTGCTTTCACTTCCTTCTAGTCTTGAAAATACGACTTCAAATAAGTCACGTTTTATTTCCAGCTCTCTTGCATCAGGACTGATATTACTTTACATGAGCACATTTCAAATAGATTGATACCGCAGTCAATCCGCTTCATTTAACTTTGGGATGTCAAATTATGATTAATAATAAATTAATTGTGCAGCCCTGGCTGGTTGGATATTGTTAAGTGCGGTATACTTCTATAATAGCCGGTCTCAAAGCTCTGGAGAGCAGACGCAGAAAAGCTACAGAGTTACACAGCGAGAAGAGAACAACGACCAGGTGAGGATCACAGGTGGCTCAGGAAGGAAAAGGTGTGCATGCAAGTTCAAGTACGCGAGCATCACGTGCCGGTTCACAGAGCGTCGGTGCGCACACACGTACATACATGCCCCTTTGATCTGCCGGTGTACGCATGCACAGCTGTGGCATTTCCCACCCATGGTCATTTCTCTGCGTGGATCCATTGGTTTTACGCACGTTGGCGCACGTCTTACCACGCATGCGTTTTTTGAGGTGTGTGTGTGCGTGTGCGTGTGTGTTCTTACTGACCCTTGCCAGCTGCTCCTGCAGGGGCTCCTTGGTGGCCTCGGGGCAGCTGTCCAGCTGGGAGCGCTGCTCACACACAATCTGAGCCAACCTCTCTACTCTGCCCCTCTCTGCCTGTAGCAACTCGCACGCCTGGGCAATCACACATGTCGCAGGACACATAGACGCACAACAGACGGGGGCGCGTTTGTTCATGTGCGCGACAGACAGAGGGACGAGAGACACACAGGCACACAGGACAGAGAGAGGATGGCAGCGTTAGTTGGGACTGGGGAGCCACAGTTAGTCACTACGGCGACCAGGTCAGCGAGATTAGCCTAGAGGGAGGGGAGGGAGGGGAGGCTGGGCAATAAACATCTATGATGGGATGGAGGACTGGGGGGGGTAATTGAGTAGGAATGAAGGTGGTATGAATAGTGGCATGAGCTCGTTATCCTGCTTTTTTGCTCCATTTCCTTTGGATGGAAAAGACTGATGGAATGAATGAGAAGCAACGGCTCGGTGGATCAACAGTCTCTCTATAAATAACACAACATACACACGCGCTCCAGATCTGCGCATGCGCTCATCTATCTGATCGCTCCGTCTCCCTTTCCATCCGTCTCAGGCGGTTTCGTCACATACACTGGAAGTCGAGCCGGGATTCCATCCGACTAGGGGACGAAACATCCAGGTGCCAAACCAATGCGTGCACTCGCAAACGCCCGTTAACTAATTCCACCCGCTGGTGCCCTTAAACTTCCCACGCTGCCGATGTTACCATATACTGGCAAAAACGTGGACACACACTCACACACACACACACTCATCCACGCCCATGGCCCTCCAGCAGGAGTGCGCGTAAGACCGGATCACTTGGCGACTGTTATACCCTGGGAAGTATTAGCAGATATATATTTGGACCGGAGATGGCGTGAGAGGGATTAACACCCGCCAGTTAGTCACGTGACCCCTAAATGAATGAGAGCAGTGTGTGTAGTTTCCTAAACAAATGCAAACAAACGACCGTAGGAAGGGAAATGCTGCAAGATACAAACACTCTGACTTTGCAAAGGATGCGTCGTCCGATGCGTAGTCTGCCGGTTGACGCTCGCTCGCCATTGTGACTCATTGTTTTACAGTGAAGCGTAACCTTTAAAAATACCTTTTCTTTTTCCAGCTGGGACTTGGTCTCCAGGTCAGACATCTTGGCGTGAAGTGCTTCCAGAGCATCTTTCTCCTGCTGCAGGGCAGCTACCTCCGACTCCTGCTCGGCCTCCACCAGAGCTCGCTCCAGCTCCACCTCGGGTAAGTACACACCGGTAAGTAAGCCCTTTGTAGGGACCTTGGGTTCAGCCTAACACTCCCTGATGATGTGGGAACTTCTTGTGAAAATAAGTAAAATCCCTCATTTCTCTTCACAAATAGCACTTTTAGATGTATTATTAAACCATATTAAACTCTGTCTTCTCTTTACCTCTTGGGCAGATTCATCTATCTGGTTGTCCAGCTCTTTGATCTTCTGCTCCAGCTCCTCCATGTTGTTCAGCACCTGGATCCTCTCCTCTTCCACGCGCCTCACTTCCTCCTCTGAAGGTCCGCGGCGACGGGCTGCGTCGTCTACAGCCTGGGAACCATTTTTTTTTAGAGTTTTTAGATTCATGGTAATTCGGTGGTGGTGACATCAAGTTCCAAATACTAAACACTGGTTTGCTGTGGTGAAGAAGTTGGACTGTGCATTCTGAAATCTGAACACGCAGCCAGCTGTAATCTAATAAATGATCTGGATAAAACTCCAGTCTGTGTACAAGGATGTGTATGTTGAGTCTGCAACTGTTACTCTATTTGCCCAAACACACAACTACAGAGAAACTCTCTGTCTTGGTTTCTTCTTTTAATATTTACACATGGAGCGGGACAAACACTAGCTGGGACTGTGGATTATAAACCCACAACCCACGGCCAGCCCCAGACAGCAGGGGGGTCATGAGGTTAGATGACCTTGTTTAAAAAAGGCTCATTGTTGAAGGTCGGCAGTCAACGCTGGGCTCTAGGACTTTAGATTCCTATTAAAAATCAAGCGGACGCTGCATACATGTATGTTCTGTGCATCTCTGGGCGTGTTGAAAGGATTGAGTGTGAAAATATTAAACAAGTGGCTCCACAGGACTATGCAGACGGGAAGCACTCGTACCTCAGCGGTCCTCTGTGCACGTGGAGAAGGTGACGGTGCAAAGCTTCGCAGACTGACGGCGGGGGACTCCGCCCTGCTGTCTCGGTGGCCGCTGCTGCGCCTCCGTCGTACCTGTACATCATCATCACCACAGTAACCGTTCTCCGAACCAGGGGAGCCCACGTGTCCATTCCCCATCGCTCCATTGGTAGCAGAAGAGTCGGAAAAGACCGACGGTGTGTCGTCGTCGTCATCGTCGTCGTTCAGTTGAAGCTTCTCGAGCTTCTGGTTGATCTTCCGGAGATCCGCCACAGCTGAAGTGGGACTTGTGGACGGGCCTCCTTCATCTCTCGCCGACCGGCCCAGCTCCGAACACAGAGACAGGATGGTCTCCAGCCGCTGCCGCTCCTGAGATGAACACACACACGGAGCAGGACGTGAGGTACAGGATGGATGTGGGCCAAAGGCAGGCAATTCCAAACAGTCCAGTTCTGAATGTTATAAGGCCGGAAACCTTCATGGTTGCTACAACGAGTCTCCAACTGGTTTTTAATCTGCTGCATCCCAGGAACAGATTTTCGGGGTTCCACACAAACACAGTATAACCGTTTTATGAAAACACTGATATTAAATGTAGAGCCCTATTGTGGATCAGGAGGTGAGATATACTATCCGGGATAAAAAGGGAATACAAATCACATCATCATTTCTATTAGTCAGATGTTAACTCAATACCAGTAAACCACACACTGTTATGCAGAGTCTGACTTGCGTCTTTACACATACATGCGTGTGTGTTTTTAAATTGTTTGAAAAGAAACACGAATCAAACGTTCTGTAATGTTCCAAACTAAAGAGAAGTCACAACAGCTCAGCGGGGAATCATTTCTGTCCATCATAGAATAAAGTTTAATTCTTAACTTACCTGTGGAAGCATCGCAGAAGTGAAATGCTTCGATGTCCTTGTTAAGTCCAAGAACCTTCCGGTCTAGCTCAAATAAATAGTCTCCTTTAGATATAATGTGTGCAGTCTAGAAAAACTGTCCCTCATTGGGAATCTCTGGGACAGGAGCTCCAGATATACGGACAGCTGCAGAGAGTCAGAATATACGCTCAGAGGTTCAGCAGGAGCTTCTCTGGAGGGAGGAATATTACCCCTGTGTAAGGAATATCAGAGGCGGAGCGAGGAGGGGGGGGGGGGGCAGAAGTGTGTGTGAATGTGTTAGCATCTGAGCGAGGGATATATAGAGAGAGTAAGTTAATGAGAAGGTGGACAGCTGTCAACTAGGATCGGAAGTGTGCACGAGAACAGGCCATGACTCCAAACACAAGAATGTGGAAACAGGACACTTTCCAGGAAAATGTGCTCCAGGAAGGAATCCGAAGCAGGTATTCTTTGGATTGCCTCTCGATACGTCAGTCTGACCGGAAGGGTCGATGTGAGGCATCGGATTCACGCAAAACATGCGCACGACACACTGCTCATCCTTTGTCTCATCATATATTTTATGAAACATAAACATTACTCTAATCACTAGAAATATGAACAGGTGATCATAATACAAATAGTTTACTATTGGAATCTTTTTTGTGTTAGTGAGCAAATAGAAGAAAAACAAACACCCCAATATAAAGTGTGTAATGTGAACCAGGAGCTGAGGCAGAACAAGTCTGTCGGTCACTTTGTTCTAATGAACCTACGTATGGCATAGTAATATATATATATATATATATATATATATATATATATATATATATATATATATATATATAACAAGTGGGTAAATAAGAGCTGGGGCTTTGGCCTGACACATACTGGGTAACTGCCGTGTTTTGAGGTGAAATAAAGTATTTTGTAATTGTAAGAAATAAATGATCTTGAACTTGTTCTTTAAAAAATGTTTTCTTCATTTATTTGATTATTTGTCATGATCACCTTGCATACTATTTACTCAGCCGCTTTCCTAAATGCCCATTTGTAAATATTGATGGATGAATTACAATATTATATAACATATTTAAACCTTACCAAATACAATTAAAATGTACATCCTAACTGACGTAATGTTCGCTCCAAGACATTGCTTTTGTTTTTCATGGTGCTCCTTGCAAAAATCCCCAAATAGTTGTTTATGCCAACAAACCGATGAATGCATGTTTCCTGTACCTCCACTAGAGGGCAGACATGCATCTAATCATTGTTCTATTATCAATTACTCAGAGCTGTCATTTATTAACAACACGTATTAACGTTACATTAAGGGACTTTTAACTGGGTATGAAATTATTATTGCCTCGTTTAGGAGCTCACAACAGGTAATGCGTCACACTGGAGCAAAGCCTTAAAACAAATTGTTTTAAAAGCAACCACATCATATAAAATGCTGCAGGGTTTAATGTTCTGTTTGAAGCCACTGAGAAACACAGTTTGGTTTGTACAGGATCCAGAAAAGTATTTCTCCCAGCTTAAGATACACCAGAATATGACTATATGAAAGAGAGAGTTTTTAAGAGGGAATGTTAGCCGGATTGTGAGTCCAGATGTCATTATATGTTTATCCACCTGCTGCACTGCAACCGCTCTCTAATCTTCTTGGTTTCTCGAACCAACATCTGACTGATGTGTTCTGTGGCTCTTCAGCGGTCCGAACCACACTGGGCGGACCTCCAGAAGACTGACATGAACACGCACATGTACACATGCACACATACCCGCGCAACCCAAAGTACAGGAGTAAGAATAGTCCTGTTAGTAGGGGCGAACTGCATGTGGCATCTGTGGAATGGTGAGCCTCACTCTGTGTGTGTATGTGTGTGTGTGTGTGTGCTCGCCGGGAGAGTATGTTTGAGGGGACAAGGAGGAGTTTGGTGCCCGGGTATGTATTTGTCTCAACTCCTTCCATTTCTTGTGCGTCCTTGTGGGATTGTGTGTTGTGTGCAAAACAACAGCAACGTTACAGTGCAAATACAAACTGGATCCCTGCTCCTTCTTTCAACGTCTGCAGCTTCAACAAACTGTTCACCTGTCAGAGGGTTGTAAATCTGTAAACTGATTAACGCGTTACCCAAGATCTCACGAGGAACATCTACATAACTGTCAGGTGTCACCTGATCTGAATGACAACATGGTGATGTGAATGGCAGAAGCTGCGTGTGCAAACAGAGAAAGCCACGTGTGCAAACACACTCAAACTCACCAGTCTTTCCACCTCCTGCTCACGGAGTCTCTCCTCTTTTTGGTGCTGATGGTAGTCGGTGAGTTCCTCCTTCCCACTCAGTGAGCTGATACTCCCCCTTCTTTCCCTGAAGCCTCCTGGCGGGGTCACTCCCGCCTTTCCAAATGACTGCCTCCTCTCGCCCAGCCCCATCCCATGTTCCAGTCCTGCCTTCCCGAATGAACACCTCCTCTCTCCGAATCCAAAGCCGAAGGACCCAGTGAGCTCCTGATCCACCCCAGACGGGCCCTCTCCCGTGTACAGTCCGCGGCTCGCCAGCCGGTCCATTTCCGGGGGGCTGGAACTCGTGGAGCCCAAGGAGCTGGTGGAAGTCAGGCTGAGCTTTTTGGCCACACGAGGAGAAGAGGAGCCCCCTGTCCTGGATGGGATGGTCACGTCAGGCGGGGTGGTCGGGGAGGCGACGGTGGGCGTAGTGGCGGGCAGGTTCTTGGGGGAGGAGAGGGAGATCGAAACAACACTTTCACCCTGATCGGTGGTTGGAATGTGATTCCTGTTGGCGGGAGGCTGGGCGGATTTACTGGAGTTGCGGTTGAGGTCGGGGCTGGCGACCCGACTGCCGTTGTAATGGTCCTTGCTGGACTTGTAACCGCCGGCAACATTGGATCGCCGCGGCGGCAGCGTCGACAGGGCCAGGGCTCCGTTGTTGTTGTCACGGGCCGATTGGAAGGGGCAGAGGCGGGGCAGCGAGCGAGTGTGCTCTCCTGCCATCATCCCATTCAGAGAGCCTGTCGAGTATTTCCGGCTCCTACTGCTGGGCACCGTCTCTTGGTGGTTGCCGTAGCTACGCCGGCCCAGACGGGGGCTGGAGGGCATGCTCGCGGCCCCTCCCGTTGAAGGAGTGCGGGAGGAGGAGGAGGAGGGAGGAGGAAGAGAGAGCAGGGCGCTGTTGCTTCCATCAACAGAGGCGGTGGAGCCTCCACCATTCCACGCGGACAGTAAAGAGGAGGAGCCCGGGTTGTACCGGCTCATGCCGTGGCCGTCCTGGCTGCGACTGGCCGAGGCGCGGCCCGATAGGGAGGAAGACGGGTCGGACCGGCGTCCAGGAGAAAGACAGGGTGCACGATCCGAGCCGTAGAACCGCCTCGCCTGCTCCTGGTAGGCTGATGAAGGTGTGGCAGGGCTCGTGACAGGTGTGGTGGGGGGTGACTGAGAGGTAGAATGGGAAAGTATTGATATGTGCAATAACTAAAAATACATAAAAAATGCTATTTTGTCATAATATCTATATATATAGCACATAGCAATGTGTATTCTTCTACATAAAGAGTAAACCCTGGTTTAGCACTGTTAGCCTCAGACAAACATGCAGGCTAACCACACAAACTCTACCGGACGGGTCGGAGTCTGATGCAGACGGTGCAGTAATACGGTGCCGAGTGATGTCTGACCTGTGTCACGCTAAAGTAGGAGGGGTTTGCATTCCCGTTGGCTCTCAGGCTGTTCTCCAGGGCCGTCTTCTTGCGCTGCAGTGTGTCCATCAAGTCCCGCAGCTCAGAGGCCGATCGCATGCCCCGAGCGCTGTTGGTGCCGCCCACCACCGCATGGCTATAGTCACTGCTAAACTTCAAATAGTCTGAATGTGGGAAGGAAATGTAATGAGAGGCACGGGGAGGCGTAAACACACAAATTAAAAAATATTAAAGAGTACGGGAAACAGTGACGTAAATGAATGTATGAATGGGGAAGCAGAGTGGAGCTGGAGGGAAATTGAAAAGAAAAGAAAAACATGGGGACGGATTGAAAAGCGCCACGGCGAGGACGAGCGACATGGAGGAACGCGAAAACAGGATGCTGAGACGGGGCGTGTACCTGAAGCATAAGAGGGGGCTGATGGCAGAACACAGACAATCTGCAACTGGCAGACCCTCACCCAGAATAGGAGTCAACTCCCCCAAACACACACACTCCCTCTCTTGCACAAAACCACCCATTAGCTCCAAGACAAACATTTTAAATCAAACTGAAGGATTTTGGGAAACAAAAAAAAAGACCACAAACTATTCTGGAATACCTTCAAGGGGCCCCTGCCTCCTATTTAAAGCAGCTTCAGCAGTGTGTGTGTGTGTGTGCGCGTGGGGGGGAGTTCAAAACCTCAGCCTGAATCGGTAAGACTCAGCAGGAAGGAAGTTAAAACTAAAACAAAAAGTAATTTTCTCTTGGTAAAACATTGCCGATGTCAACGGAAGTTTGCATGATTTCTACTTTCTGTGAAGGATTGAAAAGAAAAACAACCTCCTCGTATGTCACCCAGTCATCAGAAACAGGTAAGCAGAAGAAGAATGTGTGAGAAACCCGCCGGGTGTTCTGAATTTATCCGCGGCTTTATGTGGAAAAGGAACTATTGCAATAGACCACCCAGCGTTTAACCGTCACCCTGGCCCACCGCTGTGGCTCCGCCTGAGAGAAACACACGCGTGTGCACTTCCCATGAGCTAGGAGTGCACATATGTGTTCAAGGGGAAACCGCCGCTGCAGAGTTGTACAGGCAGAGAGCTGCAGAGCCTGACGTGCACCTCACAGCCAGTGTGAGGAAATGTCGGCCCTTACATGGTGGAGAGAAATGGGGCAGAAAAAGAAAGCCATCATAAGATCTAGACACACACACACACACACACACGCGTGCGCGCAGGGTGTTGTGTTTGTGTCCATACATGGGCAGGTGGAGGCTGCAGGCCTGGCGTGCATCAAGTCTGTTCTATCGTGAGTATTCTCCGCTGTGCGCGCCTCGTTTCCCTTTAGGTGCACGTGCACAGTGTGTGGGTGTCTGCATAAATACACAGTGTGTGTGTGTGTGTGTGTGTGTGTGTGTGTGTGTGAGAGGGTTGTAAGTCAGCTCTACAACAACATCAGAAAAGCAGCGCAGAGACGAGTGCATCGCTCACATCTTGGAGTTAAAAGAGGAAGGATTACGATGGTTATGGAGCGCAAACACACACACACACACACACACATCTTGCACCAAGCCCGATCAATCACCGAGGAGTCCAGCTGCATCACCATGGGAATGAAGAGACACCAGATGACAATAACATTCCCATGTGCTATAAATTTAGGTTTCGGGCTTGTGTATGTTCAGGAAATACTGAGAAAAGGGTCAAAGCAAACGGCTGCAGCCACTCTGACCTCAGTCTGCCATGCGTGTGTTACACACGTAACTCAAGACACACACACACACACACACACACACACACACACACACACATACGTGTCCAGGTTGTGCGTTCCTGTAACTACACCTGGAAAACCCGGTCAGCCTGTCAGTATATTTGCGATGACAGATGTTGCATGATGAGAATAAGCTGATGAAAAAACTACACGGGGCAAAGAGGTGAAAAGCAGATGGAGAAGATGAGCGACGCCATGAAGGAGGGAGAAGAGGAGGGTGGCAGAGAAAAGAGAGAGAGGAGAAACAAAGGAAAAAGAACTGAGATCAAGTAGAGCTCATAGGTAGGGTCGTCAGGTGTGTGTGTGTGTGTGTGTGTGTACCTGTGTTGTAGGCTAAAGCCGACACAGGGCTCTTTTGTGGAAGCATGCTCTTCATTCTGCTCGCCTCCTCGGGATGGTTGAACCGGAAGAAATAGGACTTACCCAGACACAGGGAGTAACCTGGGGAGGAAACACACAGACACGGGAGGTAAAACTATAAATACACCTTGTTTAGGTTGAGCGTAATCTCAAGATAATACAACAAGAACTCGTGGATCAAAAAGGTTCTTGTAAAACGGGACAAACAGCAGAATCTCAGATTCTCGCGGGTGGCAAAACACACACTCGACCCCGGCGGCAGACGAGATGAACACACGGAGCGCTGTCACGTGTACGAAGAGGCCCGTCGCAAGTACAGCTTTTGCTTTTATCCGCAGGCAGCCGGTCCAGACCACAGCGCTCTCTCTGGCCATCAATTAGGCCGCACAGGGCCAGGTATTAAACAAGATGTCAGGGTCACAACCTCTGTAATACACACAGACAGCCACAGCTGTCTCAAATAGCTCTCACAGGAGGGAGCGGGGAGGCGCTGTGTGGACACACACACACACATAAACACACAGAAGATTCTGGAAAAAAAGGAAAAGTAGGAAGACTAACTGATGCAAAGAGGAGAGATGATCACAAGGCCGGCCGGTTGACAAAGGGTCCCTTCTTCCATTCGTGTGGTGTTTTCACACTCTTTGCTTCTCGGTTCCGCTGAGGGGAACGGTTCAGATAAGCATTACAGTAACCCCCCCCCGCCCCTCCCTTGCAAGCATGTGTGTAAAAGGCTAAAGAAAAACACCTCTTTAATAGCTCCATTGCCGTTACATCAGATTCCTTGGACCTGAAGTCAGACACAGCCACTGAGGCAAGAAGGGGGGAAGGTGGGGGGGTAGCGAGAGGGCAAATGGAAAACGTCTGAATGGAAGAATGTCAAAGTTGTTTTTCTCACTGGTCCCTTCTCTGATTCTGATCCCTCGTTCGTCCCTCGCTCTCTCTCTCTCTCTGCCTCATGTCCAGCTCCACAAACACCTCCGCTGAAAAGTTGTGCTACTGGCCAGATGGGGGGGGGGACCGGTGCGCTGGGATGTGTCTGGGCCCAGACGGGCCTGAGTGCTGCGGTGAGGTGACGCTTACACCCCACACATGAAAACGGGGAAGGAAATGTTTAGTCTGCACAGCTGGAACTGTGAACTCCTCAAACACACCGCCATGTCAACACAACCTTGCAGGTTTGCGTGCAAACTGTGAAGCAGACACACACACACGTGTCATGTGTGGTAATAACCTAATAATATGTATTGCTCATTTTGATTAAACTGTGTGCATGTAAAACGCCGAGCACGCTCGGTGAATCTGTGTGAGGAGACAGGCCTCTTAACAGCGTCCGCCTAATGACTCGCAGTAACGCTCAGTATTTAACAAAGCACACACACGCACACACACACACACGCATGCACACACACACACGCACGCCCTGCCAGCAGTCAGATCTTGTAAAAACCTAATTTCCTACCCTCACTAGCCTCACCGTGCGCCCCCTTTAAAGTGTGTCGCCATGGCTTGTTCACAGCCCCGACCCCCCCGTGCAGCCAATTTCCTCCCCAGCTAACAAATAACTACTAGCTGATCCTGCCGTCCTTTCACATAAACGAATACAAGCAGTACGTGTGTGTGTGTGTGTTTGTGCCAAAGATGAGACATTCAGAAATTGTACTTTAAATGTATTGTAATGTAAATGTATTTATCTCACACATGCTACAGGGGATTACTGTGGAAAGAACCAGACCTTCTCCTAACCGTTACCAATAAAGTCCATCTGTTAGGAGATAAGAAGGGAACACAAACCATCCGCCACATTCAATTAAAAGAATGTGGATGTTTACTGCTTGCACACAAATGAAATGTGAGTCTGCTCTCATAAATAGAAGTGAGCACACACACACACACACGCACACACACAACAAAACGCTTTAATCTCATTTACGTGTCCACTTGTTTACAAGCAAATTGAGTTTTCTGCCCACGTCAAAGCCGCCTGATAACAAACACGTATGAGACCTTCTCCAATAAAGAGAAAGGGGGAAATTAGTCCCGACATACATTTATGAGATCATTTAAAGCGTGTGATCTACAAAGGCAGACCTCAGAATCTTTAAGGGCACAGATGTAAGAGCTGTATCATGTCTGGAGCCAATTTTTAGATCCAAGCAACCCAAACTACACTCTAACAAACACTGTTATGGAAGGGGAACTCAAAACGGTTTCTCGTTGTGGTTAACGTAAGCGGAGGAATCGCCAAATTGAGACCATTAGGTTAGAATGAAAAACAAACCAATAACAAAGACGCTGTGTTTGAACAACCTCTTGGACGGAACTCACTTTCCTTTCTTGGCCCGGTTGGATACGCAAAGTAATCACAACAACCAAAAGTAACTCACCCCAAAAAATGCAAAATTCACTCCGAGAATATGTAAAACATTATATGAAGAACTGTGCATATAATCCCTCGAATCGCTTTTGTACTGAACCCAAACTGAATTTACTCATTCATGAATAGACACATTCCCTAAAAAGGTCCCAATGGGAGGTTTAATTGGCCACGAAACCACAAATGAACCCTCTGTGGGGCAAAGTGGTCAGTGACATTATAAAAAAAACAGACTGGTCTTTCTCAGGGTGCTCAGTGTAGATTAGTTTAGACACTCACAGGCAGATTAACACACACATAATCTAACTCCTGCCCCGGAGCTCAGTCGATATCTTATCTGCTCCATCTCAATGGAAAGAAAAGGGCTAAAGGCAAACAAAAAACAAAAGGATCTCTTCTTCGTATTCACCTGGTTTAAAGATCTTTCTTCTCTTTTACGTCCCTGTAAATGTGCTCCCGCGGCAGGAAGAAGAGAGACTTGTGAACGCAACAACATCCATGAAAATAAGGGTAGGTTTTCTTTTCAGGTATCAGGTATCCTGACCGCTGAGCCCTGTGAGGCTGCTCCTCTTTGTCACACCACACGCCGGTCTGTGGACCTGTAAGAGCTCATCTATGATCCATCAAAACCTGCAGGAAACATATTCTGCAGCCAACAGGTTGAGACCAAAACCAATATGAACATATAAAAACACCGCGTGAAGCTGCCTCTACAGGCTTGTGTGATATGTTTAAATAGCAAAAAGTAGCATAGCTAATTACCATTTGAGGTCGGATGGGTCTCAATTTGCATCTGCGATGACTCGCCCCGCAGCCAATCAGGAGGGAGGAAGAACAAGTCGTGTCAGCTGATGAGGCCGTGCATGACCAGCCAACTCATATGACAAGGTTCAAATAAACACACGTATCGACAGGCTGGTTCAAATCAATGACTTATTCGTCCTTCATATAAACTGTGCGTGTGCGGAAAAAAAGAGGGACCTAATGGGAAAACTAGAGCAGCCCACAATACCTGTAAGGCAGTAATACACACAGTGCATCCAAGAAGAGCTGTCTGGGATGGGCCTCGCTCTAAAAAAAGTACACTTCAGTGGAGTAAAGGCTTTAAATATTGCATATAGTTCATATGCAACACGACCTTCTTACTTTTGTTGAATAAAAACCCCGTGACATACCTTGTGAGTCCCATTCAGCGAACGCGTTTCACGACACAGAGAAAGCGTTCTCTTCCTTCCGTGATAGTGCGAAAGGAACCGTGTTCTAGGAGGGTCAAATACAGTGGAGATGGAGTCCTGTCGGTGTCTGCGGGACGCCTCTTCACGCCGTCCTGACTCCTCAGCGTGGATGGAAGAAGTTTACCTCACTGATTTACCATCCACGAGTTTGAGTACTGGACTGTACCAACTCTCGGTTAAAAAAAGGGGGGGGGTGAGGAGATTTCGGATTCACGAGAGAAAACTAATTAAAGTACCGTCGAGTAATATAACACCCATGCGGAAGGTTCAGACATTGATAGCACCAAATAGGAGGGATGAAATGAGGATTTGAGGTTATTAAAACCACATGTAAACTAATAGTGATATACGCCAACACCCTCACCTACATGTGGTAGGTTCAAAGGCTATTAGACAGTGAGGTATTCAGCGGACGCCCCCTCCGCTTTTCTTTGTCTACCTTCTATTTTCTCTCTCCTTCCTTTGAAATACCTTGAGTTGCTGTAACCCCCCCGTAAAACCGCTGGATCAAAGCGACTGACTGACTTATAATGATAAACCAATTTATTAAGCCATTCATTCATTTGACTTGAGGCAAAGCAGCAGTGGGGAAGGGGCAGACAGACAGACTGGCTACATAAAGAAATGGAGGATTATGGGAGGGAGTAACTCTTGCAAGTTTTAAATTCTCCCCCGAGCCTCTGTGAAGGGTCGACCGCTCCGAGCCTGTGCTTGTAATGCTGGTTTGTAAGTGATTGTTGTGGGTTGCGGTGATTTATATTGTCATCATTCTGCTATGATGCTGCACGGACATATTTAACAAGTCAATTCCAGCGGTTCAAGTTGGTTAGAAGAGAAGCTGATGTGATTCCAGGTCAAGTTCTGAAGTCCCGAATAAAGAACAGATCGCTTCCTAAACATAGCTAATCATCATCAGGCCGCACTACAGTGTGCCTGTGTGTGTGTGTGTGTGTGTGTGTGTGTGTGTGTGTGTCAGTGTGGTTACACAACTCAAACCAGAGCACATGAGGCAATTCCTAAAAGATGTTCTCTCTCTCCATAATTTTCCAAACCATGCCCTTTTTATGGTTCTTATCCTTTTTTCTCTTGCAGTCTTTCTCTCCATCCCTGCAACTCCACGAAGCCCGAGCCATGTGTGTGTGTGTGTGTGTTTCTATGCGTGTGTAGACATACCAAGATGATGTCAATATTTGAATCAGCCTGGCACAGCAGGAAGATAAATAGCCCAGTCAATGTTTAACTTGAAATGGTCAGGCCATGCAGGCCACAATGAAAAGGAGAAAACATTACACGTGAAAGGATATATACGTGTAGAAGGAGAAGCCCGGTGCAAAAACAAGGAGCGATCTGCAACTCAGTCAATCCATAAAAAAGGGGATTTGTGGGAAGAGAGAGAGAAGACAGAGGGCAGATGGACGTGAGATCAAGATACTGACCGACAAAAACCAGACGTATGGGCAGGGGTGGACAGGATGATAAGAGAAGATATGCGTTTTGGGAGGATCCTCTGTTTGTTTGTGTGTGTGTGTGTGTGTTTTGCAAGTTCTCTGCAGTCTCCTGTAACAGAGCTTTTCGTGTGCAAGGTTCACTCTCTCGCCGCTGGAAGCTGTGACTCACTGTAGCAGCTAGCAGTTTCAAACCACAACGAATTAAAGCAAATAAGAAGTACACGTTCAGAACCCATACACAAACACATGGAAGTGCTCTACACACACAGGCATATGCATTCACGGCAAACACATTCACACACACACACACACACAAAGGTACTGTTCACCGCGCTGTTCATGTTCCACGCTCTCTTGTTCGCTCTTGCACACTCAATGAAATGAACTGAACATTCACTCCACCTATTTCCCTGACCAGGAGGTGGCAGCACATCGAACATGTACATGCGTGTGAAACACCTAATCAAGTGTGTGTGTGTCTTCCTGTATGAAGCCTGTAGCACGGGCCCTCTCTGAAAGACGGCCGAGCTACACTGTGAGTGTGTGTGTGTGTGTGTGTGTGCATATCTTACCCTGTGTGAGTGGCGTGGGGACGGTGACCTGTGCTCCATCCAGGCTGCACAGGTGACCACAGGGGTCCAGGGTCACCACCCCTCCTGTGTCACGGGTAATAGTGAGAAAGCAGTGGGGGATCAGTTTACCCCCCCAGGTTGAGAGTAAAGCGTCTACAGTTTCTACATCATCCTTTAGTGGCTCCCCGCTGAAAGATGCCGCCACGTTTTGATATAACATACAGCACACAAAGCCTGAAAGGTCTGAATGCTTAGCGTGGTAATTATACAGGAACAAATAAAACATCGGGGCAATCAATCACTCTCGCTGTCTCTTCAAAGATAATCGTCTTCTCAGTCACACGATAAACATGGCAATTTTTTAAATTGATTCGGTTGACAGATGACTCAGCTATAATTTACTGTATTTAACGGATCATCTCTTGACTAAGTGTTTTGTGATGCTGTGATCTCACCTTTTAGGCCAGTTTGTTTTCAGAAGGTTCAGTATTTTTTTTTTTTTTTAAAAGCCCGGTTGAATAAACGGGTCACGGACCAGCACGATGCACACGTGTGAACTGGGTAAGAAACTTAGATCAAAGCTGCCCGTCGTGAAATGAAACAACGGCTATTTCATTCAGAGCTCTGGCCGTGATACAAATTCATTCTGTGCTGAGTGAACTGACATCAACCTTCATTGACGATGAGACAGTGCTCCGCCTCGATGCCGGCACCCTGGATGGTGATGTCTTGAGGAATTGGAGCATCCTCTCGGCCGATGCGGGTCACTCCTGGAACATCAAGCGAAATGCAAATAAAAATGACATACATGCGAAAAATGCCTGTATTTTAGAGCCGCATGGGGGGTCTGTCGTCCACACTTTGAAGGGGCCCTTCAGTATTATCAATTGCAATTGTTTATTCTTGTTAAGTCGACATATTTGGGAGAAAAACAGACCCTGTGTTCTCCTCAAATGGCCTGTTCACATAGTTGGCATTCCTCGCTGAAGTGGAAATGGCACACTGATCAGGGAGAAAGGGGAAGTCTGTGGCAATGCGGCAAAGGTCAAATATGAAATGTCACAATGCTGGCTTCACTGTACAATTCATTTTGTTACCATCCAATGTGATATTACCATGTAATACTGTGAAACATGTTCACACTAACCCACCTATCGCAATCTTTCTATCTGCGCCGCTCTCTTGGCTCAGTAGGCGAAAACAAAAAGGATGCAGTTTAACTCAGTTTGTGTTAGCATTCCATCTACTGTCTGTAGGCTATTCAATTCTAATGCGTTGTACAAGCTTGTTGTAGATATCACAATCTTTGCTCCCATTCCTTCGCTGACGTGTGTTTGGCCGACTTGCCGGAATAATAATCGAGCTATGGCACGTGTGGCTTGCTGATTCAATGAATGTGTGTGTGTGTGTGTGTGTGTGATCGGCTGATGAAAGGGACACTCCAAACACTGATTTGGATCCTTCTAGGGTGGACTTCGGTCAGTGAGTGCTTCTCCTCTGTGGTGGATCACACTGTGGTGAAACCATGCAGTTTGAGTCATCCCTGTTTTAAATGCGGGTTGCGTCTGGCCACTGACCAATAAGTGGGGCCATTTCCGTCTCCAGTGACATAAAAATAAATAACCTGGGAGGTGTATGTAGTCATTTGTTTTAAATACAGGGAGCACCGTGCAAGGTGTTTTGTTGTTTTTACTCTATTGCGACAGAGTATAGTTTCAAAGCGGCCCCACTTCCTTGCACACACTTGGACACACACTTATCCAGTAACAGTGAGAATAAGCAATTGAAGGAGAGAAAGAGGCTAGACGTAGAGAGGCAGAGAAACAAAGGAAAGGAGGTCTAGTTGCAGCTTTACGTGACTTTTGAGAAATTACATTCATCATAAAAGAAACTCCAGGCCCTTAAAAAAGAAAAATGGCGACTGTGTGATCCGGTAATGTCAACCAATAGTGTTTTCTGTGCCGCATGTGCGTGTTTGTGCGTTACCTTCTTTCAGTGGCAGCAGGGTGATTGCCACACTGAGCCTCCCGCTGCCCAGGCTCACCAGATGAGGAGCGGCTGTCTGGACCTTCAGGCCCTTCCCCGTGTCAATCAGGTCCAGCGGCGGAGACTGCAAGCATCGGTCACATTGGGAAGGCGGTCTTCACTCATGAGCGTATTGATCATTATTATAGACTGCAGTCTCAGAAGACTAGAAGCTACCACATTAGAATTGACCCTTAAAATCATTCAGCAGGATGCTATATATATATATATAAAAAATGCCTGCTTGTGTTCTCTCACCTTGGGTTCCACTGGAGAAATTTGATCCGACTCTGGTTGAAACATCATCTCAGAGTCCTGCAGAATGGATGAGAGAGGAGAAGATACCAGCTTATCATTTATTCATGAGAGTATTTTATGTTCGGTTTTCTTTTCATGTGCATTCAAATGTTCATCGTTCGTCGTCATTTCATCATGTATAAAAATTGTGAACATGTCTGTGAGTATACGCTGCACACCAGGGTCACACAAGGACACGACGTTGATGATGATGCCCATACGTAGCTACACTCAAACACACGTACACACACATACACGCACACACAAAATAAAAACAAGACCTTGCATGGCCAGCTGCTGCCACATCAGAGGAACTCTCAGTGTGAAAGGGTTCCAAAGGGAAAATAGCACTTGAGGGGAATATATACACACACACACACACACACACACACACACACACACACACACACACACACACACACACACACACACACACACACACACACAGATATGCTGGTTTGCACTGGCAAGAACAGCAAGTAATGCTCGATGAAAACAAAGTTCCCACAACATGTTGGTACAGTCTGCCATGACTCCCTGCTGCTTTAAATGTGTGTGAGTCAAACTATATCAATATCCATTTGTCACATGACCTGGATACCAAAACGACCACGGGGCCGACATTTCCAACCAACAGATTTTGATTCACTGAGTTCATTTATGCTCCTGGTGAGACTTTCCATCTGCTCCTCTGGTCAAATCTCCAGATATGTAATAATACAAAATAGATCAGATTCATGCTCGGATGCTTTTGAACTTGGATTTTAGAGCTTTCATCAAGTGTCCGCCTCAGGACAAACCTCGTGGTAGCCGGAGCGTCAGTATACTGTAAAATATCTTGAGGGTACACGAAGAAGAAGGAAGCCTTGAGAAAACTGAAAATAGAAGGGTGTAATTAGCCTGACATTAAAGGAGGAGTATTACAAAGAGGAATGAAAACACAGCGAGATAAAACAGGGGGGAAAAAAAACCTCTCCAAATATGTGTTTGAATAAATATGCTCAGATCCACCGCCAAGGACAACCCCTGCAGGGCCCTACAATTCAATAAAACAGTCTCGCTTCTATTTGTGTGCACACACTCACACCCAGATGGATGAGTGAAATAGTTCTCACCGAACCAGAGATGATTGCAGCATAAAGGAAACCGCGCCAACCACATTTCCGTTTCTACCTTCCGCCATCTCCCGGCTCACTTCCTCTTCTCTCTCCATGTCGCCCTGTAATAATCCCCTGACAATATACAGCATGGACCTCACCATTAGTATCTGAACTCTTTGCCAATTTCTTCGGCAGTTCTTCCAACTGTCCTTCCTTCTTGTCTTCCCGTTTTCTCTCCCTTTCTATCATTTACACGACAGATCCTCTGTTTTTTTTTTTTAAGCTCAGCTTGGGAAGCACAGATCCAAGTCTGCTCCACACCACTTCCTCTCGTTCAGCGGCGGCTTCCTCTCTGAGACCACTTCCTTTACTGACTTAACACCCTTTTGTCTCTAAAGACACAGACAGAAACACACTTGCTGTTCTTCGTAATTCAGCCACGGCTGTAACCCCTGCACACACACACATTCACAAATAAAGTTCTGCGTCAGCTCCTTTTGTCATCGCATAAAGATGTGAGGCCCCTCACTGATTTTTTTCTTTTCAGCGCCACTGTAGACAAAACAAACACACGGTGTGTGATGGCAAGAAGATCAGCTTGACAAATACACAGATGAGTTGCAGATTATGTTTTTCAGAATAATGACAAGAGTTTTTCCTCTTCTTTTTCTATCTAATATCCCAGTTCCTTCCTGTGTGTCCTTTCCTGCCGCTTTGACCTTCCCCTTTTAAGTCTTTTATTCTTTACTCCATCATTCCAGCTGAGTGTCTTTCATTCTTTCCTTGGCCCCCTTTCATCTTCTTTCCCCAGGTGGAGCTCCGGTCTGTGCAGGTCCAAACAGGCTTCTGGTCGTGTTGTGCAGTCGGGTGTGTCATCCCCCCCCTTCTAGATTTTTAGATTTCAGCTACTCCGAATGACCTCCAAACCCTGATGCAGTCTACTCTCTATACTCCTAAATCACCAAAACAGATGCTTTGTTGGCCACTGGATCGCGAGCTATGAGATTACTGGATGGTCTTTGCGGATCTTATATAAACATGTAAAAAAAAATACAATATAACGATGACCATGTGTGAAGACCTTTGCTGTTAATTTCCTCCAAAGCTGCTCTTGCCAATTATATTGAAGGGTAATGTCTAAAATGGGATAGCCATCGCTCTTTGTTGCCAACGAAAAAACTCTACTGTTCCTATCAGCTCTATGGAGCTTTTTAACGTTTTTCATAATTCTCATTTCCTCTTACAGAAGGCGGCCATCTTTTTGTTGTTTTCTAAGACAAAAAGCTGTGATTAACTTCCCTGCTCAGCACCAAAGAGCATATAGGTTTACAGAGGGGAGCATTTACGCGTAGTTTCTAAACAGCCGGATCATTTTAAGAAGTTGGGGGAGACTAAAACAAATCCTTCGTCCTTCACGAAATGTACTTTTATTGACAAATTGTACTTTAAACTTGTAAAGATTGTAAAATGACAGTACCTAACTATTCTTCAAAATGTTATATTGCTGGCCAAACAATAATTGGACAGGATCTCACATTTGTTTCACAGCTACAATGGAGTTTGATGACGTAAGTAATATTTCATAATCTATGAGAATAAACATCATCAAGGTAAGGTAACATAAGAAGCAGAACGTAAGAAGATCTTCAACATTTCATAACAAACTAACTCCTTAAAACAAATGAAATGCCTGAATAAATATACAAAATAATATATTAACCACTGACATTTTCAGCAGAAATAGTCCGTTAAATAACTGCAAACAACTCACTAACACACAAGTAAATAAGCGCACGCACGCACATCTCTATTTGATCCCATCTGTGGGACAGCTGAGTATCCCAGAATGCTTAGCGTGCCCTGCAGCTGGAGACAGCGGTCGAGATGGAAAAATGGAAAAGAGAAAACCAGAAGGACATTCTCTGTTCCAATGTTTTTCTCCATGCTTCGATCCCTCTGTCCAGTCTCCCTGCTTGTATTTCCTCTACATCTGTTTTTATTTTCTCCCCCATTCAATTACTTTCTTCTCCTTCTTTGCCGTCTGTTTCTTTGGCGGGCTGTATCGTCGTGACTCTCGGGTCGTCTCAGCCTTTCTTGTGTTTACTGCTCTCTTCCTACTGTCCTTTCCCCGTGCGCGTGTTTCAACGCTGTCCGCGTCCCTCTGCATGTGTCTCTCTCTTCCTCCATCCCTCTGTCTCTCACTAGCATCCCCTCCCCTTACATTCCAGCGTTTCCCTCCCTTCCGCCCACCTGACAAAGCCAGCATTGTATCGCAGATGCTGTTTAGCATGGAGTGCCTCTATGTGGGGCTGGACGGGCTTTATCTTCCTTCTCCATACACACTCCGCCGCGCTGTGAAAACTTGAAGTATGCGCCTTCACGCACGCATACACACACACACACACACAACGCTCCCTGTTGGACATAAAACACTTATGCTCTTCTCTGTCGCTTGTCTAGTTAGATGTACTCCATCGTCTGAGGGTGAGTGTGTGTGTGTGTGTCTTGGTGATTAACACAACTTCGCTATGAACACCACAAACATCCAGCGGCATTGTTCTCCAAGCTGAACTCTCTCACACTGGAATGAACTTTTTTCCTCTTCCATCATTTGCACCAAATATCCAGGATCCTCACAGGAAAGAAAGTCCATTGTTATTGCAGCTGACTCAACGCTTGAGGAAACTTGAGTTTCTATGGAGGGTGTGTGTTTCTTCGGAAGAGCCCGGAATTACCTTTACTGCCATATGGAGAGGATCAACTGATGTTTGGGTTCCCGAGGGGCCGGATATGACAGAGAGATAAAGAGATACAGTCGATTAGTGGAGGGACATGTAACTCGCATGGTGGAATCACTGTGAGAGAGGAAGGCAGACGACAAACAGCCAAACCAAAGACTCCAGAGTGGAATCAGGATCAGGAATCAGGAAACATTAGGAAGGATAGGAAGGAGAAGAGATTAATGGTGGACCACGACTTTCCCCAAGTTGCACCATTGTCCTCCAAACAAAATAGGATCCTATACGAACACATTCTCTAAGGGCTGTGAGCTCTCAGGTGTTTGGTCGCGTGCAGTGTGAGCCCGGTGACATTATTGGTATGTTATGTCCTCCTGGTTCCTACATCATGAGAGGAGACGAGCTGACCAATAGCGGTTTTACCATCGCTCATCATTCTATGAGTCAAAACGGAAAACCCACCACCTGATAATTACAGTGGGACCCCAAGAGCAGCACCGCGCATCATCTCCTCCCTGCGAGATCAATTCAGACACACGCTGCCCGATTTAATGGCACCCTACTACACACTCGGAGACCACAAACACGCCTACTCCTCCTCTATAAGGATACGTCTGACATATGAAAGAGGCGCACGGTGATGACAGCAACGCGAAGGGAAGCTGCATGTATGCGGCGTCGATGAACCCATGGCTGCTAGAGCACGTGAGTCATGGAATAATAGTAGCTTGTGCATGCAGTGATTCACTCAGGTGTTCTTTAGGTCTGTTTGTGACAAATGTGGGGATGGAGCTCGCTCGTTAATCACACACGAGATCCAAAGCCGGCTGGGATCCGCTGTCTTATTTAAAGATCTTTCAAATTCCAATATGAACCTTTTGGCAAAAGTTAAAAAAACAATTTAGTTGAAGTTGAACAAAGAAGTTTACTAAATATATTGTCCATTGTTAGTCCTACTTCTTTTTTTACTTAAGTGTTGTATTTATCGAATTTTGAGGAGGGGCTCCAACTTGAAAATGGCAAAAGGTGCCAACGCTTTCATTGTGTTTCGGTCTTGAGCTCCAGCATGCTGTAACTCACACATGTCTAAAGCAGGACCTTTGATCAGCAGCCCCGAAACAAACAAAACGATCCCTTTGTTGTATTTGCACAGACCAAAGTCTGGAATTAAAGTCGGATAAGATTGAGCTTATCTTTAAGGAGCCCAGAGAAAACTCCCAAAGCTGCGGATAAACACCACTGGCTGTTGAAACACCGGGGAAGAAATTGTACCAAAAGTACACATTTAAATACCCCCCACGCACACAACACACGCGCGCGCGCGCTCACCATTATTGACGCCGCTCGTGTCATCGCGCAGAAAAAGCTCCTGTCCCGTTGTTCCTGTCCCTTCTTCTGTCGATGCTGCTGATCACGGTCTCGTTCTCGACAGGAGGCGCATTCCCGGTGCAGCGTGGAGCAGCCAGCGGTTTAATCCTCTGTCACACGCGTGCGTGCGTGCGCGCGCGCTCCAAACGTACACAAACGATAGGAGCCGGCGGCCTCGGCCTATTGCGACGTGTGCAGGAACGCAGCAACAGCTGGAAGTGGAGCTGGGGAGGTAGCGAGGGGAGGGAGTCTCTCTCTCTCTCTCTCTCTCTCTCTCTCTCTCACTCACACACACACACACACACACACACACACACAGAGAGCTTAATGTGCAGGTGTTAACAGACCACCTTCTATTGACCTCTCGTTCCCACTGGCTCAAAAGAGAGGGTGAGAATGGGAGAGGGGGGGTAAAAAGAGTGTGAGAGAGAGAGAGAATACCACTGGGTACCACTGGGCAGCAATGATAAAAGGCCACGATAAGAAGCATGTTTAGCTAATGATATTACGACAGGAATGCGGTCTGCAGTCCCACAACTGGTGGTTTTGATTCAGACTCTGGTGCACAAGAAACGGGCGTAACATCATGCAGCAAGTTGGTAAAGGTTCATAAAATGTAAGCATCCACCTAATTTAGTTAGAGGAGTATATTTTCTCCTCGGTAAGCATCAAAAACATCCTGATTCATCTGTATAAATGTAATTATAACAATTTTGTTTTCGTTTTTTATTATTCTCAACATTTCTGATTCCACACAACACACATTGGGGCAATGGCCAATTCTCCATATCCTTGATCCCTGTCTGTCGATTGTTGCACATGTGGCTGCTCTTTACAGTAAGTTATGTGCAGCATGTGAACATTTTTAGCTGCACGTATGAATCATGCATCAGACCGAAGACGTCACGGAGCCTGCAGTTCTATATCAGAGATAAAGGTCATTTCGTTCTGCAGATTTTTGTGCGTTCTCCAGAGTTCACAGGGTTACTTCAAACAACAGCATGCATTATGCAGAACTATAACACCATCTAAGTCGGGGAGAATTTTGTTTGGGCTTCTCACACGGATCTGAGGCAACTGAGGCGTTACGCCTGGTGTGTTGTTTTGGTTGGGAAATGATAAATGTAGGCTTGCAAGTGGTCCACTGGTTGGGACTGAGGCCATGGCTGGTTTACCCACAAACAAACACACACACACACACACACTACACAGAGTGCAAGATGATCTCGTCGTCTGAGGCATCACATGGATCTCTTTGTGGAAAAACAGGAAGGGAGCTTTGAGCACCCGGCTCTGCTCCACTTTCTCTACTGCTCCGATATGTGCAAAGATCTGCTGGCCAAGAGAGTCAATAAAGGTTTGCAACCCGCAGAATTACATATCCCTCAAAGTGAGAATCGGAAAATGACAAGTTCACAAGTTCACAAGCCCAACTTTGCTGCCTCTGTTTTTGTAATGATTGAGGAGGGAAAAAAGGAAACAAAGGGGTGTTGCCCCGACAAAGGAAAGCCTTGAAATGGAACAGCTAAATGTTATCAGGACAGCGCTCCCTAGTCTTGCATCCTTTTAACATTCTCTGCTGCGTGATGTTTTCAGCAGCTCTAAAGCCGCTATGCCTCCACGGTCGCTTCACTAGCAAGAGAGCTGCTAAGCTTTCCCCACTGAAATCATCCCGCCGTACGTTTGATGGCATTTCCGAGTAAATTCCACAGCCGCCCCCCTCCCATGTGACTCCAGGAGGCTGAGCAGGATCTCTGGGGCTGCTTGGAGCGGGATTCAACCGGTGTTCGGAGACATGGATTTAGACCAATGCTTCTTCTTCTTCAGCCATGTCTCAATTCTTCCAGTCTACCGCACTAAACAGGCCTTGAAGGGCCAAACCGCACGACGCCAACACTAAATCTCATTAAATCTCTGGGAAATCCCTGCTATCGTCATTGATTTGTGTGTTTTTGAGGATTGATGTGGGTAAAACTATTCAACCCACAAACTGTTTTTTAATTGTCAAACCCGATGACAGATAATGCACGACACCGTTTGTGACTCAGGGGTAGGTGAGGTGAATGTTCAGTGCACCTCCTCCCGTCGTGTCAAGTCTCTCTCATTATTTTCTCCCACCCACAATCTGTCAGAGGGAGGGATCATAATAAGATACAGTGTCCTGTGTTTTTACAGCTGGCTCAATACTGATGTCAACAGGGTCTAGAAGAGAGAACTTAGTGATCTGCATGTGATGAGTGGGACTGACCTGGTCCGCCAGGGTCACCGTCGTCACTTATCACCGGGATTACAGCAGCGGTTAAAGTCGGTTGACTCACTTACGAGTACCTTCTTTATGCTGATATAATTAGCTTTCAAAGAACTTTATTTAACGGAAAACACACCAAGCAGCCAACACATTTAGTGGGACGTTAGACATGAGATGATGAAACAAAATCTCATTAAAGGTTAAAAAAACTGACCATGTATTTTCTTGTGATGAAGCCAAGTGACAATTGTTTGCTATAACTTGTAGGATTTGTTCAAATAAGGAGAGAGAGGGGGAGAAATGACCTTATAAGACTGATGTTTAAGGAAAAGTTGCAGTTGCAGATGTACTAAGACTGTGATGATCAACCAATCCCCAAATACTTTTTGGAGAGATGTGTGTCGATCTTAGCACCTCTTTTGGGCAAAGGCTGCAAAATCACAATATACTGGTTGACAAGCACACAAGCACAAATGTAGTGTGATTACTTCAGCATTTTACGGGGAGATCATGCCCAAGTTGTGAAATTCTCCTCTGAGTCCTGGGAAGCCAGCAGGGTATAAAGAGGGCAGAGAGAAGGAGAGAGAAGGAGAGAGGACCAATCCAAACAACCAAGGAATGCTCTCCATCAGTTAGAGCCTCTGCTGTCCGCTCTCCCACTTGCCTGCCATGGTATGTGTAATTACACCACAATTAAAGTGCCTGTGCTTGTGACTCTGCATGTGTGTGTGTGTGTGAGAGAGACTTGGTGACCACTATGTCAACAATGTGACGTGGACAGAACAGGATATTTCACACAAGTGAGTCAGGGAGTGGAGAAAAAGGCAGGCAGGACTTGATATGAAAAGAAAATATTTGACTTCCCTTTTAGATGATGCTGCTGCTGCTGAAGGGGACGGGAGGACCGGAGGGAGGGGGGGTGGGGAGGGGCTGTTGAGATACCTCACTCTGCATCCTCCATTTTTTTCAATTTGAACTTTGTCTTACTTTCCTCTCTGCCGTCTAACTGCCGCTGCTTTGTAAATCAATTCTGCAGTCCGCCTGTCCTCGTCTCCTTCCCTGACCACAGGAATGCAGGGCGACTGTCACTGCAGTGCTAGCCAGGTCACGTGTAATCACAGGGCCCACAGACACACACACACACACACAAACAGCACAATAAGTCCCGCGCAAATGCAATTTAGACTACAAAACGCTGGCCCTTTTTCCCCCTCCTATTTCTAAATGTAAGTATACAAGGTAGCTTATTGAGCCTGTACAGTATACTTTACAGTAAATATACACTTTACAGTACAGTGAATTTACCCTCGTCCTTTTCTTATGAATTTCTCCTACATACCTTTACTTTGGCGGAAAGATACTATGAGCCTTTAAAGCTGTGTATATGCATTTGTGCATTGCATTGAGTATTGTAGCACAAGTTCCACACATATTTGGCTTTTGCGTCAGCATCCCCAGCCCCCCGTCTTTAAAAGGTGATTGTTTACATATACTTTACAGCCCAGCCATATGTACTAAGACAGTGTTTGCATAGAGGGATCCTTTTTTACAATATGTGACATTGCTTAACACAGTAACAAAAACACTATGTTAAAGCTGTGTTACGATTCATTTCCATCTTTTGGATTGGATGATGTTGGGTGTGAGAAAGCAGTCTGCAACCCGAACTGTGTTGAAGGGTTTGTGGCAAAAAAGTCCCACTCTCACAAAGTATCCTTGTGTAACTTGGTCCGGAATGTTCTTAAGAAAGGAATTGATACCTTGCTGCCTAAAGAAACACATATTGGCAAGATGATGATAAAAAAAAAAAATAAGAACAACATATCAAAGCAATGTAACATATTATTGTTGAAAATAACTTCCTAAGAACTCCAGCTTTAGGGAACAACTATCCAATGATAATGGAGGAATCTATCATGCAACTTCCACCACAGTCCGGGGGTCCACATGCATTTGTCCTGACGTGCAAACTTTCGTCATCTCGGTTTGCGGTCCTGTTCAGACATCAGCAGGTTGTTGAGTTTGATGACAATGTTGGCAAAGTCTGTGAGCTCCACAAAGTCAGAGGTGATGATGTTGACTCCCTCCACCCCCGGCCTCTGAGCCTCAACCCAAGACATGATGGTTGGTAGGTTTCTAGAGCCAACAGAGAGGACAGCTTCTATTAGAATGACCTTGCAAGCATACTCAAAATATGGCCAAGTTTCCATCTCTTAGAGTTATTGTTATGTCTTTAATGTCGCCAGGTTCTAATCACTTGTTTCTCGGCTGAACGTTTGTCCGTCCACCAAATTCCACAAAAAGCTGCTAATAAGTTATCTTGATGTGGGAGAAAATGGTAGAGAGGGAAAAAGGGAGTTATGTCTGTCAGTTATCATTGCTTTACATTCAAATACTTTCTGATACAGTTCTTGACGTAGAGGCACAAACACACACACACACACAAACACACACACACATGCCATGACTCACCTCAAACGCCCTTACATTCTCCGCTGCGTTTGAGCCGCCACCAGAACAAAACCAGGAAGTCAGAATGTTTGACCAACTGTGATAAACAATTCCGTTTCCTTGGAAGTGCAAAGTTAGGCCACCTCCTGTCTCGCCAGAGGAGTTTTATACCCCAGCATCAGTGGCTCTTTCTCTCACTTTTAAGGGCATGGTGGGTATGTACTCAGTCAGTTAGTATTTCCTCCGTCATTTCCACTTAAAGCTTTGGCTCAACGGGATTGATGACCGCTAAGGTTGTGCAGATAATTTTGTCCTTACTTACGAAGCAAGATCTCTTATCTGAGAGGTGAAATGTGTTTTTGTTTTGAGCCTATATAGTTTGGAAATGGATAAAGAGGATTATAGCTAACCCGTAGTTAAAAAAAACAGTGAAATGACAGAGTTTTTGTAAGAGAGACGACCAACTTATAAATGCATGGTAAGACAGATGCTGTAGGCAGTAAACCTGCTATATGTAGAGAAAACATCCACATTGGTTTGACTACTACACTGCCTTCTCCATCAGAGGGTGTAGTGAGAAATAGATACAGCCTGAGTAACAGTAGCTCAACGAATGCAGAAATAAAAGGGTAGAAGAAGCCACCGCCACCATATAATACTAATTTGTCCCATAAAGGCTCACATATTGTTGACACAAAAGTCATTGACTGGTTCATTAAAATGGTTTATTAACATATTTGTCTCATATTTTTGTGCATTGGCAACAAGTGTTTGGGTTTCCTCATGAGACCCCTTTTCATGAGCATGAGCAAAGATGACAATCCTCTTCTCTGCATGCCATGGTGACATTTACTGTACTGTCCTCTACTGGCCACAGTAACTAAATGATAAGGAGCAAAAGAGAAGCAAATAAGCTCCAGTTGCTTTGGCGCATACATGCTTGCACGTGCTTGGACGGGCGCTTAGAAGCATGGTATATGTAAAGCTAGTGTCCATGTACATCTTCACACGTTTAAAACCTTAAAAAAAACATGGGGGGGTGACTGACTTTTCCACGAGGCAGCTGCGTAGCCCCCAGACCAGGCCCTTGGCCACGGTGTTAGCCTTGGGCGTGAGGATGGCCTGAGACACGTGGAAGGAGCCCTGCTTAGCCCTTTCCCTCAGGGTAGTTTCCAGGAACTAGACAGGAGAATGTCAAACGCAGAACGGTTAAAACAAAGAAAGTGTCACCCCAAACACCCCCTTGATGTGAGAGGAGTGAGGGCTTTGCACACAGCTTGTGTAACTAAAGCTGAAACTGCAGATTACTTGGGCTTGAATCCAACATTGTGTGGAGATAGCAAGCCGCAGACATATATATCTGTGTTGATTTTCCGCTGATTGAGATAGAAGAAGTAAACATGCAGCCTCCATGTAGGCAAGTCGTTTATTTTCCCCAATGTTGTTTCCTGACCTGTGTGAGCTTGTTGGGTTGGGTGGTGTTCGCCCACGGAGCAGGGATCTTGGTTCCCGGCCACATGGCAGGAATGGCCTGAGCTGATGGATGATGGTAGAACACAATCACCTGAGGATAAAAGTAAATGGGAACGATTAAAGAGACTGTACATCTGATTGGGTGTCTTATCCAAAAGCACTTTTAACAAGACAACCTGCTGCCTTTTGGAGCTGGTTATTGGGCAGATCAAACCTTCTTTGGTGTCCTCTCGCGTGCCAACTAAGCCAATCACAGATTAGGGTCACCGGAGCAGGAGTTAAACTGATAGCATCGGAATGAGACACGGACACGCACAGAAAACCATAGGGAAATAGAATGAATCCGACCAAAAATTGAAGCACACGCACGCACACCGACGGATGTCTACGTGGAGCTTCTTGTGTCCACATATGCAAGTATTTCTATATAAAAAATAGAGAGATTTGAGACCGTAAAATAGAAAGTGCGAGATGAGGAAATAAAGGAGAAAAAATGTAGGGGAAGCCCTCCCAATTTGTTTTTAAAGATAAATGGAATACAATGGAACAAGGTGTTAACGGGATAATGTCGCCACTAATTCCAGTACAGAACAGTTGCAAGGATTACCTGCCCACAAGGGCTAAATGGGCCGTCCAGTAAACACACGCCTGCATGCCGCTTTGGTTTGTACATTAAAATGGTCTGACTTCACCAGAGTTGATACACACACAAAATAAACAGTTTGGTTTGATATGTTCAGAGGCACATTGTGAGCCAGCTTTCACGGCTGAATTCTGAGCCCACCTGGTATTTCTTTTGCCAGAGGTAGTCCAGAGTGACGCTCTCCACTTCACAGTTGTTGCAGAGCTTGCTGCCAAACACTTCCCTGAGCATGTTAATGAGGTACACGTGATGCTGTGCTTCCATTGCATAGTAGTGGTTGAAGTCAAGAAACACCACCTAAAATCAATCCAACATCCAAATCACATGTGTGCAAACTTCCTTATACAGCCAGGCTTATGTATCTATACTTCTTTCAAAATGCATTTCAAGAAGAACACAACTAAAAGAGCTTCTCACCTCTTTCCTGTGTCGGTTTAAGAAGGAATTGATTTCCAACAAGCCATCGCACACCTGTGGGGGAGAACCGAGTGGAAGGTCGAAGGTCATTTACTGCATCAGACCTAAAAGAGTTGTCCCCGTGTCACACGGAGGACCGGCACATGTCAGAATCACCCATTTCTGAAGAACTAAAGTCACAACTTTAGATCCCTTTTCAAGGTCGTCTCCATCCCACTACTCACAACATCAGAACAACACATTCTCTGCTCAGGCTGTTGGACAAGAACAAATGATAAACACTGACGGACAACACTGGACTGTGACTGATTAAATCAAATATAATTGATCACAGCAAGAAAGAATGTATAGAAGCTTTGTAGCGTGATCAAGCGTTTAAATGTCGCTACTCCACGGCTCACCTTGTGGCCAAACAGGCCGTGGATGAAGTAGATCTCATTACCAGGCTCACCTGGTTTGGACGACACCCGAAGATCAAAGTAGCGAATTCCTGCCTCTAGCTGCTCTTTAAAAGTCAAATTCTAGGAGTACAAACGTAATATATGTCATTATAACAATGAGCAGCAGAAGCCAACTGTTATTTCCAGGGTAAAATAGATAATTTAATATTTCATCTGCAAGCTATCTGGCTACTAATCTGAACTCAGTACCTGGGTCATGGACCACTTCACCATGACTTTCTTGGCCAAGACGCTGAACATGGTGGCGAGGTACTGCACATACGCCTTCTGGTCGGGCCCCACAGGAGCTTGCACGTCTACCCAGTAGGTAAACGAATCATGAGACCCTGGAAGAGAGATTTGATCACGATGGCGGGGCAATAAAAAAAGAAGGAGCAGATCACATCTCTTTAGTCCTTGTCATTTTCTACCCGAAGAGTACAGGGATGGACTTCGGGAAAGACGCGCCGAGGCCACACCTCCTTACGCGGGGACGCGGCTCACCTGGCACCGCAAGGTGTTTGAGGGGCATGGCACTGAGCTTAAACGGGAGGGAACCCATCCAGTCGGCGTTGACATTGCCGATCCCTGCAGGTCGGGTCTTCATATCAGAAACAGCCCGCCAGCAACCGCCCGCCCTGCCTCAGGCAACCGCTACCCGGGGAAATCCTGGTGACGGATCCCCATGCGCTCCCAAAAGGTAAAAAGTACCGCGGATCATCTGGCCATGTTTCGGTTAATGAAGGCAACCGATGGGACCGGCTCAAGACGTCCTCTGACTCGCACTGGACCGAGTTCGACCGGTCCCTCGGCCGGTCGTGGTCAGGGGCTTGCTGCGCTCTTCTCCAACCGGCGACTGATCCAGCATCCGTTGACGAGACAGATAGTGATAATCCTCTTACAGCAACATTCTCCTCGTTATCCCCTTCTCCCGCTTCACCTGCCTCATGCGTGTGTGTGTGTGTGTGTGTGTGTGTGTGTGTGTGTGTGTGTGTGTGTGTGTGTGTGTGTGTGTGTGTGTGTGTCCGTGCGTGAAGACCATCCCCTGGACCAATGCAAAACACGGGAACACAGGGCTGGGATAAAACTGATGCTTAGACATCAAAACATGTGTTCATTGATCAGTTCTGTTCCATTATATTCCATGGATCCATCACTTTTAATGACGGGCTTGGACGTGGCACGTGGCCTTGGTCTGGCCTAATTATAAGGTCATAATGGGCTGCGCACAAACTAAAGGTTAATAGGTTATTTGTGGAGTACTACAACGTGTTTTCGCCGCTCTCCATTGGTCGGTATGATAAATCACAGCGCCACAGCTCCCCCTGTCGGCGCAGAACGTGCATTACAGCAGTGTGTAGAGAGGTGGTAGTAAAGTGAAGAGCGCTCACACTTGTGTTTCTTCCCAAACACGAGTACTGTGACTGCCCTGCAATAATTGGGCATGTTTTGCACATGTCTTCTATTTAAAGCACCTATATATTAGGGTAAAGATTATGCATACTGGTCAAGATTGGTTTGGAACTCGCTTTATAAATAACAGAGATATAAAAGAAAAAAACGTTCCTGTTCCGTTTTTTGCCTTTCAAAAAGATACGACGGTAAATAGTTCTAGGCCATAATCACCACATAGCATTTATTCAATCCAAGTAAATTAAATTCTCATATTAATCGCGCGGAAAGATTTTACACTTCCGCAGTCCCACAATGCGCTGCGCCGGCAAAGCCACTCGTCTCCTAGCAACGTAAACCAGTTTGTGTGCACGTTTCCATGGGGAGCCGTCGCGTGCGCGCGCTCGCACGCGCCCCCTTATCGCAAGCGCTGAACTAGGTGAAGACACGACGTGCCGTTGGAGCGAAGAGCCGCCGTGCTATCAGCGGGAAACAGACAACCACCGAGCAACGGAACGACCCCCCCCACCCCCCCCTCCTCTAAGTGGTGAGTTCAAAAAGAAAGAAAGAAAGGGGAGACACGCGCGGGTGAGCCGGGTCAGGGGTTTACGTAGAGGCTGACATGTCAACAACAAATGCTCCTCGGATGTGTGACGTCACCCTGAGGCACCGAGGCTTCACTGTGTATCACGGGCCGCGTTGTAATGAATGTGCACAGCTAATTATGAGACACAAAAAGAAAAAAAGCACATGTTGATTTTACTAAGTACGCCTTGCGCTTTCCAAAAAGGTCTGTTTGCACTGTCAGGTGTGTGTACTTGTTTGTTTTCAGCATAGTTGACCTTGAATAGCCTCCCAGTGTCCTGTGGCTCAGAGAGGCCACATCTTAATTCCCTTTAAATCCCTCTACGACAGATTGCAGCGTGTGAAAGCTGAGCACAAGCCAGTCCTCTGGCCGGAATCCCGGCTTGTCTCATGCTTACCGATGCAGTCCGACTGGAATATCAAGCAGGGGTTTTGTTCAGAGAATTCATTTCTACTCTGCGGTTGAAAGTAAAAGGGTCGATTGAGTGTATATATATATGGACAATGGCATGCGGAAAGCATTGAAAGAATAAAAAAGAAAAGATTTCCACATTTTTAAGTCTCTTTGGATTGAATACAATGATTTTTTTTCAGTCAAGTCTTCCGTGTTAACAGGAACAATGACCATCCACGCATTTAAAAAGGAAAAAAAGAGCACATCCCCTGAGTAGAAAAAAAAGCTGATAATTCCTGAGTCATTTTTAAAGAGCTCTTTGACTGAATACATCCAACGCAAGTGTGATCTCCGTGGCGCCAATCAACGGAGGCAAGGTGCTCAGGGAAAGTAGTGGATGCCGGTAAGCATGATAGTGATGTAACATTCTATTTACATCCCCGTCGGCCTAATCTGCCTTTAGGGCCGGCTTTGTCATAATGTCAGACACACACCTAATCCTCCTTTCTAAGGGAAAACTAAGAAATGGCCGTTGATTCCTCCCTCAAAACCCCTGTTTAGTGGTGATTATTCTAACTGTGGTGTGATTTACTTTATTTGTAGTTGATTGGTGTCCACCTGCTGCTACTGCTGAGGGTTTCTTTTCTTCGCCCTCGCCAAAAGGATCCCAAAGGCACGATGTCGACTCTTTGCTGATCGTCCGGATCCCTCCCCTCCTAACCAGCGGATCAGTTACTGCAGGATGAGTCTGGATCTTCAAGACCTGGTGAGCACGGTGACCGAAGGTCCTTCCTCCTGGGAAAAGACCCTTTGAACCTCCCCTCGAGGAAGAGCCCGACGACTCCGAACTTGAGTGTTTCCTCAACTTGTTTTAACGCAGAGGGGAAGTTAACAAAGCTGATGACACCGCCTTGAGTGATGATGAATCGCTACACCACCCTGAAGCAGCTGGGCGATGGCACCTATGGCAGCGTGCTGATGGGGAGAAGCAACGAGTCTGGAGAACTGGTGGCTATCAAGAGGTGGGGATGTTGAACCATTTCTCACCATTAGAGCAGAGCAATATATTGATATAATGGACGTAGCTTCTAATGAAAAAGGCAGCTTTTCCAGTATTTCCTATTCTCTGTTCTCTGTAAGTATATTCACTATAAACAAGTGTAGATGAGATGATCAAATGTAGCATTTCAGCTCTGGCGTCTGATAATTGATCTCTAACGACCTACTGTACCTTCACAGTCCTAGAAAGCAGATGTACTCCATATTCCAGAAGTAGATCTAGTAGGACTAAATATTCAAAGACTAGAATTGTCTGCTCAGCATAAAAAGGATGGTAAAAAAATGAATTCAAAGTGAAGCGCTGCGGGTTTCCTCCCATCCAGCAGGCCAAACAAACCGGCTTACATGCCTTTTGTTTCTGCAGCACGGCAGCAGGTTTTCAATAATAGATGAGAAACCTGGGGAGGTGATCATTTGGTTACCGTGCAGACAATACACGGGGTAACTGTGAAAGGGAGTGAAAGTATGGAGTGTGTCGGGTTGCTGAAATTGTGAAAAGGAGTAACGAAAACTGGCAGGTGCCCAGAGAAGAGGGGGGGGGAGAAACATGCACAGTCTGTGACTCTTAAATAAGTCCAGTTGGAGGGAGCGGTGACGTTGAGCAGAGGGGATTAGCCCTCGTGCAGGTGTCCTGTACAACAGCTGCAGTACGGCCATTTAAAAAAAGATGTATTCCACACTCAATACAAGTAGATGAGAAAAACAATAGTGTATACAGTGTCAGAATGACAATATCACTTGGTGTACTACGTCTGAAATAAGAGACACGTCAAATAAAACGAGTATCGATGGGAAAGTAACTTTGCCAAGATGGGACTGTTTGTTGGGTGTAATTGATACGACCAGCACACGGGATGCCGTCTATTCTAAAAATAGTTTCCAACCTATAATTCTGGATGTTTGGCTCTCTCTCACAGAATGAAGAGGAAGTTTTATTCATGGGAAGAATGTATGAACCTAAGAGAGGTCAAGGTAAGGGTGCAGATACTTTGCACAGGTTATTTGAGCTGAACGTATATTTTTCTTGTCAAGCCATTACTGTGCAATTTCAGAAACGACGCACAAAGCTGAACGGTGGCTTTGCTTTTGTATCTTCACATTTCCCGACCCACACTTCAAAAAATGTCCAACACTGAAATGTCAAGATGGGAAATGACTGTTTTTGACAATAAAATCGTAATTTTTCGCAGTCGCTGAAGAAGCTGAACCATGCGAATGTGGTGAAACTGAAGGAGGTCATCAGAGAGAACGATCACCTCTACTTTGTCTTTGAGTATATGAAGGAGAACCTGTACCAGCTTATGAAGGACAGGTAAGAAGAGAAATACCACACTTTGCCAGGCTAATGTCTTTACAAGGTTTATAACACAGTTTGATATAAATTACCTGCATAAAGGGTTTCCAAACGTCAGCATCTAGTCAGAGTGGAGCATCTGGGGGTTGCACATTGCACTTACCCACCTGGGTCTGTTACCTGTGTTGTTTTACCAGTCCCTGTGTGTGTACAAAGTCCAAAAAATGTTTTATGTAACATTTAGCAGCCTCGTGACAATTCTGTCAATCTTATGTTTACAGAAAAAGGTTGTTTCCCGAATCAGTGATAAGAAACATAGGCTTTCAGATTTTACAAGGCCTGTCATTTATTCACAAACATGGTAGGTGTACTGTGTTCCCTTCACGCCTTGCCATTGCATGAGAGTGACAGCACACTGCAAGATTCACCGCTGAAATGCAGAAGAATATAAAATATGCAATATTTTGATCCTAAAACATGAATTTGTTATTGATTTATCAGAATCTTGTAGTCTGAGAGCTCTTCATCAAAGCCTGATCCTCCAACTCATTGGTCTGCATTTCTTTAACATAATGGATGTGTGCAGGCTTTTAGGAATATCACAGAAAAAAACATGTATTCAACACTTGTGTGTAAATTGCAAACACACCCATTGACAGCGAGCCCGTCTTTGCCTTACAGTCCACGCCTCCACACATCCAGAGCACACATGCGTGTTCAGGATTTCTCTTCTTTCTAACTGCTTTGCTTGATTTTCTCTTTTACTCCACACCCGCCCGCCCGGTCGGCTGCTAAGAGAGAATAAGAAGCTCTCAGAGAATGAAATTAGGAACATCATGTTTCAAGTGGTATCTGGGTTGGCTTTTGTACATAAGCATGGTAAGAGGCTTTACACCATCATTCTTTTCCAGTTCAAACGTAGCGCCACATTTCAGTACTTAGTTTGGGTGTATCTATATATTTTTATGTGTAATTTAGTGTGACCCCCCCACCACAGCACAGGTGACGGGAACACATGGAACTTAACTTAACTATGCGTGTCCAGAGCACCGCTAAAGCGCAGCAGTTGAGATAGCGGCCCGGCCAGGAGCGGTAGACAAGTCGGTACACACACTGCAGGCTGATGAAGCAGGTGCGCCGACTGTCAGGTCTAATTACCTGTTTGCCGACAGGTGTGTATGATGGGCCGAGTCGGTGGCGCGAGGAGAGTCAGGTGGACGATGTCCTCACACACACACACACACACACACACACACACACAGATGAGGGCAGGTGGCGAAAAAGTTTCTATTTAGAGACATTCCCTGTCGTGTGTGGTGTTTAAAGTAGTGTACAAGCAGTACTCGGATACTTTAAACCCAGACCGCCGCTGTCGAAGGTCAAGTTATAGCCATTCAGCAGCTCCCCACTTTTGCTTTTCTTGTGCTTTCTGATTTTTTTTAAAGCATTTGCAATTAATATAAAATAACAACACAGAATAGTTGCACATTATTCTATTTTGGTCATTTTTAGCCATTGTACACAGTTGGCCCTGTGCTGTACACACCGGGCTCAACTCCATGTTAACCTTTTCCACAGGTTTCTTTCACCGAGACATGAAGCCAGAGAATCTGCTGTGCATGGGTCCAGAACTGGTCAAAATAGCAGATTTCGGACTGGCCCGAGAGATCCGGTCCAAGCCGCCCTACACAGACTACGTGTCTACCAGATGGTGAGAGTATTGTCCGTCCATCAGTGGCATTACAAACACAGAGAAGAGCCTCTGCATGAATAGTAGTGTAGTTGTTCAATAATGCGCTCTGTTCATGTAGATATGCGGTGTGAGTTAATTTGAGTGTGTTCTCTTTCCAGGTACCGAGCTCCAGAGGTGCTGCTCAGGTCCTCTACCTACAGCTCTCCTATTGACCTGTGGGCTGTGGGCTGCATCATGGCAGAACTCTACACACTCCGTCCCCTTTTCCCGGGGAACAGTGAGGTGGATGAGATATTTAAGATCTGCCAAGTCCTTGGCACAGTCAAAAAGGTGAGAAGAAACTAAATGCAGTTATATGGAAGTAAGTGACCTTTATTCAGGATTTTAACTTTGTTTAAAGTAAGACAAATGATATCATTGGGGATGTCTGTTCAATCCTGTTGTTTACCATACGAGAATCCATCCTTGCTTTTTAATGGTATGACCTTGTCTGGAACTGCTATGTGAGGCTCAACCACAAGGACAGGCAGCCAATATGTAACCAATGTATTGGTTGTACAAGTGTATTAGCTCAGAAGAGAGGAAAAATACCATGTTTATAGCAAAGAATATTTCATGATATACTCTATGAGGGTCTTGGAACCTTAGCAACTATAATAATAATGAATAACAATATTGTTTCTTCTCCTAGACGGATTGGTCAGAAGGCCACCAGTTAGCCTCCGCTATGAACTTTCGCTTTCCCCAATGCGTGCCGACCCACCTGAAGACACTCATCCCTAATGCCAGCAATGAGGCTATCGCCCTGATGAGGGATCTGCTGCAGTGGGACCCCAAAAAAAGACCCACTGCTGTACAGGTAAGCAAAACTAAGCCCTAAAGGTCTGGTTACATTGTCAGAAGCCGTGGCTTTATTTGCCACATCTGGTCAAATGAATTTATTGGAAGTGAAAGCAAGATAGTCTATCAGAAAGGTAAATTCAATTATTACCCCTAAATGCAGATTAGCTCTTGTCCAAATACTGAGATTGCATTAGCATTCTAATTCCCAGTCATTTCCAGTAGGGTTTAAACCATATCACTACCACAGCCAGGGTGCTCTGCGCTGCACAAGGACATCATGTACAACACATGGTCATTGCAAAGGTAGACATAATTATCCCTCCCCTGCTGGATCCCTCTGTGGTCCCTCAGTAGAACACACCTTCCCAGAGGAAGTGATTAAGCTTTTCCTTTCCCTGCTACAAAGCACACAGGTGTTAGATGGCCATCTCATTTTAGCCAGATCTAAGGAAACCATTTAAATGCACTTTAAACTTACTTATATGTTTATTCCTTTAACTCTACACAGCATGTCCATGTTTCCAACACGCTTGTGTTTCAACACAATGGCCTAATTCATGTTTGTACTGTATGTACAGTCATTACTGTGTTTTAGAGTACATACCGGTGCAGATTATTATGAATAACAATGCTGTCTGGCCTTCCTCTCCCTTTGCAGACCCTGCGCTACCCTTACTTCCAGGTAGGACAGATCTTAGGGCCTCGCCCTCTGAGCCAAGAGGTCAAGAACATCCAGGCCAGGCCGCCGGCCCAGAAGCAGGTGTCGGACTCCAAGGCGGATCCTCAGCAGTCTTCCTCTGAGTCCAAAACCTCCACGTCCTCTTCCAGGAACCAACATCATCAGCCTCTCCAGCAGATTCCCCTTCCTCAGACTGAGAGTAAACCAGGAGGCCACAGCCATGCAGTGAGGGCTTTATTCATTGCATTTCATCTTTCAGATGATAAATAACCACTGTCCCGTCAGGAGTTAACCATATTATTATCATAAAGGAATCCTTTAGACCCCATTAGACTCCTCTCCCGAGGAGTGAGACCTGTAAGCCAATTGTGTCGTCCTCACCCGCAGAAAGCTGCGCCGCTGGGCGGTGACGGCAGCGTCGGTGGTGCTGGGATGGGGGTGCTGAAAAATGGCCGTCGTCGCTGGGGCCAGACGGCGGCCAAGACATCAGACAGCTGGGAGGAATCCGACCCGGCTGAAACCACCGCCTCCAACTCGAAGAAACCCAGCCTGGGGAACGCGGAGGAGGAGGAGGAGGCGAGCCTGAAGGAGCACCGCCCACAGTAGGTGCTTTGATGTCTCGACAGGACTGGATTTGTACTTTGGAGAATAAATGTAAGCATTTACAGTGCAGCATGTGTTGAATTTAGCTGTGAGATGATTTTCTGAGTTGTGAATGATTGTCGTAGGGTGCAGTGGAAGAAATACTGTATGCCCACGATAATGATTCCCGCCCAATCTGCATCGATTATCTGCAACCTCTCAAAGAAAAAAGTATGTGCTGTTTGCCCTTTTAAATGTCTGGTTTCCGTTTTCAGGCCAAAGGAGCAGAAACCTCTGTATTCCTTCAGCACAGTCACTAAGCTACCCAACAACGTTAAGATCGGCCAAATGGACTCTAATCTCTCAGGATCGGCTGCACGGCAGCACTATCTGAGCCAGTCGCGATACTTGCCAGGTAGGATCACATGACTAACGGTCAGTGTGGGTGATGTCAATGTACGGAAAGAAGTCCGCACAGCGCCTAGTTATAAAAGCAGTCGGAAACACTCTCGTTATAGTTTTGCAATCATAAATGTGCTATTATAGATCTGTTTATGCTTTTATATCTATATGTGTAAGGGGATTTATTCTCAAACATGACTGTAGAGTTTGTTACTGTTTTATAAAACTTGCCTATGATTGCAAAAATCCAGAACTGCAGGCTTAAGAAAGTCCACTAACACACACGTCAACGAATATTGTTTTTTTCAAAATGCCTTTTTTAATGTTTGTACCGTTTTTAATTACATAATTCCCGTCGCTTTAAGGTTTGATCGGCAAGAGTCAGACTTCTGCTGATAAGAAGCTGAGTGGTTTGACGCTGCGGGACTTGTGGGAGAACTCCTCAAACACCTTAAATAAACCGCTCGCTCCTATTGGAGGAGGATTATCTGTCACTCGAGACAACACAGGTAAGGACTAATGTAGAGGTGTTAGGAGCCGTGTGATCGGGCTTCCCGGATTTCAATCAAACGTCGGAGAAACCATATCAGAACACCTGACTTTACCCTGATTCATAGACAGTTGCAAGTTGCATTGAAAAAGTGTGTTTTGTTTCATTCATCAGTGAATATTTCATTATTTATATTATTAGTTAGTATCTTCATTTAATATCGCACGTCAATAAACCGTTTTATTCAGCAACACCTGCATCGGGGGAACCGCATTGGTTGTATTAACCTGTGACCTGACTGACAGCGGCACTACATTCCCAAAACACAACAATAGCTAAGTGGCCCTCACGCTAATGATGCAGCTAATGTCATCCTCATCAGTAGCTATGGAGCCATGGAGAAAGAAAGGCGTCTGCGGGTTGAGAGAAGGGAGACCCGTATGAATCATTTGTCATGTAGGCCGACACACTGTGTGTCCCCGCTGTGCTCGCCCCTTCTTTCTCTTCCTTCCACTGTCTCTCGCCACACGATTGCTTATTCATGGGATTAAGACTGTCGGCGTAAGATCAAGTGCTTCTTAAAAAAAAAAACCTGCGCCTTTGTTCCACCTCCCAGATATTACACACACACAACGTTTGTTTTCATGCTCTTATGAATAAACCGCACGACTGCATTTTTCTTTCTTCGTTTAAATCAAGAAAACTCTACTCTTCTTTTAGTTTTGTCCCGTTCAGCTGATATACAGCATCGTCAGCGCTAACTTGCTCATATTTTCCACCTCAACTTTTTGTTTTTCTTCTTCTCTCTTTCCGATTGCATGCCCATCTACTTGGTGTAGAAGAAGAGAATGCTTCTAAATGTGTCGATAGCGCACCAGAGAAAACGGTTGTTAAAGAAAGAATACTAGAGAAAATCGATCTCTCCAAAGGTATTTCATCGAGACGACTTCACGGGAACTGCTTTGTTTGTGTTTCACGGCTGGAAGCGATGTTGTGACTTGACTTAACTCTTAAGTCGCTATGCAGAAGCTCTTTTGTGTGAGGACATTGTAGCTGCAGTTAGTGTGTTGGCTGATAACAAGCTCCAGTGACTTAACATGCGAAAGAAAGCCGGCAGCTAAAAGCCTCTGCAGGGGGGCAATGGTACAAATACACAGTTTAACCAAAGAGCTCAGAACTCCAGTTGCTAAATAGATGTTAAATTGCACTACAACCACAACATCTTCATAAGGGAACAATGGGGCTTTCCACTCATTCTACTGATAACCATCTGTAGCTGCCGGTGAAGCAGATCGATGGAGTCGCCGGGGAAGCTGAATGACATCAATCACTTGTTTGGCTCCTCGGTAGCCGTTGCATATGCAGTAGCCACTTCACACATGTTCACACTAACCCCTCGCATCAGTAAAGCCAAGTGCGAGGACATCTATTAGGCGTGTTTGGAAATGTTTTTGTCGTTTGTGTGTGGGGGGTTTGAATGGCCCACGTTATTTTAGCTTATTTGACCCTCGGCGGTCTGCGGGTCAGCAGGCTGTAACACTGAAATAAAGACCCATCAACTGTCTTTCCTCCTCTTCCAGGGAACTTCATAAGCACCAAATATAACCTCTCCGGCGGTTATATACCTTCATTCCAAAAGAAGGAGGTGGGCTCGGTGGGGCAGAGAATCCAGCTCGCCCCTTTGGACAGCCAGCACACAAGTAAGCTTTCATTCTTTGTGAAGCTAAAAATAAAAAGCTGATTCTTGATACTTTTGGGTCAGATAACCTCCCCACTTATCTGGCTCAAGGGGTTCGACTCCTCATCAAATGTTTTAACTTTATGTATTTGGTAGAAATACATGCGTAGGCTGTCCAGTACTCGGCCGATTCCTTCTCCTTTCCAGTTTCCTGCTTGCACTTTTTTCGCCCAAACTCTCGCTCACTGGGTCTGTTTTTCTGCTCTTTTTTTCCCACTCTTTCAGTCAACTTTTCTTCTCCTGATAATAAAAAGGAAAAATTGAAATCCACAAAGCCCAAGCCCGTATCCAACTCACCTTTGAGCGAAACTAACGAAGGTATTGAAAGCTTCTAGGCTTTTGTTTATTCCTTTATGATTCTGGCGGGATTGTGTTGTTTTTATCGTTGTGCGTTGCTGCTACAATACCAGTTTTTATCTACTTTTGATGCTATTGTATGCTGTCGTGTGTAGAGACAGATACATAATATAGAAGCTGCGTTGTCACTGTATATATTTGTGATAGACAAAAGGACTGACTGGCTTGTTCCTCCAGATTACGAGGGCTGGAAGAGGAGGGCAGACAGAACTCAGATGAAGGGCAGCAGCTACTCGGCTTTGGGCAAAACCTCCGGCAATCTCCTGAGCAGAGCTCCCCCCGCGCAGCCGGTCCACGGCCGGGTGGACTGGACATCCAAATATGGTGCAAATCGGTAGCTCAGAAAGGAGGTTGTGCAGCCGCCGGTTTCGACTGTTGCCCAGTGATACACATCGTCAGCCGGAAGTCAAACACACACCAACCTGCATCCAACATGGAGGAGTCTGGCAGGGGACAAAAAAAAAGTAGTGGCACAATTCTTCGGGGAGACATTTTCCCCACCACAATGGCATCGCTTCGCTCCCAGCGGTGCAACTGTGAGGGCGCGCGGAGCCGCCGTGTTTTAGAAGATGACGTTTGCCATTAAGCTGAACCGAGACGAGCCGGTCTGCATTCCTGAAGGAGCCAGCGCGAGCCAATTCTGATGTTAGTGTTAGGGGTGTTTTGTGTAGAAACTATTGTAGCATAACTTCATTTTTATACTCTGTCAAGTATTGTATCGTTTTACTACTGATGACAAAGCATGAATCAGTCATTTTGTTAACAGCTCCTGCAACGCTTCCTCTGCTTTTATTGTCATAACATACAGTGTAATGGCTACAAAAATGATTACTTTGACTTATTGTGTACCAAAGCACACGTCTTTGTATTATGCAATTGATTGACTGAACATTTTGTAAAGCTTTTGTATAAATAAATACATGTAAAAGCCAAAAAGGACAAGACACGATTCCTATTATATAGACAAGGTACTATATTTGATCCTTTACAAAATGACATTGGTAGTAAATGACAAATGCTGACAGGAACCTCCCAAATCAGAAGACGGGGTACACATCGGAATCTCGACTCCATCAGGACTCCTGCGGTTTCTGGAGCAATGTCAAAGCGAGCTTTCCCACCATCAGAAGACTGCAACCAGAAAGGAAAAGTTTTAATGTTTGTTTGTTTTAAGCTCAGCGACTTCAATTGAATATGTTTTAGTCAGTAGTGGCACAAAAATGGATACCTTGCCCCCGCCATCAGGCCGGCTGGCATGAGCTTCCTGGATCCATAGAACCTCTTTCCCATGACGGCGGTCAGAGCTCCCGATGTGGCTGGAAGAACAGAATGCATCACGACCACAGAGACACATCATTGTTAATGTATACACGCATCACACAGTTCATCTGCACGCCGTGCAGTACAATCTGCATACCAACCGAGGGACACCCAAATGTTTTTGGGGTCATTGGAGATCTGGTAGGCGCCAAAACCTGCGAGGCCCCCGAAGAGAAGGCCCGCAGCCAGGGAGGGGGTACTGCCTTAAAAAAGCAACACACCGGTGTGTTATGAGAGTCATCGATTCTGGTTTTACGATGCAGAATTTGAACAACAGAGCTACTTGTGGAATGTGGTAATCCCAATTCTACTTACTAGAAATTGAGGGATGCAACGATGCGTCAAAGAATAGAAGAACATTAAAAAGTGCTCTACTTACCTGCTTTAAAATAACCGATGGCTCCCCCGGATGCGATGAGGGCTGCATAACCATATCCTACGTAATCTGTAGACATGCTGGACACCGGCGAGGGAGAGAACACACGTGACGTTAGCGTTGCGTTCACGGTCACTATCGAATTCAGACGATTTCCTGCTACGCGCCGAAGTTAGCCACTAAAGCGAAAAGGCTTTCCTCAGAGAAAACGAAGCCGAGTCCAGAGGACACATAACACCGGAAACATGGATAAACTCGAGGTGTCCCCCGCTGTTACACTGCTACGTTAGCTGCTGAACAGTTGTATCAACCGCGCGTGTATCGATCTCGTGCAAGCTCACACAATATATTACCCGCGCCATTTATTTTAATGTGGAGCAACTCGATCTTAAAGCGTGGATACGGTCAAAAAAGAAAACGTGAAACGCAAATTAAGCCGCACACAACCTTGCTCTTCCAGTTCGTCCTCTGTCACAACCGACGGCAGCCTGTTCTCTGCCGAGCACGAATGATTGGTGCACACAACACGCGCCGCGGTGCCTGACGGGACATGTAGGCGTCAGTGGCCATTTATGCTTATCAAACATGGAACTTGACGCCGGTTTTCACAACAACCATTGAAGTGCAATTGGAGAGGTAGTACACTAAATGCTGAGTTCAGAAACGGCGGATTTTACTAAAGCAATGCAAATAAATGACCAATACATCTATTGATTTTTTTTCCAAAGTTATATTATGGGTTTGTTATTTTATGGGTTTGTTATTTTGTGTATACCTCTCATGTTTGTCTCTCTTCCTTTGTGTGTACAATGAACATGTTCTACGTGCGTGGTTCAACAGACTATTGTTTCCAAGTCATTTGCTGTCAGGAATCTCATAACCACCTCTGTTGTTTGATATGCCAGAATGTTTGTTGATGTCTTTACTACTGTAAAAAAACAAACAGGTAGCTATCTTATGACATTGCAGTGAAAATAAACTACAGACCTCAGGATGCTCAAGGATAGTGGGAGGGACCTGGTTTTATTATTTCCGCCACAAGGTGGCACTACAGGATTAGATTAAGTTTTATTTAAGAGGTATCGCACATCGCCGAGCTTTGACAAGACTTGAGTTGCCGCGCGCCCCACATTCCAATGTTGCTTTACATGTAGAGCAAAATGTCTGGAAAGGATCAAACACACATCATAGCACCAGAATATGTATTTTCAGCATTTGAGCCTTAATGGGTGATTACTGCGAAAACAAACCGATCTTAGAGCTGAAATCTTTAGTAAAGAAAGGTGCTTTAAGGTGAACGGAAGCTGGTTTAACCAAACCCAATGAATGTCGTCCGTTTCATTTCAAACGTGACTGATGAACCGGACATTTGGTCAAATCTGTATATTTCACTGATTTGAACATGTTTCTTTTGACCAGCTGCTTTTTTGTTTAATTTACCGATGGGAAGGCTCACCGCGCGCACATTCTCATTTGGTTTCAATTACAACGCAATATGGTTTTAAATCCATCTCCGGAAGCTAGATGGCGCTATAACACAATTTATCACAGTTGGGAAGCAGCGTTACCATACGACGGGCCCCAAAACCTTCTCACTCAACAGACACTGTGATGCGGTGATCTTTGAGAGCTACACGGGGGGTCCTGTACCGGGACCGCCAGGTCCTCAGCAGGCTGACACGTGCAGCTGCCACAACAACAACAACAACAACAACAACATACCCGCTTTGTTAGAACATTTTCCAGCTTCTCCATCACAGGTCTGTGTACTTTAATGAAACGAGGGAAAGAGGAGACAACATGAAGTAAGAAAAGTTACTTCTTTTTTTTTCTCAATGAGATTGAATTCGTAATTCATCCAGTTTATTAACAGGATTCTTTTTTTTCCCAACGAGACACGATCCCCCTCATACACACACACACACGCACACACAACGGATACCAAATCAATATAGAAAATGTTATATGTAAAAATAACAATTACAACAATGCTTACATCAATAATCATTTTATTGTAATTTGTCTGAATCGGAATAGCTGTACAAATTGCCTGCGGTGCCGCCGTTGCCGACGCCTATTAAACACAGCGGCAATGTTAGGAAGCCGAGCGTCGCCCGGAGGCCCAGTGCGATGCTGGAAGTGGTTGGAAACCGAGCCTTAGACAAACAGGCTGGATATCCAACGGGGACCCCGCTCCTGTCTGAGAGTAGCTCACTGTCAGACAGCTCTGCTTTAAAACTTACTCCTCCCTTTAGTGCGCAGAGCCCCAAACTATATTTCTGATCCCCCCCCCCCCCCCTCTTTACCCAGCCCTCCTTTGTCCAGTCCTGGAGAGGTCTTTATAGCTGCAGGTATTGTGTGTGTAGTTAAAATGTCTTCGCCTTTGAAGTCAAACATGAAGGCTTGTTTTAAATATTAACACTGCAACAAAAAAAAAAAAAAAAAAAGAAGAAACAAAAATCTTTACATTCGATACGGAATTATGCAACCCCCCTAAAAAAAACAGGATTTATAGGGCTAAATGCAAAATCTCAACAAAAAGTTGGTCCAATAATCTCAGTGTATGAATTAAATATGTCTAATATAAAGTGTTAGATGTGGTGAGAGAACCGACGCAGCTGCAGCGACGTGTGTGTGTGTGTGTGTGTGTGTGTGTGTGTGTGTGTGTGTGTGTGTGTGTGTGTGTGTGTGTGTGTGTGTGTGTGTGTGTGTGTGTGCTCCGTAAAGGACTTGAAAGAGGACAAAAAACGGGTTTTGGACTAAAGCCTCGACCATTATCACCTCTGTCATTGCACGTGTTGCTCTCCTCTCTGTATGCGTGAGTGTGTGAGTTGTAGCGCGTGTGCGCGTGCGAGACACAGAGAGAGGGAGACCTCATTCGCTCTTGGCCTGGGGGGTCTACATAAGTATTAGAAATAAACAGTGGATGAATAAATAATGACCCTCACAATAGCAGGGCTCTCTGCGCAGAAGTAATGATGTTGGCAGTTAACCTTCAAATTTTCTAACTTGACACAGTTTCATTTGCAATGAGGATTCATATACAATTAACAGGAGGAAAGTATAAGATAAATACACGTCTTTTTCGGTTCTTATAACATACTACCGATTTGATTTAAATTTTCTTTCGCCCATATTTACCTATCTTGTTTAATATCATGTTTATTAATTTAGTTGTGAGATAAATTAAACGGCATCGCTTTTCACTCCTTTTCATTTTTTAATGCAAATTTACATGAAGCAAAGAATTTGTTACTCAACGAAAAATGAACTGGATGTGTTAACAGCTTCGATTTACACTCTCTGCAAATATATCTATATTTCGTAGTCACAGCAGGGACTATGATTAAGCTATAGTGCATTCCGGTATCTCTTGAGTTTCCTCAACAATAACTAATATTTAAAAGCATGTTCGTTCGATCATTTATTGTTTCATAAAAACCCAATCCGTAGTCTTTGAAGACAAAACAGGCAAATGCAGAAACCAGACACAACGTAGGTGATTCCACTTTCCCCAGGTAGTTTCTCCTGACGCGTCCACACCCGGAGCACTGCGCATGCGCCAACACTCCGCAACACTTTTTATGGCCAGGTGAGACGATCCGGTCAGGCGAAAAAAAAACAACGTAAAAGGTTCAGTTCGGCACCGGAGGCTCAATGAGATAGACACGGAACCGGATCTACCGACAACGACCAAAGGCAGCAGAAGACACAGAATGTCAATTATGGGCAGAATGGGAGAATGGCAGGTATGTGCTGCTTACTTTTAAGACAAAGACGCGGCGGGTGAACCGTGGAAACTGTCAAAATGTCCACTTTTGTTGTGCAGCAAGAGGCCGCTTTCGTGAACACGTTCCATGAAAAGAGTCGGTGTATAGTTCACAGGCACACGCTAACACGAAGAACTTATTTCATAAGGAACGCTTCTTCTTTTTTTGGGCCGTGAGGATGTTGATCGCGTGGGGTTGTAGGTTGTAATTCAGGCGGACGGTCATGTGTTTGAATCAGAAATGTGTGGAAAGCATGAGCCGTGGGTTTTGGTCGTGGAGTATTTCATATGAAACGCAGCCCTTAATATGCGGTTGCGTGTCTGAGGTGAGATGTGATTCGTCTAGCCTTTCGCGTGTATATTCACACAGGATCCATATTTGGATTGCGTGTTTCCCACTCGCAAGTTTCCAAAGCATCCCTGGTCTCGTCACTGGAATACGGGGCCTTGTTTTGTGAGGTGTGTGGGGGGTTAAAGAGACGCTAAACTTTAGTATCGCTGCTTAAAACGGAGGAAAATCATCCCCACAGACAGCCAGGCTGGATCAACAGAAACGCACATGCACATAGCTGTCATTGTCAGCCAGTTTCATCGCTCCATTCTCATTAATAGCCCAACTGCTGCTGCTGCTGCTGCAAAAAAAAGACAAGCCCTCCACCAAAAATGGTAATCTGGGTTTTTAAAACGAGAGCAGCCAACGCCTTGAAAGAGCCGGCGACCTGTCTGCCGACCCACGACCTGCTGAGGTGAAGGCTCGGCCGGCGACAGGGAAGAGCCGGGCTCCCCTGGCCGTTCATTCAAATGAAACAAGGCCATGTTGTTGTGTTAATTATTTACATCCCCCCCCCCCTAACCCCCACACACCGGCAAGCCCTCCCCTTACAGGTAGTCAATGGACCTGTAGAGCCGCTCCGAATGGCTCACCTGTTTACCATAACACAGGAAGAATGGCCTCTCAAAGCTCCCCGCTCTCAATGGGATTAAAATAACAGTTTGGGAGTTTTTTAAAAAAAAAAAAGCCCAAAAGTGTGTGTCAGGGTTGTATTTGCATAGGCCTGCCGTCCTAGAGAAGTAATGGAGACACGAGGATGAGCGGATTTGTTTTCAGTCAATGTAGACTCTTTCTTACAGCAGCATGATATTTGAATATGATTTCGTTCTTCGTTATGAAAATTGAACGTGAACGTGTAATTTGTGCAGCCTGACGCGCTTTGCTCGAGCCTCGACTTGTAGAAAACCGTCCCAGGTGCATGCAGATCCACATGCATGGCTCTGCCCTCCTCCCCCCTCAACACACGCACACACACACACACACACACAGCTCGCAGAACAGTAGGAATAATAAGCGTGTATAGCGTCCTATCGTTTTAGTTTTTACCTGTGCGCTGTCCATTGGTGTTGGTGTGAGCAGATGAGGGGAGGGGGGTGAGGGGGGGGGGGGGGGAAATCAAACGACTGTTGATATGCTAATGAGGCCCTGTGCCAGTGTTATTACAGAGCTGCTCCAGCCCTTCACTTCTACCATTAGAGGGAGACCTCAGAGCGCAAGACAGACAGAAGCCCACAGCTTCAATAAAAGTAGTTTTTCTGAGCGGGGAGCACAATTCACTGAGTGAAAACAAGACTAAGGCGATACCACTCAATATCCACCTCAACAATCCATGAAAATGCTTTGGAAATTAACTGATAACATTAAATATGAAGATTGCGAGGTAAGGGACTCCTCTTTGATTTGTTTAATTTAATTTAAGTTTGATATTTTTGTTTAAGATGATCACTTTAGGGGTACGTTTCATTGTTTTGATCCAAATATGTCAGTCTTTTGACAGGTGTTAGTGAACGCATTTAATTTAAGTGCAGAAAGTAATAGATACATGTTTTTTTATATATTTTACTAGGATCTTCTGTTTGGGTATTTGTGCGTAGCAAAATTAGAAGACAACCAGATAGTGGTAAAATCGATGATAAGAAATATATAAACAAAAATAATAACGATGATTTTGTATTATGCCAATAACAGAAATATTTTAAATGCAATTCACAGCAGTTACATCTTTATTTTATTTTTTAAAATATCACATAAAATATTTTATCCATATATAAAATAACAAGCGGATACTTAAAAAATGTATACACCATTAATTTCATTAAAATAAATATATCTTGACTAAATGGCAAATGCCGCCACACTTCGCTGCTTAACCAACATGGACATCCATAGTTTTCATTTATTTGAAACATGAGGCGTTAGAATATGCGTGTGTGCGTGTCCGTATGAGGTGCATGCGCTGACTGATTGTTGTTGGTGCGATAAACAAAGTTTGGCACGAACATCAGGGACTTCTTTTTAGCAGTGGAGAAGCCGGTTGAACGTGTTTTCACTCGCGTCCTCAGAGGATATTCTTATACAAAAATATAAGCAAAAGCTCGGCGTTCAGATTGTGGAGATTATTATTTTTTTAATTATTATTTGTTATTTACAGGCAATGTTTCCCCTCTGGTGGATGCAAATACATATAAAAACGCGCAAATGAAATCCAGTCCCAGCCCGGTGTTTCGTTATTTGAAAAAAACAAAACAAAAACTAAAGGTGTGCTGAGGGAGAAAAAGGGGGAGTGGAGCTCGGCGAGTCGCATGTAGAAAAAAAAAAAAAAAGAAAAGTTGGTGAGAGCGGCGGATCCGCGCGGCCCTGTCATAGAGACTTGGGGCATTTTATTCTCTCCCCCCCGCGACCCTCCGTCAACACATCTAAAAGTTAGCCGGTGCGACTCTGTCTTTTTGGAGTCGGAAACGGAAACCGGTGGATTTATTCGGCGGAGCAGACAGAGGAGCGAGAGAGGGAGAGAGGGGGAGAGAAAAAGCCCCCATGGAGGAGAGCTCGCTGTCGGAGTCTGAGGCGGAAAACAAAGAGTGGAGCTGTAGGAGCGAGCCGCTCGGAAAGCCCGCAACGTCTTCTGCCGGATTTTCACCCAGCTCAGAGGTGCACGTTGTTTTCCTTCCATCGCTTCCCTCCCCCCTCTCCCCTCTCCCTCCCTCCCCTGTCTGTCTGTGGTCCACCTCCCTTCATTCCTATATGCCTTTCCTTCACTTTTGCGCTTTGGCCTTGGGACCCTTTTAAAATACCCCCCCTCCTCCTCCCCCCCCCCCCCTTCTCTCTCTCTGATTCGTCAGACGGGAGTGAGTGTCCCTCTTTTTGTCTCTCTCTCTCTCCACTCCCTCCACAGTCTCCCTCCCTCTCTCTCTCCCTCCCCATCTCTGATTAGATATACCGATTCCTCCTTTCAATGGACGTCATTTAAGCGCAGACTCCTGCCTTGAGTTGCGTCCTCCGCTTCACGCCCGATTTCCGACCGTTCTTTCCCTCATTATTAAGTATTCCTGCGGTGCTAATAGTCATGAATGCGCTCTATTAGGAGTCCGAGGGGAGAGAGACGAAGAAGCGGCTCTTTTGCTAATATGAGCTCAAGCGAGGGGACGGCAGCACTGTGATAGAAGCCAAAGGGGGAGAAAAGGGGAGAAAAGAGGGTTCACCAAGAGAAACTTTTCGACCCAAAGCGGCCAGCAACGACGAATTTTTTTTGTTTTTGTTTTTAGACCCACACGAAGGGCAGCGGGGATCTAACCGTTCGTTTCTGATGGATTATCGTCCTGCTCCTGTGGCACGTATCTGACCGCCGGGGCCATCGTGATCTTTTCGGGAGAGAAGAGTCTTCTTTTGGGGGCTATAACATTTTTTGTTTTGCTGGTTAATTCCATTGGCTCGCCCTCCCCCTCCCTCTCCCCAACCCTAAACACTCAAAGTGTTTTTTTTTAAACTGATTATTCTGTCCTTGAGTGGCACCAAAATAATCCTTTGAAATGTTAGTGCACAGTTTTTCCGCGATGGTAAGTTGCTGGATCTCCGTCTCGGACACTTGGAATTTGTTTGCATATCTGATCGTGTCATAACACTTCCTTTGGCTGATTATTATTGTGAGAATCTTGCATGCTGGATACACACCGGAGAAGTGTTGGAATAATACAAGGCTCGGTTATTTATATAAAGGCATACCCATCTCTTGAATGTCGTGTTTTTACCTGAGAATTTACTTATACCATTGTATTATTATATCATTTTATTTCCAAAACTGCAAAAAAAAGTAGCTCCATTCGGTGCATCAACATGTTGTTTTTATTGTTATTTAAATCCACAAAGTTCTTCAGATTTAATAGGCTGCAAATTCCTGTCACTCAGGCCATGTTTGATAAAGCCCACAGCCTTCTGCTGTTAAAGCAAAGCGGGACAACGTCATCACTTACGGTTGTGTGTGCGTGCGTGTTTGCAAAAAAACAAACAAAGTGTATTTAGGCTTAACTCGTTTATTTCTGTCCTCCCCTGCCAGGACCGTCACGACGGCACCAGCAATGGGACAGCCAGGCTACCTCAGCTGGGCGGCGTGGGCCAGAGTCCCTACACGAGCGCCCCTCCGCTCTCCCACACGCCGAACTCGGACTTCCAGCCCCCGTACTTCCCTCCGCCCTACCAGCCCATCTACCCGCAGTCTCAGGACCCTTACTCGCACGTCAACGACCCGTACTCCCTCAACTCCCTGCACGCCCAGCCGCAGCCGCAGCACCCGGGCTGGCCGGGCCAGAGGCAGAGCCAGGAGAGCGGCCTGCTCCACCAGCACCGCGGCCTGCCCCACCAGCTGTGCCGGGAGTACCGCAGGGAAGTGCTGCTACCGTCCGGCCACGGCATCGATACGGGACTGTCGGACTCTATCTCTCTCCATGGAATACCTCACTCTTTAGACGACGTTCAGGTGAGGCGGCATTTACCCCGAGGTCCTTCGTGGGCTTAGATTGTTCTGTTCAACAAAAAAAAAAAAAAGAAGGAGGAATAAAGGTTGATTTATTAAAAAACACAGTTGGTTACCAGCACTGGTGTGATTTTTTAATAAATATAGTCGTGTAAAAATAATAACAGCAATGGTGTTATTTTTGTTTTAAATAAATATTTATTGACGTACTATTTGTTCAAGCGCCCTGCCTCTCATAATTGCTATTAATTTGTAAAAGTGTTGTCCATAATTATTGTTGTATTTGTTTAATACATGTAAGCAGGATGACATCCATTATATTATTAGTATGGTAATAGAGCGTTTTTTCTGGATGCTTAAAAAAATAGCATGACATTATGTTTAGTGCTGTCATGATCATTTTGAACAAAACGGCAATAATTTAGCTTCATAATTATAAATATATAGAATATAGTTTTCCAAACGGTCCCCATGATAATGCCTTGCAGTTGCAGCTACACTCGATGGGGTTTTGCACCATCTTATCAGTTGAATCGAATTAAATGAGCTCGATAAATACGTAGAAAAAAGCCCCCTTATTTCCACAAGGATCTTTCGGTGTTGTCTGTTCTATATATTTACCTCAGTATAAAAAGAGATGAAGCTCGCGGCTCTGCGCAACAAACAATCCCATCATGGAACCCTTACAGGAGAATTGAGTTATGGTAATCGGTGCACGATCTCTAAAGATGCATGATAAATGAGCGCTGAAAATTGTCTATAACCCTCAATTCTTATTTAGAGCACTCTTCCCAGTTATTAATCAGAAACAAACACCAATAATCCTCTAATTAGTTCATAGGCCTTTAATAGGCTGCGCCGCCGTAATTACTATCCAATCTAGATTAGAAGTTTCCTTGTGAGTAGAGCCAATACGGGGGCGAAATTGGGTCAGGATTGTGGGGCGACACAGCTTCGTTATTTAAGTCTGACTTTGTGATCTGGTGCAATGTGGCCGTCAGTGTTACCCGCTGAAAACAGCCGCGGACAATAATAACAGGTATAGGCCTGCGAGTCCCTCCGTGTTGGGTGATTGTGGCCGCTAATTGTGTCAGGCTTTGTTCGTGCGCGGCATCACGAGTTGCACGCACTCATGCACGCGACTCAGGCTCATATATATATATATATATATATATATATTTTTTTTTTTTTCTGCCTTTGTGCTAATTTTTTTTCTTCTTCTTTTCTTTTTGCACAGTCCGTTGATGATCAAGGAATTCACATTCCCGACCAGACTGTAATTAAAAAAGGTAAGCAATTTCCTCCGAGATATCATGCGTGTTTCTGCAAGCTGCACACCAATAGGCTTCACGCGCACACGCACACACGCATACACCATTCTGCTCGAGAGACCCCGATGCAATGCGGTAATGCCTGACTGATCCTAATACGCAGTAGCCTATTTTTCATTACATGGTTTCCAAGTGCATCAAACTGGCTGCACCTTTCTTTCTTTTTTTTTTTTCTTCTTCTCTTCTCGCTGATGGAATTTACTGTCAGCGTTTCAGAGGAGCGGGGAGATGAGGGGAGCTGGTGGGCTTTGTGTGCCCGTGGTATTGATGGACAAAGATTCAGGCCTATACGATTCCTGGCACTTCAGCGGGGAAAGCCAATAGCTGCAATCACACTGCACGGTCAAATTTAAAATGGAAGTTGGTAGCGCTGGATGGTCTCAGCGTGTGCAGGAGTGGCGCTAATTCCTCCTCATTTTAGGCAAAGGGACCAAAACTCGGCTTTGATGAAGCACCGAGTGATCATTTCTTATGTATTTACTGTTGAAATTATATCATCGTTGACACAACAGGGGGGGGGGGTCGTGTTCGCGTTTAAAAGCGTGTTGTCAGGTCAAATTAGGACTCACCACAATAGATATGGGGCGAGTTTTCCTTCCCTTTCTGTCCTTTTCTCCCCTTCTATGTTCTCTCTATTTTGTGTGTGCGTCTATCTGCGCATCAACATGATAATTGGCTTCTTATATTAGTAATCTCAAGAGTTCGTTTAACTCCTATTGTCTCTATTAGGCTCCCCTGAGCCATTAATGTCACAAGTGATCTATCCAAAGGCGCACAGTCCCCTTTGTCTCCGGTTACTGCACACCAAAACGGTGCAAAGCCCAGTGGTGCTGGGAAAAGCCCCCCACCTCCCCTCCGCCACCCTAGGTTCGAAATCACACACGGGCGATTTTGCTGGATACCGTGGATATGTCAAAATAGGTAGACCTGAAACCAAATCTCTGGTTTGGCGTGGCTGCTTTGCGCAAAGTCGATCCACGGTGCGTAAAAAAAAAAATCGAATGAACGAGCGCTGATATGCTGGAGAGTCGGAGTCTCCACACATAGGTGTTGCCCGCGATGCGAATCCAGATAGAAAATACACGAAGTATAAAATACTCTACATTTTGTCCGCGTAAAGTTGTTGGAGAAACATGCCGACTAATGCGCACACACATTATCAGTATAATTATTATGTCTCCATGCTATAGTCCTCATATCAGGCTCTGTTCTCGGCGCGTCCTCTCTGCTGGAGGTGTGCACATGTGGCGTTAAAACTCCAAATCAGGGGCCTAACCCCCCCCCACCCTCCTTCTCATTTAGTCAAGGCTCTGCATTGCATGAAATCCACTGAGCACGGTCTCTCTCTCGGTCTCACCGCCCTCCTGTCTCTCTCCCATATAGGTCCAGTGTCTTTATCCAAGAACAACAACATCTCCTCCATCCCCGTAAACAAGGACGGTCTTTTCGGGGGAGTGGTTAACCCCAACGAGGTGTTCTGCTCTGTTCCGGGTCGCCTGTCCCTCCTCAGCTCCACGTCAAAGTACAAGGTCACTGTGGCAGAGGTGCAGAGACGCCTCTCGCCGCCCGAGTGCCTCAACGCCTCCCTGCTGGGTGGAGTGCTGAGGAGGTGAGTTCGACTAGAAGGATGCTTTAAAAAAAACTCCTCTGTACCTGTCTTTCTATGTGCGTGTGTGTGTGTGTGTGTGTGTGTGTGTGTGTGTGGACTCTCTTCCTCTACTCCAATCCACTCGCTCTGTGAGCGTGTATCTCTCTCCTCTGTACCAAGAATAATTAAAATCGACCAACCATGACACCTAGCTCCTGCATTTAAAGCAGGAGGGGTCTGTTAAATTCCATATTAACTTCCCTGGCGCACTGGATCTCTCTCTCTCTCTCTCAAATGAATGTAGGCCTAGTCTGTTTCATGCCCCAGCTCTATAGGCCCAGTGAAGGCATTACACATGAAAACATTGGTCTCCAATGAACTGTCTACTGAAGTGCTGTAGACACGCAGCCATAGTCCTGCCTATTAAGTAGGGCTTTATATATTCGTTTTGTACAGTATTTGTCTGCCGGTGAAAAGGCTGGGCTTTTAAAAAAAATATTATTTATAGCTCTTGTGAGGTATAATGAAGGCAAAGCCTGATAGATTCAGTCCATTCACCTTTTAATTTGGACCACATTTATTGGTTCATATTCGATATCATGCACTGTGGAAAGCATCACCACAATTTGAATATGAAAGGCCAAATTTGATACAAGTCATACACAAATTGCTAGATATTTGTATGTCCTAACCACAGTTTCCCCGATAAATCACGACATTGATGCATATTTTATAGATTCAAATATCTGCTCTTATCCGTCTCAGGGCCAAGTCTAAGAATGGAGGAAGATCCTTAAGGGAGAAGCTGGATAAGATCGGCTTGAATCTACCTGCGGGCAGACGTAAAGCTGCCAACGTCACGTTGCTGACGTCACTAGTCGAAGGTAAGTTGTGAGCCATAAATCACGTTCCCACTCACGTTGCTCCCGCGATACCAGGTGCTTTCAAACAGCCCCCCCCCCTCCCCCGCTCCCCCTTTCTTTCTCTCTCTCCCTCCCTCTCTCTCTCTGTGTGTTGGAAATCAGCATATGCGCTCATCCGTGTAATGTGGACCGACTTTGCCTCGCAAGTAATAAAGCATGAAGGATATGCGTGTGTGTGTGTGTGTGTGTGTGTGTGTGTGTGTGTGTGTGTGTGTGTGTGTGTGTGTGTGTGTGGAGAGGGAGAGAGAGAGAGAGAGCGGGAGAGAGAGGCAGAGAGAGAATGGTGCTGGTGATTCTAGTGGCTTTACAGCGTTGGCCCCCGCTTCCAGGAGCCCACTTGCAGGTCCACGGCTGGCCTAGTTTACACACTGGATGAATTTGTGTCGAAGTCCAGTTAATTATTGAGTCCTTCTTGTTTATTGGGCCCCGCCGAGCTGCTTCACCTCACGGATGAGAAGTCGATTGATTTATTAACCCTGCGTCGTTCCAAACGTTATTACAGCCCGGGTATGGCGGCGAGGGTCTGTATTCTAATGGCGACTTAATTATTTCGTTGATAGCTTCCCGTTCTTTGGTTGTCACTGCGGACTTTTGTTGCATGCAAATGGCACGGCGCTGACCTATCGGGCGCTATATATGCTTTGCGCCTATTAGAGAATAAATTACTCAACGGTGGCGCGCTGAAAAGAGACTTTTTATTTTACGCGACTGAATGACTCCGTTTTGCTTGCAGAGTTGAACCTTATTATTCAGTGCAGTGGTATTTTGTGCGCTGTGGGTTTACAAAGGTGAAAGCCCGAGATGGTCCATTGGTCCCTGTTAATCATTATTGCGCGGAAGGGCCGAATGCAATGTTCACTGCGCTTCGTGGAAACGCGGTGCTGTATTCGTTAATGAGCCTGCAGAAATGTTTGATTCTCGGTAATAAAAAAAGGAGCGGGGCGGCACGTGCGCGCCGGTGGACGGCAGAGGGTGGGAGAAGTCAGCCGGTGATTTAGTGAAGGGACACTGCGTTTGCAAGAAGTGCTGTCATTGTTGATGATCCGCTCCGGTTTTTTTTATGGAAACGAGTTTACTGGACTTGAGCTTTGATGCTAATTGGCGCATGCGTTCTTCCGGAGTAGAGGCTTATGGGCAGGAAGCCCCGCAGTAAAAAAAAAAAAAAAGAAAAGAAAAAACTCAACTGCTTCAGGAAATTAAAAGCAAAGAAGAAGCAAAGGGTGGGAGGGTAAATAAAAATAACAACCAACAAAGGAAGAGAACTCGTCTTGGACAGAATGAAAGCGGTGATGCTCGCAGATCGGGATCACCGTTTCAAATGTCTTCCCCGTGTCAACGTGATCGGCTGGACTTTCAATAATGTGCAGGCATCGGTAATCAATGACATGGTGTTAGGCATGACGCCCCGTCTATATTTCATATCCACTCACGGTCTCCCCCTCCGTCTTTAACCGCTCTCACGACGTGGAGCAGAGAACCTGCAGGCCGGGTTTTATTATTATTTGATTATTCCTTTAAGGGTACTTTTTTGTCACGATCCTTAGTTTTGTTTAGGAGGAAGGCACAGGTGCCATAACGCGCTGCTCGGATCAGATCATCATGCGTTATAGGCCAAGCAGGGGCCTGTGTGAACTGCTCTCAATTTGATGTAACCATATTTAATAAGCAAACACATTCTGCTCTTCTTTTTTTTTTTTTTTTTTTTTCCTTTCTCAGGCGAAGCGGTTCATCTTGCCAGGGATTTTGGTTATGTATGCGAGACCGAGTTTCCAGCCAAGGCGGTAGCTGAATATGTAAACCGTCAGCATTCCGACCCAAACGAACAAGTCCAAAGAAAAAACATGCTGTTGGCCACGAAGTAAGTGTTGTTATCACATCTCACTGTGTCACAAACGCACTCCAGCCTGTGCCACTGTGTGTGTGTGTGTGTGTGTGTGTGTGTGTGTGTGTGTGTGTGTGTGTGTGTGTGTGTGTGAGTGAGTGTCTTTATTTGACAATTGCACACACGTACACACAGATAACTTGACTATTTTGTATTTTACTAAAATGTCACAGTGTCCAAAAGTGCCTTCGTAACAAATACATATGTTGTACATTTTATATCAGATGTGGCCTCGTGATAAAACAGCTGGTCACCTCCGAGCTAATAACAGTCCAATACTAATTAATACTCCTTCTTTTTTTGGACACACACCCTTGAATGTTACATTTCTGCTAATTACGGATTTTATTCGGACAATTATTTTCTCATTATTTGGGCGACACGGGCGATTTCATATTAAAGCATACATCATAATTAAAAGGATTCTCGTTCAGATAAATGTGCTGCTGTTTGGTATGTTGACTGAGCCTTTCCCTCATTTGCACGCACAGCTGTATTTATTGTGCATTTGTGATTTCTCTGACATTGACACATGGCTGGTTCACCTGCAGCGCTGCCTTTGGCTTTTGGTGTTATTTATTTTTTACAATGCATTAGCTGAAACATGGGGACTCCTCAAACGACCTGCATATATTATCGATGACGTACTACATGCAGCTGTTTACTGCTTGTTAAAGGCTTTTTTTGAGTGTTATACAGTTCACTTGATTGGACCTTTAAATGGTGCAATACAAAGTTCTACACAATCTAAAATAATCTACACATAGTGTACTGCATGTAATTAAGATGTGCAGAGGAAGGTGGTTTGAGGGAATGACAACATGGCTCATGGTTACTTTTTCGTTTAATTTGTGTTTAATGCACGTGATAATCAGCCAGTGAAATCATTTGTGCTCATGTTGTCTTAAAATCCTCGTAAGAGCTCCTGCCACTGAGCTGAACTTCCACCTGTTTGTAGCCTCGGGACATTTTCTTTAGCCAAGTGATACATTTTGAAAACAAAGCAGAGGGAGAAACACTTGTAGTCCACTAATGATGTTTTGAAAAAAAAAAAAAAAGAACCATTTGAATAAGTAACAGCATCTCAACTTTGCGGCAAATTACTTTAAGAAAAATGCATAACTTGAAACCCAGAAAAAAATGGCAACTTATTGTGGCCGGTTTGTTTCATGTGATTGGTTTCGTTGGTACTAACGCGCCGCTCGATCCATCTCTCCAGGCAAGTCTGCAAAGAGTTCACAGACCTGCTGTCCCAGGACCGCTCGCCGCTCGGGAACTCGCGGCCGCAGCCCATCCTTGAACCGGGGATCCAGAGCTGTTTGACCCACTTCAGTCTAATCTCACACGGCTTCGGGACCCCGGCGCTGTGCGCGGCAGTCACGGCCCTGCAGAACTATCTGACCGAGGCTATCAAAGCCATGGACAAAATGTACCTCAACAACAACCCCAACAGTCACTCAGATAACGGCACTAAAGGCGGAGACAAAGACGAGAAGCACAGAAAGTGATGTTTCCCTCCCACCTGCACCGAAGGCCAACCCACCCCCCACCCCCCCACGGCCCCCCACCCCCGGGGAGGGGGTGGGGGGCCGTTCTTCTATACCGGCCACCCCCCCCCCCCCCTCACCCCCGCCCTCCCCTCCGCCTTGCCCCGGGCCCTCCACCCACCCAATATAAATATTATAAATACCTTATAAATACTATTGATAAAGTCGAACGTGCCACTTTCTGATCTTGCGCGGTTTTACATGTTTTTGTTTTTACATCCCACTTTGGATTCACGGGGAAACGAGGAAAGAATCTTCCTCGTCTTCTTCTTCATCTTCTTCTTCTTCTTCCTCCTCCTCCGACACCTGAACCATATGAAATGTTATTTTAAAAAAAAGAAAAAAAAAAGAAAAGAAAAAAGAAGCTGCACCGGGACAGCTCCAGGGCGAGGAAAAGGTGTGTTGCCTCGGCCAGAGGACTTTTTATGTACTACCCCTTATTTTTTATGAGCTGCAACGAACGGACTGCGATCCAGCGACCCCTCTATATCTCAATTTTACGATTGTGACCAAAAAAAAAAAAAAAAACGAAGCGAAAAGAGGATGAATTCTTATCAGTATTGTGAATAATAAACTTGAAAAACAAAGAGAAATTCCACAGAGCTCCATGTCATGACTTCAGTTGTAGACTCTCACTCTCTCAACGAACTTTTTTGAATTTCCACACGATTCGCAGTTATATAAGGGAATCCGTGTTCATGTATGTATATATTTATTTATGTGTAATTTAATGGGAATTGTAAATATGGTGCGTCTGTTGAAACTTCTTTTTTTTATTTATCTGGGTCCTCCTGTTTTAGTGGGTTTGAATATTCGGTTAGTTCTTCATGTGATTTTATGGTTCTTAGAAAACAGAAGTTTGGGGTATTTTTATTTCTCTGGGATATTTCAATTCAGCCCCCTTGTAGCATGTTGAGGCGACATTGAAGCAAGTGAACAAATTGAATAGAAATAAACATCCATTTCTCTCTCTATATATTATCATTATTCAGTTTTTCTTTAAATTTGAGACAGAGGTGAGACCCTGAGGAGCTGTTTGTTTTTTTTGTGTTCCTATTTTCGTTTTTATACAAACTTTTATGTGTAGTGCCAATCAGAATATGTTTCACCTCTTGTTCTCTCCTTGAAGCACCATAAAAGCAATAAATGGAAAATTGTCTTTTTTTCAATGTTGGAAGACATTCAAAAAAACATTTTTTGGGACCACCTGATATCTTGTTATGTCCGATAATGTCCAAAATTGGAGGCAGTTTTAGCTGTATTGTATAGACATGTGCTGGCAATAGTTCCCATGCCTGTCAATGTATTATAGTCCTTTGTTGCCCAGAAAAAAAATAAATATTTGATACGCTTCATCTCGATTTTTATTCATATCTTTTAATTTTTTATTCACGCCCTGGTGGAATTGTTTTCTTTTTTTCTTCTCTTTTTGGTCTTTTTTGGTATTTTTCCATTCTGAATGGCTACAGTAATTGAGTTTAAGTCTCCCCTGACGATTGCTCCTTGCAATAAGCAGCTGAACTCATTGTTTCCCTCAAGTATAATAAAAAAAAAAAAAAAATCTTACTTTAAACTCCCTAGTTCAGAGCACAGGATCTTATGCAGGCCAAATGGCTCACAACAATGGATATACTCGCGTTTGAAGTGTGCAGCGCCACCCCTCCAGCTAAAACCCTCTGAGATGTATACAGGCCTGGTGTGCGATGTTTGCTTGTTATCGGCTATATTCGGCTCTCCCCGGTTTATTCTGTGCTGGAGCCTTATTCAAAGACATGCATCAAATATTTGTTGTTTGCTTCTCCGTGTAATCAATGAACAATCAGCGCTCAGTGTGCTGCATTTAAATCCATATTCCGTGATATAATTAGGCCTCCACTTCCATAAAGAATCTCCTTCTCGAACTGGTATTTCGTCTCATTTCGTTGTGTTTTGCCTGAGCGAGTCCATAAATGGTGGCCATCACGCGGGCAGTTAGAGCAAATCTGAGGCCGGCCTTTTGCTTTATTTTGCGTGCAGAGCTGCAGGAAGCTGGCCGTTGCATAACATTTCTGTTGCCTTTGATTGTATATCGCCGGCGTGGCACCTATATAGCTCGAAATCAATCTCGTCTGGAGCCTGAATCAGTCCTGTGATGTATACATCTTGCTGTTTTTTTTTTTTTTTGCTTCTCCTATTTCACTGTCTGGTAACCATGTCGTTTAAAATATTGTAACATCGGGCCCCCCCCCTCTCTTTTTTCCTCTCCCTTCCTCCAACCTCCTCAGCAGCTATATTTATTATCTGCATGATTTTCGGGGGGCCCATGGTTTAATTCTGTGGCAGTTGTTTTGCAAGAGGGTGAATGAAGCCTAACTGTACATGTCCTTGGCATAATTGCGATGCACGGTGCCGGAGCAGGTGAAGCGAGGCATTGTCTGTCAGCCCTGTTTTTGTTGGCTCAGTCTTCAGATTGTGTGTGGGATCCTGTCCTCAGGCACAATAGCTCACTCATAAAGGGGAGAGACTACCCGGCTGCTCATGGTGGGTGTGGAGGGGGTTTGGGGGGGTGGGGTTGAGCATAAATAGTCACTTTAAAGGAAAACAATCGTATTAAAACAGCATTCATAGGTATTAGCAACCCCAGAAAAAGGAAGCCCCTCACGTGTGTCATTAATGCTAATGTTGTTTAATAAATGTATCGGCGTTTTGCTTTGCTTTGAAAAACGCGTTTGTGAGGGTGAAACGAACGCATTAGAAATAGGGGCGTCTGTGACAATGGCGGATATTTGTGCGTGTTATTAGTGCGAGATGAGGAGGATCGCAGGGCCTGTGATTGTGTTTGTCTGTGTAACGGAATCGGAGTGTTAAAGAAACTCCAAATCCCATTGTCCGCCGTTTGTTTACATCGACGTGCACTTGTTTGTAATTTGCAAGGCTTTTTAATACGAAATTATTATTTTACCGTAATTTGATCTCAAATAGAGCTACTTTCTCGCAATGCCTCCCAGTGAAAGTCATTTGCAAATAAGAAAAATATAAAAATAACAAGGAAGTGAAATGTGATGAGCCAGTCAGCAATACCCAGCTGAATTTGGCTAATTCAATCCATATCTGCTGCTTGTCTCCACTAAAGCAATTACAGCTGATTCCCGTATAGTAATTAATAAGTGTTAGGCCTGTTGTTATCAAATATTCTGCAGGATATGTGAAATGAAATATATGCTGGGGGTTAGAGTGATAGACCGCACTTTGTGTGATTAAGCATCCTCTGCAGATGATGATGTGCTCTCTTTTCATTTTATATGCTTCTCTGGTAAAAAAAAAAAAAACAGGTTTACTGGGCTGGCGCTCTGGTCGTTATTTATAGTTTGCAGCAGAGGTGTAATGAAGGCCAAACAGACAAGACTCAATCGAACCACCCCTGAGCGCACGCGCGCGCTTTCTTCTGGCGCCAATCTATACCTTAAAATCAAAAGCTGCAAGCAACGATTGCATCGAGGATTCACGCACATCTCGAATTGATGCTCCGTGTGCAAATACTATATTACTGTATTTATTTGGCAAGCTACTCGCCTTCTACCGATCACTGTCCGCTAAGCACGTGAACGCAACTTTTCCCCCTTCGACCAGCTGAGCGCGCGCGTCACTGCTGCGCTCATCGGTCCACTTTACACGCCAGCAGTGATGTTCGGTGCGGGGTGGGAGGGGGGTGTCAGAAAGTATTCAGTTGATGCTGCCGGAGTGTCTGCGTGGCCGAAATCGCCCGCAGCGCTGTCGCTGCAGCGGTCGACACTGTACCGCTTGCAGGCGATGGGTTGGAGCTGCTTGCCTGCATGGGAAGATGTGGGATATGAGGGGCAACAGGGATTCGTTAGCTGCACTGCTACACATGTTATTGGTGTGATTGGAATTTGATACAATTCCAGCCAGAAATACTATGAGAGGCAGAGCCTTCCACGATAGAGAGCAGATGGTCACTTTATCGATGCAATTGCTGCAAACGTATATGCCGCCTATTATGCCAATATTCACACTTGTTTCTCAGGGCGCATTTCAAACTGCCGGCTTAATAGTAAGTGGCTTGGACAAGACGCGGGGTTCCTCTAAATGACATTTGATACGGCTATTGGCGGAATCGAATTATGACTTTAAAGTTTGCAATGAAGCGCAAAATGGCTAATTGTCCTCAACTCTGACATCAGTCGTCATTTGGGGCTTTGCTCCCCCCCCCACCTCCCTCCTTCCCCTGGCGCTGACCCCCCCCTGTGGGCCCCTTGCCCACTTTTGTGAACCAGGGTTCGGAAGCCAAGAGAGGTCAATGACTCCACCAAATCAGCCTTGATTACTTGAGACATTAGGTAATCGATTAGAAAACATTAGGTGGCTTTGAATAAACAAAGAGACTCCCGATAGGCGCTGCTCTGCAGCTCCGCTGTCCAATACAGCTTCACAAAAAACAATCAGAGACGTTTGATTGGTTGACATGTAAGAACACGTGCACTCTTCACATGCACGCGTGAACCAAAGAAAAATACATACACACACGCACACATTTATGTGTGTATTTGTCACTTTGAAAATGTTTATTTTTAAATCAACAATAAGTAATATGTGTTGAAAGGAGCCCTTGTTGTCATCCGGTGTGAGGACGAGGTTCACGACTTTATGTGTTTGTGTATCCCCAAATACATGAAAAAAACCCGTAGATTTAAATTGTGTTAATGTTTATCCACTTATGGTTATCGCAGTTTAATATTCTAGTTGCAGTCACTCTCTCTCCATGTGTGTCTCCCCGAGTCTCTCCCTGCGTCTTCCGCAGTCAGCCAGGGGGGGAGTGTTGCCCCGGGCAAAACATATGCTTCTTTCCATTGCACTAATCCAAATGCAGCGTGGAGGAATAATTGCTCGAGTGGCCGTGGCTTCGCAGGGGCTTTGTCCCTCACTGGCTCCCGTCAGCCGGGCACACGCCATTTCAATCAACTCCCTCTCTCTGTGTATCAAACCCCAGACTATTTATCAAACCAGACCCTCACGCTTCATACATTAATTATATATATAATTATATATATAAAATATATAAAAGTAATATATTATTACTAAATATTACTAAATATTATTACTTTAGTAATAAAGTAATATATTATTACTAAATTACTAAAAATAATTGAATTCCCCCCTCATGCTTGTTGTTGCTGTCAGGTCATCTCATTTGGAGCGCCAATTTCATTAATATTGACAGTTGCACCACGTTGGCAGGCTTTATTGGCAAAACGGTCGCATGAGCAATGCCTGCAAATGAAAATGTTGGTGGCTATTTTGGACCAGCATTATCCAAAAGGCAAAAAGGACACATCCACGTGGTCATCCAAGTTGACCTTATGAAACCCTGCATTGTGGCTGTAATTTGTTGTTTGGGGACAGACAAAAATGGAGCGACAAATGGCACGATGCGGGGTTTCACTGATGTTACCGAAACCTCAAGGCGTTTGGATCGAATCTTAAACGCCGAGGGCCAATTTAAAGTAAGCTGAAGTAATAGTGGTAAATAAATAAACGCATTAGTAAACAACAATAATAACAATAAAAACAATACAAATAATAACAATAATAATAACAGGAAGACGATTATAAGACTGACTTACTGAACTCAGATATGATTTGAACATGTGGGGGACATGCAAGTTGTATCAAATGGCTTCGTTATTAAAAGGTAATTCGATGAGGAAACCAAATTGTCGTTTTTGCTAAATAAAAACCTACAGTTTGTCCTACACGCGTGGACAGCAGCCAGATGAACGTGCACGTCGGCCTGCCTTGCAGTGTTGTGCATAAACACACACCCGGTGCTTCCACAACGCGGGACATCCTTTGACTTTTTTTTTGTTGTTGCTGTGAACCGACGATGGAAAATTCACTCAAGTAAAAATGTAGTTATTTGCCAGGAAATCACATATTTCCGCGGATAAGAGATGGAATATGACAGAGCCGTGGAGGGGGGATGTCTGCCTGAATTAATAGACATGATAATTTCACACTTTTTCATAGTGAGCTATCTGTTCCATCACAGCAAAATAAAAGGGTCACTGCGCAGCTGTGGCAAACCCCAAGCGTTATTATGAAGTTTGATGACAGACCCCCACCCTTTCTGTCTTTTTTCTCTCTCCTCCCTCTCTTTTCCCCCCCTTCTTTCTGGTACTTCGCTTCGGGCCAGCAATAGCTCGGGGCCACGCCGGTGCCTCCCCATGATAAAGGACTTAGACTGTGTCTGTGCGCACAGAAAGCCGCAGCAGCTTCTCTCTCTCCCGAACCTAATCAACTCACTGGCTTGGCCCTTTAACGGTTGGTAACCCCCCCCCCCCCCTCACCCCAACCCCCACCCTCCGCCCCTGTCTCCCTTTCTCCATCCCTCCCTTTTTCTCTTTTTGTGTCGTTTTTCTCTCCGGGACAAACTGCACGTTTTGTTGTGGATTTATTTGCCCATGCTCAAACACAACTTTATTAATAACAACAATTTTGCAATGTTGCAATAATACTGTTATTATATATAAATACTAATAATACTTTATATATATAATAAAACAGTATTATATATTAATGTATATCAAATCAATTACACTACTTCACTTTAAACTTATCCAAAGTTGTTATTCAGAACGGCAACCATTTTTTAAATATACTTTTTGACTCACATTTTTGTTCACACACTTTTCATCAGCTGCTCAGAAACGATACCGATTTTACTAAAGTATATATTTTTTCTTCCAACATAAATGTCTATTTGTTGCCCAAAATAATAAAAGAAATGGAAGAAATTCATAAAGAAATGGGACACACCCTAAACATAATATGGACCCATTCCCCTGCAGCATCCAGGTTTAATGGGTCCTAAAACTCTAACGGAAGGTGATGAAGGCCATTCTGTCCATATGGGCATGTCTCTGCCTTCAGGTCAGACAGTTTCAGCTTCATCAATGAAAGCCACACTCATGCAGTTTATTCTTCAATGAAGGGTGATTGCGGGTGCCAATTAACACCATTTATTATTGTAAAATACAGATTTTTTCTTCCTTTTTTTCCCCCAGTGGTTCTTTTAAAATCATTTTTGATTTAAAACTCCACTTTGAAATTGCAATGAAGAATAATGCTAAATCGACTCTCAAGGACCCCTGGTATAGTCCATGTGGGGCTGCTTCACTCCACGTTGATTTATTTGTACGACAACAAATGATAATTATTTGCTTATGCATGAAGAAGTGACTGAACATGCATTACCATGACCGCATCATTACCCATTATCATTTTACTAAGTTGTATTTCTTCTGCATGTCTTCCATGTCTTACTTTCTGTCATGCCAAAGAGGGTTCCATTGTTTAGCCCACAATTCCACGCATTATAGAGTGGAACACCCTGCTAAACAGATATGGCGAAAAGGAAGTGACCCATGTGCGGTTACTCGGTGTTATAGATACCCATTAAAAACTTATAGTTAATCAGAATTTGGAGCTGAACTAATAAAATGTGCAAAACTAATGTATAGCAATATTTTACTCTTGCTTTAAATAATGAATATTACATTGTTTTGGGTAAATTTGGATCTATAATTTCAGGCAATACATATTTTTCAAATGATGTGATTTTGGGACTCTTTTCACACCAGTTTGGTCTTCCTTGTAGAATGCGTTTTTTGTAACCTCGCAACACAACATTGCTGATCATGGGACCATTGCAGTGTCACCAGATGGGTCATCCGTGTGAGTTCCGTGACGGAAAAAGCGCATTTTTCACTGAGTCCATCCTTATCCTTGTTAGTTTAACCTACTTAGTTGTTTATTTTGGTCGATTTCAGCATATCCTTTGAGCAGCTGATTGTAACGTAGGATATTGTACAATAAACAACCATATTAGCTTAACAGAGTTGAGGGAGTTAGAGAGCTTGGTCTGGCCTCTCAGAGCCTGTGAAGAAATGGTTTTGATCTTACCACAGGCTAAACACTGCCAACAGGACTTGACATTGCTGAACAATTTCCCAATTACCTTTTGACATGCATATTGACACAAACGCGCAAAACTGTAATTTTCCCTCTGAATTTGTTAGCTTGAGGGGCTCACTTTCATGCCAGATTGTCAGATGTGCTGCTCTCTCTCCCTCTGTGTCTCACACTCACTATCTCTCTCTCTCTCTCTCTCTCTCTCTCTTTCCCAGTTTGCTTACATGTGAGTGTCCAGAAACAGGATTCCCCACGGACAGCCGGAAAATGGAAAAGACCGTTTCCATAATGGAGAGAAAAGTAAGAACTTGCATGAGGGTTTCTTCTTATCAAATGGGTTTTCTGCCACTATTTCAATTCTAATTTTAAGTTCGTGTTCAAGTTCTTTTGTGTCTCATGTGACATTTGATCAAGTCTGTGAAAAAGTTTCTAGTTTTCACTCCTTGGTTTTTGAAAGCTTAAATGGATGTAAATGTGATCTGATGGTTTGCTTCCACAAACAACTTTCATCTAACACCATAGAACACTCGTGTGCCAAAAACCTCACCCTTTCCCAATAAACTTTGCGAGGCTCACAAACATGCTGTCTCTCCATTGTCAATCTCAAGGTTCTGGCCAAACTCAACATGCCAGTTGACACTGAAATGCCATAATCACTGGGATGTTTTCCTGCGTTTGAGACGTCCAGGCAGCAAAGAGAAGGGAGAGGACGATGGCGGTGTCATCACGAGCTTGTCATCGTGTTCGGCCTGAGTGGCACATGCTCGGCCAGATTACAGGAGCTGGTGTTGATGGAGGCTCACCCTCAATCTCCCAGCCGTCTGCTATCAGGAACCCCCCCCCCCACATCCCCCCCCCGAAAAACTGGGTCAGACCCGGGCTTGGCTCTGCCCCGAGCTCCTTCGAACCCAGTGCCGACTAACTAAGAGGAGGAACAAGCCACGGGGCCTCGGAGGGGGCCCAAAGTCCAAGCTGCATCTCCACAGTCCCCACGTTCTCCTTTACAGAAATGGATTCATATATTTTGCTTTCTTAAATGCAGATCGGATAATTGATTTGTTGATATTCAGTCCAGGCAGCAGACATTGGGTGAGAACAGCCGTTTGTTCTGCATACATTTAACACACAGTTGTTTCTCCTTAATAAATGAACTCTCGCTGTGTTTTTTCATGCAATATTGTCGTGTTTAGCCCCCGACCCTCGCGATAAGGGCCACGCATCCCTGGTTGGTTTCCACTCTACATTTACAAACATCACAATAGGTTGTCGCCACATTGTACACGAATGTGAAGAAAACCGTTGACATATGGGTTAATTTACTTTGAACTGCCGATGTTCAAAGCACACGGTCGGTTTGACGAACAGTTCATGACCAGCCAAACTATTTATAAAAAAAATAGATTTTTTTGACACTGCAGGATAAACAAATGGGTCAAATACCGGATATATTTTGTGTGGTGGAGAAATCCACCGCCATAAAGTTCTCACTGGGAAACCACATTAATGGCCGTGGGGACAGCGTGTGGAGTTTGACATCAGAGTGACTTTATACCGCTAGCAAATTAAAACAGTGTGGCTCCAGTGATGTGGCTTGAATGTTTAAAAGTTACACAGCCATTTATAGTAGTTTGGTTGGAGAACGGGACATCGCATATACTTTAATAAAAGTATAGGAATCCGGCTGTTCTGAAGCTCCTCTATGCAATCAGGAACAAGATGGATTTTTCCCCTAACCCGTCCTGCACAGCAGATACAAATGAGAAAATGTAAATGCAGCCTATGTGAATTCACCACGGGCACCCTCTTTATCTCCTTCCATACACCCTTTCAAAAGTGTGCGACGCAAATGAGCTCCGTCTTCTTTCAGTAGTCACCTAAATTAAAGCAGCCACAACTAAGGGCTGAACGCCAAAGCTTTGCAGTGGCAGCACCGTGTTTAACACAAGTTCCATTAAAAAGAGCCCATTACTACTACTGAAGGAAAGGATGCCTGGGGCCTCTCTAAAGTGTTGCGAAAAACCTCATTGATAATTAAATGTTGGTTACCCCCGGTATGCATCGCTCCCGCACTTTGCTTACCAATCAAACCTCCGCCCACCACCACCGCTGCCATTTGCTTTCTCTCCTCGGTATTTATCAAGGAATCATACAGCTTTCTAATAGGTGCCAATTAGAACCAATGGGGGCTCTGGGGTTAATTATTCCCAACACGTTGTTTGATTGAGCGTATTCAGAGCAGTACAGTGCAGAGGGGACATGGTGAGAGGGGTAGCGGTAGATAACGCCATAGTCTGTGTTGATGTACACTTACACAAAGTGACAGACTGCACACACACACACACACACACACACACACACACACAGACACACACACACAGAAAAATACACTTTCAAAACCTGTCCCTGATTTACTTACTCCCTCCTCTTATGGAAGCATGAAGTATTCTTAATTTGACTTGTGATGTACAATATCGCTCTGTGCCTTGTCCAATAATATCAAAATGGTTCAATGGGTCTCAAGTTTCACCTCCCTTGTGCCAAAACCACTGCCGATCAACTTGACCAGCATTCAAAGTCCTCTCGCTTAACTCTCAAGGTAGTGTGAGAATACAAGACGGCAAGATAGAAGAGCCAGCTTGTTAATAATTTGTATCATTGAATAATCTCACTTGCACAAATGAGAAATGCCCCAAATGTATTAGATTTAAGTGCTGAAACAAACCAACCAAATAAACAACATGTGAAAAATCGTTATGCAAGTTCTTTGAAGTGCAACACAGTGTACATCAATAATACAACATATGTGAAGGGTTAGGACACAAATTTGGATTTAAGCGATTCTTCTTGAACAGTAAACACGGGCAGGAGAAGAAGGTAAAGAAGAATATACACCAATGAGCTGTGGGTATTTGATTTATGCCAAGCTAATAGATCATAATCGTTATGCCCAAATAGAGCCTCTGCCCAGTCACACAGCAAAGAAGCAAAGAAATAAAAGTGAGTCGAGAATAAAGCGTTTGACAGGTTGCTAATGGATCGCTGTTGGCCCATCTGTTTCACTGCAAATAGAGAAATGGTGGGGTTTTGATTTGGGTGTTGAAACTGTTACCACTGTCACTGTAAACAATAATTGTCAAACATATTTACCTCGCAATCGCTTTAGCAGATGTTACGCTTTTTGTTTCAAGGGGCTTTTTGTGTGTGTTGTATCTCCCCTCTGCAGACACACCACATGCACCACCACCACCACCACTGCTGCACCCCCAACCAGAATATTGAGCAGGTATTTGCGATAGGTGCTCCAGGGCACAGAGCGCGAGGGATTGGGTGGGGTGGGTCGGCGGCGAGAGGCGGGGGGGGGGAGGAAGAGATTATCTGGGCCCTTCATCAGCGGTTCAGCCCCCCCCCCCCCCCCCCCCACCTCCTCCTAACGGTCCTGGCCATTGGGGAGGCCTGGGGGCCCCGGGGGGGGGGCCCCATGCCTTGGAGCCCCGCAACCCCTTTTTCCCTCTAATTTGTTAATTTTAGGCCCCCAATTTGCACATGGGGGGTTTTTTTTTAAACCTCCCGAAATTAACTAAAAAAAAAAAGTAAAAAAAACGGTGGCTGCCCCCGTCTTTTCGGTTTTACCCCCGATTTAAAGGAAAAATGTACTAAAGGATTTTGCAGGACCCATGGGGGAGGGCCCGTCTTCACAATTTGGTTTTTCAAAATGTATCCATGAAGAAAAAAAAAAATTTTTAAATAAGTGACGCCTTTTTTAAAATGAAAAACAGTGAGTGGAAAAATGACATTTAAAATAAAGCAACATCCTGATGACTATTGGAATAAGCCTACGCCGGGAAACCATTCCCTCTTTTCCCTTTCCCCCCCCAAAAAAAGGCTCCCTTAAAAGGAGAAAGGATGCCGAGAATGACCCTTTATCTGGGGGCAGAACAGAACTGATCTCCGGGGTTTGACTGCCCCACCCCCCCCTGCTTCTATTGTCCTTTGTGCAGATATGTTACCAGAGGCGACACCTCCCCCCCCACCTCCCTCACCCACTCCCACCCCCTCACCCCTCATCCAAGTGACTCTTAGGGAAGAAGGGTGGAAGGCCAAAGGTCTCCCTCCTGTCCCGTCCCGGCTTGTCTGTGGGAATTGGTCATTTTGACCCCCCCCCCCCCCCCTTCCTCCCCATGCAAATGCTCTGCCTCGTCCTTTGTTTGTCAGACATGTTCATTGTATCAATGACACAAACTGAGACTTCCATCGGTTTATTTTAAAAATAAAAGGGTTTGGGGATTTACTCAGGCTGTCCAGGTGACATGAAGGCGCTCATCACGCACACATTCACCTCTTTCTGCGCCCGAAACAGCTCCTGTTTGTTGTCAAAAGACTGATTAGGAAAAAAATAGGCCCCTCTCTGCTGGCGCTCCCAAGCCCTTACAAAAGGTCAACAGCAGTTATAGTCAGATAAATCTGCCTGTTTTTGTCCATGCAAACATCAATCACAATATCAGCATTCTACCAAAAAGTGCCTTTTAAATAGCCTTGACTAATATACAGAATAGTCAAATGGTATTTTCTTCATTCAAATGAATGAAATATTGTTGTTTTTTACGTAGATAATATGGCCGGAACCAAATGACTTGTAAAGACGTTGAAAGATCTCTCAGGAGTTTGTACTTACCACTTTCAAAGGTTTGAACGTTGTGCCTGCCGATTGATGCTTTAAAATGTTTGATGTCATAGCAAAACAGCGGAGGGAGGGGGGGGGGGGATACATTTTCAACAAAGTTTTAGCTCTTGAATCCCACGGAGAAATGCCTCCAACTTGGTGACAGAACAATGGAGTGAGCGATTTATGGCTGGCTATTAACAACTCCTGCTTTCAGGCCTCCATGCTGCAAACAGGTGTTTTACGAGTCCGCCTGCTGTTTATTTCCACCAACTTTCAAAGTTCCATTTTGACTCCTGACCAAGGGGTGGACATTTTTTTTTAACCGCTCACTAGATGACAGTTTCAAAATCACATGGCTTGGGCTCATACAGGAGACTATAGATAAAACAAAGCCCTGAGAAGGAACACTGGTCCCTTTGCAGCTGAATGGTGAATATTTTCTTTGTCATAACTGATCACTCACTGAGCCTCTTTAAATTGGTTCTTCACCACAGAGGCCATGAAGGACACACATGATACTGCCTCATTTGCAAGAGTTTTTTCATTTTTATTCAACCTTTATTTTTAACGAGAAATGTCCTTGAAAACGATCTCGGCAAAGCCTCTCAAAGAGAAAGAAAAACATCAAAAGTTGACAAAAACTACAGCACACACCCAAACATTTCCAAAAACACCCAGGACCAACGTACAATCCAACAGAATTCAATGTGAGACCAAGTGTTTTGTAAATGTCTTGTACACAAGCATCGGGTTGGTTGCTAGCAGACAGCAGCATCAGGCAATACAACAACAGAACAAGATCCACAGCAGAAAGACAAACAGGAAAAGCAAAACCACAGCAGCAAGACAACAAGACAACATGCAAGGGACAACGGCAAGCAGCACCCAGACAAAGTGAAGGAATATCAGCAGGCTGGGAACGGCTTTTGGTTCATTGGGGTCTTTGTGTGTGTGTGTTTTGTTGAAAAAGAAGTTCAACAAAACAGGAGGAACGATATGCGAAGTATCTGTTTTTTCTTTTAATCTGCGCTTAATTTGAAATTTGGAGCAGTTTCTATCTTGATTCTGTGGCCTGGTCACAAGGACTCTGTGCGGCAGACAACAGTGGGGCCGACACAGAACTAAACACGGCATGAATATGCCTATTTTGGGTCAATAGACCCACAAAGTGCAGCTACAGAAACTGCCTGTGCTCTGAAAGTTCCCCAAATTCATACGCTCACACTCAGGATAATATAATTAATTCAAGTAGTGACATTAGCCGCCAAGGTAAATCCACATTTTAGACTATGAGTGTCCAAAGGTTTTTTTTTTCTTTCTGTAAAATGGAGTAATCCGTGGGAAAGGAAGGGAGGTTGTGAAGCGTTTCCCGAATGGATACATTCTCAGGTTACGGCAGAAGACAGGGAGTAACTCTGCCATCCAGCATGGAGTGAAACTAATCTAATTCACTTTGAGGAATGCAAGTGGGCCAATGCATACAAGGTGTGAGGCGACTGCCTGTAAACAAAACTCTTCAAGGGTTAAATTAGAAACTGACACACATACAATATACCTTTGAATTGCTAAATGTAACCTAAAATTGCTACCTTGGCTATCATAGCAAATGGTTGAGATTTTACTGCAACGTCTACGTAGGTTAAGACAAGTCTTAACAAAGCAATATGTCCCGCAGGCTCGTTGACTGATTGACATGTAAGCCAAGATTCACGTTGAGAAA